TTTGACCTTCAGCTTCGATTCGCATTTGAACTAGATCAACTTGGAGGGCCTGATCAATCTTTGCTCATATTTACCCCTCGAGAAGAAAACTCGATTCCTTCCTTGAGGATGAGCCAAGGACGTTCATTGTGCCTTATAAGTCTCTTGATAAAGTTCGTGGCATCATTTGCTCGTCACTTACATACGGTCTTCCAGAAGGACTAGACACTTTATAAGTGGACGAGACGCCACGAAGCGTAAACGATCACCCGCTGTATGTATGTATCCAGCTAACAGACGCGTGTCACTGTTCACCAACTGGCGCCAACGAAACACTCAAGTTCACGGTGCAAATGGAAAGGGTGTCCTGAACAATGGTGGCTAAGGTTTCAGCCAGGTAGCTGGTAGGGACGCCGCAACTCTAGAGTTCAAAGAAGAACTCATTCTCAAACGGATCACGACAGCTTTCACACGCCCAGTTGGATCTGGGGTACAAAGGATGTTTATCGTCGACGGGGATCATTCACATTACTGGATGTAGTTCAGTCCTTGAGCCAACCTAGCTGAGACCCTTGCGATAGATTCGTCCACCCTCCATCCGGTCAAGCACCTCGCATTAAAGACGCGATCATGGGTCCTGGCCAGGGAGGTCCAAAGCAGCAGGTCTTGCGCCATTGATAAGTGATATGCCTCTTTGCGCGCCTCGTAGATCTCCACCGGCAGCAGTTTCTTTACCTTTTAAAATCGTATGTATTGTCGCCAGCTCATTTTGGTGGGCGCACAGCGTCTTCTGCCGTACATGATAACTCCCTGAGCACCAGACGCGGTCATAGAGCTGATATCATAATGAGACCATACTTACGCCGCCGTTGTGAAGAGTTCAGGTACTCCATTCATTCGAATTGCATAAATACAGCTCTTGAGCACATGGAGTTATCACCGCTTCTGCAGTACTTTCACCCCGTAAGTCGTTTGCAATCGACGTCGTACCCCTCTAGTAATCAGCGAACGGTTCATCATCTAGAACATCCTACTATCATGGACAAAGCTGCTGCTCAACGCATTCAATCCCACTCGGTAGGGGAACTTGAAAGCTGCCTAATCCCTGCTCATGATGAATGCCCAACAGGATCGCACTAACACAAACCAAGACTTCAAGTCCAGGGCGATGTCATCAGCAGATCGTAATGCTCCCAAGAGCAGTGGACAGAGTGGTGCCCCCCCGAGTAAACAAGGTGGAAACACCACCAATACAAGGCTCCGGAGGGAACAAGAAGAAGTAATCAGATTAATATTGTGGTTGCTGCATGCACCTGATTGCTACGTATGAAGTGACGAGTGTCGAATTATGTTCTTGTCGAGGTTGCGTATGTACCACCAAATTCGAGTGAATCGGAATGGGTCGAAAAAACGTTTCGTTGAGCATATAAAACTGAGATTCAACACATCATTTAACCATCTGGCTTGATACTGTCGAGTCCTTGCGCCAGTATGTCCAATACCTTTTGCCGGCATCCCTGAGGAACTCCCATGGATATGTCAATTCTTCCCTCTGGAGCATGCCACAACTCATCATCTCCGCGCCATGGATTGGCGCCAAATACGCGCAGATAAAGCAAGCCATGCCCAGCCATATGATATCTATGCGACTCTGGTTGACCAAAGTGTGCTGAACACCAGTCGATGCTAATCATGACGTGAGCCGAAATCAAAACACGAAAGGCGACGGATTAAACCCACGCTGTCATGGAATTTACGGCTAGAATGTCGGTAGATGGAGGGTAGTAAAATGATTTTCCTGACTTCGCAGCTGCGAGCATTAGTTGACTGGCTGCGGACATCCAATGCGAGATGACTTCGTGTTGTCGATAGTGCACGAGGGTCTCGCGAATGCTTGTGGCGATACCCGTCATATCGGTAGGGTTTCTCTGGCAAAGCTGGTGTCAAAGCCTACAGAGGTCAGCAAGCAGCAAAAATCCACGTGCTTAACATACATCGATCACAGCATTGCCAGCAACATCAGGAAATGCGAAACTTGCTCCCGAGAAGCGATACTACAATGACTGCGTCAGCAGGACCGTAGGTGGAACGACAGAACGCTGGCAGACACTGTCAGTTACTTTGATCTTGCGTATCTGAGTAGTCAAGACACGGTTTATAACCGTGGCGACGTAGGCGAAGAGACTATCATGGATTGACAGTCGGCTCGTTGCTGAAGGTGATCTTTGACGCAAAGAGTTACAGAGTGCCTCCAATCCCTGTCTTTCAAATGACCAGTCGACTCGTTCTGAGGTGTGTACTCTCTCTGAGTACTTCTCACGAAGCTCTTCATCGCTATAAATTTCGTGAAGGTGGGACATTAACGGGCGTAGTTCTTCAATGGTGCGCTCCGAAGGCTGAGGGAAAATGGGCTTCTCGAACGTAGGCGATGGATAAACAGGGTGTAGGCCTTGGTAAAATTGTGAAAACGTATGAGTGAAGCGGAAGAACGCTGTTGCATCACCTATAAGGTATGAAACTTATGAAAATGGCTGCTCGCAAATAACAGCTTACCCAATGTATGGTTCCAAGACATACCGATCGTGGTATCATCACGGAAGGTGACGACTTTAAGTTTTAAAAGAGGGGCTTCGGAATCGAGCGCAGTACGCTGACGACGGGAGTTCAGTAAGCCCAAGAGGTCACTCTGAATTACGTGAGAACCAAGGACAACCGAAGATGTTGATTCATGAGGACGGTCTTCGAATTCGACCGGGACTCCATCATTTGTTAGATAAATCTGTGAGCTAAAACATGGTGTCTAAATTTCGGTACAGAGTTGAACTTGCCTTATATTCCGCACCGCGCTCTGTCAACCTTCCAGCGGCGTGAGGCCACAATTGCAAAGTTCTAGAAAGCGCAGCACTAAACTTCTTCACATCGAGTAAACCCACAAGAATGTGGACGCTCTGGATCTAGATAGCGTTCATACAGCATACAACATGATGTGCAGAAAAATGCATTATAATCCAACATTTGAGTCGTGTAGAGGATTGGAGACACACCATGTTTGTCCAAAGTTCGTAACCAGGGAGTTCAACCTCGCATCTATCTGATAATGCAGTTGGCTGCGCAGGGTGCACGAAAAACGCCGACATTGGCCTCTATAGCTATAGTGTAACACTCACGAGATCAAAGACATATTTGATTCGAGAATATTGACAACGGCAGACATATGTGGCTAAGGAAAATTCTCACGCGAGTCGGGCTGCATTCGATAGCTGGTCAGAAAGAAACCGTCGTGATTCGGGCTTAGTTCAATATTTAAAGTCTATCGACGTTAACTGATTACCCCAGGGATCCTCCTAGTCCTAATAGTGCTAGAGCAGTGAGTTGTCTCGACTAATCTCATATCACCTCTTCGTTTACCTTGGGTTTCCAGTTGAGAACAGTCGTTGATCATGTGTGATGTGTATGTCGAGGAACCTTAGGTATGAGTTTGCATGATAAGGTCTCCGGGCCGTCATTTCTTAAATTAGTACTACTTCAGGCTTCTCCTCCATCGTACAAGGCCTAAGTCTTAAAGTCTCCCACTACAGGACTCCGTGATTATCATTCGTGCGACCGCATGGCTCGAGATTTATTTGATCTATGTGTCAGAGCCAATGCCTTTTTCGATATCATGCTGGCATGTCCAGTAGTTATCAGAGAAATACAAGCTACCCTGTGATTCCTTCTCAAGGCAGTTGTTTTCTACCATGACATCATCAGATTCAAAGGTGTGGTTTGGTGAGTAAGGAACATCTCGAGGACCCGAATCCGCTAATCGTTCTTGCTAGTGACTGGGGCATCTTCGGGTTTTGGTCGAGCAGTCACCGAATTTATGCTTCAAAAAGGAGATAATGTTGTTGCGACTTTGCGAAAACCTGCTATGCTAGATGACCTCGCGAAGTTGTACTCAAACAACCGGCTTCTCATCTTGCCTCTGGACGTCACAATTCCTTCTGATATCACCGCCGCTTTTCTCAAAGCGCGCGAGACATTTGGCCGCATCGACGTTGTTTTCAATAACGCGGGACTATGCGTAATCAGTGAAGCAGAAGGCATGCCTGATAACGACGCAAAGCGCCTGTTCGATACAATGTTTTGGGGTGCCGCCAATGTCACGAAAGAGGCCGTGACAACGTTTAGGGATTTCAACCAACCTCCTGGGGGACGTCTCTTGCAAATGTCATCTCGTACGGTCTTGCGAGTTATACCAGGAGCAGCGCACTACGCCGCAGCGTACGTGACGACTTCTCGCTCATCGTTTTAACTGACATCTAGATAGTAAAGCAGGTATTTACATTCCGCCTATCCTTGATTCGCAATATTTAGTCGCAAACAGCTCTTGAATCTCTTTCGGAAGGGTATGCTGCAGAAATGGATCCAGCATGGAATATTAAGGTGAGTTTAATTCTCAATATGTACTAACGTAAGACTGGAGTTCATCAACCACAGATTACTCTTACTCAACCTGCTCGGTTTCGCACTGCTGCACCCTGGAGCAATGTTCTTGCGCCAATCCATCCAGCGTACTCTGATCCAAATTTACCTTCTAGACAATACCGCAGCATATATCCAGGAGCTGAGCGTTTTTCAGACGGAGACATCTACAAGTTTGCCCTGCAGATGTATAAGCTTGTGCAACTGGATGATCCCCCGTTCTATCTCCCCATGCACAGAACGGCGTTGGAAGCGGCAAAGACCAAGGGCCAGATGTTGATACAAGCCGTCGAAGATTACGGTAGTTGGTCAGATGATGTCTATCTCGACGAGGAAAATAGTTAGGCGCGAGCATAACTTTGTAAACTCGTGCTAATCTCTGACTTACATGTAGATCACATGTGTCCTTGTCCAATTTTATTCCACCCAGACGTTGATATTCTCATGGTTCGCGCCGCGGCCGATGTCCTCTGACGAGTCCTAATCAGTGACGGCCCGGTTCACCCTTTATTTGATAAGACTATTTGTGTGGTTACCTTGAGTGCCCACATAGTCATCTTCCGCAGACTGATCCCCCGACCCAGAGTTGGGTCTGCATCATGATCAGAAATTTGTCGACAATGACCTCCCCGAAAGTTTGGTTCAGTTAATTAGTTTCTACTACTGGCTGGGAAAACGAAGCTGACGATCTTCTCCGGATTCAGTCACTGATGCAAAGGCTGGTCTGGGACGACAGATTGCTGAATACGCTTTGAGCAAAGGAGACAACGTAGTACAACCCTGCGCAAACCCTCGATGTTGGAAGACCTTACTGCTAAATATTCCTCCTCCCACCTTATGACTTTCCCGTTTGATGTACCCTCGATTTCTACGGCATTCAATCAGGCTATCTCGCACTTTAATCGTGTCGACGTCGTACTGAATAATGCAGGATACTATATAGTATCAGAAGCTGAAGGTATCCCTCACAAGGCAGCACGAGAGATGTTCGATGTGCTGCCCTCCGGTGCGGAGAATGTCATGTGTGAAGCCATTCGATGCTTCAGGGACGTGAATCGTCCCATGGGAGAGCGACCCTACGAAAAGGGTCGCCCTGGAATCAAGAAGGGGGGATTATTGCTCGAAGTCGCCGAAAAACGGTCTAGTTGGTCGGACAGTGTGTACTTGCGTAAATGAACGAAAACCAACACTGCAGATTGCGGGTACCATGTGTCAGGAAGGAATACATGTACACACTATTTAGAATATACAGTGTAACGTATAAAACAGTCTGAAGCGCCTTAGTATCGATAGGCCCCTCCATATCCCGGGTAACCGTAGTTCATGTTAGGGCTACCAGAGGAACCACCGGCCCACGTGGGACCATACGCGCCGGAGGAGCCTCCCATCGCTCCTCCTGTATAAACCATCGCACTTTGTGCCAGTCCTCCTCCTGCTCTTCCAGGGATGTCCACTGCCTTCGTGATGAAAACGGGCTCGGCGCTTCGTGCCCGCCTGTGGTGGTCTCGATGATGATGTCTGCTAGATGACCTGTGATGTCTTCGAGGCAACTCGATGACAGTCGCCATGCCTGGATAGGCGGACACAGTTGTGACGTTTCGTGTGTCAGTGTATGCCGGAGACGAGCCGTACATGGGTGACGCGTGTGCCAGAGATGCTCCTCCATACATAGGGGACTCATCACCATAGCCAGGGTAAGAACCTCCATACATCCCTGTAGCTCTCATTCTATTTCCACTCGATAGGGGGCTCCCACCACCACTGCTACCACTATACATCACAGGGCTCGCCCCCATGCCCATCCCAGCGGTAGTGCCCAAGTAAGGCGAGCCCACCATCCCGCCCCTACCCATTTCCGCTCCAGGGCTATGTGCTCCTCCAGCGCCATATGTACCTCCAGGATTCGAGAACCGCCTGTGCCTCCCCATCCTCTGATGGAAGTATGGAGCCTCGTAGTCGATTGCATATGGGTCAGTCCCGCCTGCCATGCCAGCACCTGCTATCTCGGGCGTTCCGAATCCTGAGTCATATGTGCCAGTATCCATTCCAGTATCGTACCCCATCCCGGGATACATATCACTTCCGACGGAACCCGTCAAATTCTGGGATAAAATTGCGTCAGTACCGATGCGGGCGAATCAGCCAACAACCCATGACATAGTTGTTTAGATGATCAAATATTCGGATACTGACTCGATCAAATATAAGCCATGCAGTTGCAGCTGCTGCTTCACATGCTGGTACACAACCGTACGCGTCAGCCGGACGTGAGATCATGTACATCCTGCTGGCTAAATGACATATTTTGTAAGGCACGACAAAGAAAATACTCGCGAAAGTAAGTACCTTCCGCAACGGCAAGTCCTATGAACGCTTCTCTCTGGTATTCACGTTCTGCGCCGAGAGACGCATAAAGCACAGTGTTATGGATCCAGACTCGGTACGCCTCGTATGCCGAGGCATATCCAATTTCCTGGGGAGTCAGCGCATTGATTGCACCCTAGTGATGCATTTATCTCATTCAATATCCCCGGACTCGATAAACAAAGTGCCTTACGAGACCACCATATGCCCGTCGGTGACATACGCGAGCCTCATTGATCCCCACACCCACGTGAGGTGTGCCCATGCCTGCACCAGATATGTTCCTATAGACCTGATGAAAGATCGTACTAGAATAGAGGAGCGTAAGTGACCATGCTATGGAGTGGAATGCGGTTTATTCTGCACGTACGGGTCGATATGTGGTGCGTAGGCTCTGAAATAATCAATTCCTCCCCCTACAGTCGACGATTGAGTTCCTCCGAGAAAGATATTGAAACACGCCGTACTTACAAGAAGGCTGTGGTTGAAACCGAATTGAGGGAGGAGGGCCAAATTGGAACTGTTCTCTTGGTCGATAAGATTACCAGTGCTCGGGCAATCGACTTACTTGGTTGGTTCCCCCGGATCCATTTGGATTTGGCTGGTAATAAGGGTAAGACATTGGTGAAATATGTGAGTTGATACGAAGGAAAGAACGTACAAGTCAACAGCATATTGAAATGCGGTATGACATCACTGTTGGAGAACATCAATGTTAGTACGCGCCAAAGAAAGTGACCGGCCCTGCCAACCGTGGAGTGGAAGAGCTTAAAGCACGCACCACAGTAGTTTTGTGGAGTACTCGGAGGCCTGTTCCTGTCAAGACATGATCGGTGTAAGTCCGACCCTGTCCGACCAGCGTCAGTGTACCACGGTATTTGTTAATGACCTTGCGCCTAACCTACTCAAGTGAGGCCATCGAGCTTTCGGTATTATTAAGGAAGACGACGGTTCCTTCTTAACTGGGCTGAATTCGGATCTAATTGTCCCCAAGGTCAAAGTCCATGACCTGTATGAGATTCCTCCGTACTCGTGACTGATGGGCCGGAAGTGACTAGTAGTGACTTCCCAAGCTTGCTCGAGAACAATATGGGACCACTGGAGAAGGAACGACTGTCTTCATTCGTCTCAGGTCTGCCTAGTGGGAGAATGGGACCGAGCTGGACCGGGTGAGTACTACTACTACTAGCAGGTATTAGCTGGCACCTCTGACAACTCCACCGATTCCGACTCAGAGCAGCAGTGTGAAAGACAAGTAGCAGTTTATACCGCTCGCTGGGGAGACTGCAGCAGTTACCAGTGATAAGGAACAACTATTTTCTTAGGACTTGATCGTGTTTCAGGATCATGTGCATCATTGCATGATAGGGTCTTGAGGGAGACTATTAATAATTAAACGTAAGTAAGGGTGGTGACCCTGCCTTGAAGTTTATCCACAGCATTCTACAAATATATACACAGACTGTGATGCCTACGTTTGGTGAGTGAAAATTTTGCATATATAAAGCTTGTCAGATACTGCAAGGAGGGCTCCGTAGACTCGGTTTCGAGTCTTCCGACGGTGTGCTCATGTCAGTGCCATGTTTCCTACCGCAATTAATCTTCTTTGCTGATCTTTATTGGTAAGGTCAACGTTACCCAACCGTGTTGATGCTCCATGTGAGCCTGCCATTAGATCACAGTGGGCCAGTCAAGATACGAAAAGTCGCTTTTGGGCGACATACATGCACGAAGCCGCCGAACATGATGGTCAAATTCTCGAAAAGTACAAAAGTGACATGGATATCGTTTTGATCTTCGTGCGTCCCTTGGCTTAGCACCACCTCTTTTCCTGTAGTGCTCATTTTCACATCTATTGTTATAGGCTGGTCTTTTCTCCGCTGTCACTACATCCTTCATTGTCAATATGCAGCAAAACTTAGCTCCCGATCCAACCACAGAGACCAACATGCTTCTCAAGAGACTGATTCATACAATTGACAACTCAACATTTCCGGGCGGTAATTTCGACACTCCACCATGGACCGGTCCTAGCTCCACCGACATATGGGTTCAGTCGCTCATATATGCAAGTCTCTCAGCGAGCCTTCTTGCAGCGTTAGGAGCAATGCTTGGCAAGCAATGGCTCAACCATTTCCAATACTTTGGTCACGGGACGCTTGATGGTCGTGGAAGGCAACGGCAGCGGAAGCTTGATGCTTTGTATGCCTGGCATTTCGACGCTGTTTTGGAAGGTCTCCCTGTGCTGTTGCAATTGTCCTTGTTGCTGTTCGGGGTTGCCCTCGGCGCCAATCTATGGACAGAGCAACACATTGTCGCCTGCATTGTCATTGGAACGACGACATTTGGGGCCATCTTCTACGCGCTGATTGTTGTCGCCGCACTGATATCTGATGTGTGTCCATTTCAAACGCCAGCATCTAATCGACTTCGCAGCCTCGGCCAGCACGTTGTCCGTTTCCATAACGCTCTTCAGAAGGGAAATCAGACAATCCTTTCAACACTCTTGCGCGTCGTCAGCTATATCCCTTATCTTACGATAACTTTACTCGACTCATTCGCATCATGCATATCACATTGGCTTTTCTCACCATACGCCATCGAAAACACGGATGCGCCTTGCATACGATGGCTGCTCGAGACTTCCGATGACCCAGACGTGATTACCACTGCCGCCAGCCTAGTTCCTGAGGTCGAGTGGCCACCAGATTTGGATGTATCTTGTGCCTTGCTCAGGCTGCGAGATACTTTCCTGGATTGCTTCGAAAACACACAGTATGGTCAACCGAAACTTTCTGATTTTGGTCGAGACCGTGCTATTGCATGTGGAAAGGCTTTCTTGCATCTCTACATCGAACGGCGGTCATTGGATGCCAGACCCATCTTTCTGCGTGCCACTCCTGATCCAGAATTCGTACTCACCAGCTCCTGTCGTCTCCATGATGTCCATTGGCTTATGTGGACTCGCCACAATGATCCCGAACTCTCTTTTATCTGCGACCTCATCCTCGAGATAGTGCTGGATGTTGGCGTCAGCATACCTATTTCGCTTCGAAACCCGCAAATTCCGAATACTTTTCTCATGTGGATGTCTCATCCCCTACTCCACTGCCTCAGTGCACACCAGTATGCAAGGTTCTGGAGGCGGCGTGCATTGGATGTGGTAGAGAGGCTACTTATGTCGCCTTTACCTCCCACGAATGTCGTAGCAAACTGCCTGGTAGCGGCAGGCTTGCTTCTGGATCAGTCCGTTGATCCAAGTCAACTAGCCAGTACAAACAAGGGGTAAGGAACTCTTGGATATCTTGTGAAATGCTCATGTGACCCATAATTATATAGGTCGTCGATAAAAACACTGCTTGTATCAGTCCTCGAGAGCATGCAACAAGCTATCGGTATCGATATCCATCTGGAGCTACGCGAGCGCTCGTCTATTTATGCCCTAAAACTTCTGCAACCTTTGGCGGCTGTTTTAGAAGTTGAGGAGTTTCGCCAGACGGCGTACGATTTGGGAATGTCCGACTGGGGTGTTCGACTCTGTCAGAGCCATGTGAACATAGTACTTCACCATCCGGAACTCTGCAGACCAGAAGCACGTGACAATGCCTGGGTGGCCGCTCGTGCTGCGCTGCATTTTAGCGTGGTCACCGCTGGGAATGGTGATGGCGGCCCGACCGACGATCGGGTCACTTGGAAGGAGGAGATTTCTCGCCTCCGCGCGACCAAGACCGCTGGTTGTGGCTGGCTCATCGACTATATTATGCATCACCATTCGATCTCTCATCAATCAGCGCTCACTGATGCATTCCTCACGATGAGCGAAATGAGCATCGATGCTGCGTGCAGGGAGAAGATGCCGGGCTATATTAATGCAATGATTTTCGCGATGGCGCTGGACAAGCCTCCACGACTTCGTAAGGCTACGCTCCGCGCTGCGTATTCGTCAAGGAATTATCTTGCATCGCTGGACACCGATTCTCTCTCCCCGGATCTTTGCACTCAATTCTCCGCGGCGCTTTTAGACATCACTGCTGATAGTATATCCTTTGGTCGAGGGGACGATGGTATTCTTTCTGACAATTCCAGTATGTGCGGCAAGCAAAACCTTCGTTATTTGCACATATTGTTCACGTGGACTCAAAGTAAGCTGTGGTCTCATCACCTCTATGATGGTGGACACCTTAAAGCATGCTTATCCATCGCGGACGGCCTTCGCTACTTCGAGATTTACCCTCTCACGGAACATCTCGCCTTATACGTCATTGCCATTATAGCACGACTACACCCGGAGGGAGAAAACAACAACCTTATCCCGAATGATCTCTGTGGCCTTCTTGTACACAAAGCTTGGGCATTTGCCGCCCTTCGTTCCCACAAATCACTTGGCTTGTCGGACTGCGTCATACAGGAAGTTCTCGAACCATTTGCAAACTTCACGATCCAGCTGTTGAGACGCGATGCGGAGCTTGTCGACGTCACAAGCGAGTTCAAGTCACGCGTAATGCAGACTCTGCACCACTTGGAGCAAGGTTCCGGAGACAGCGTAGTAATATCCCTGGTCAAGGAGATCGTGTCCCTGGTCACTACATGAATTGCCTGTGGCCAAGGGGGTGTTTTGATGCCTGTTACCTTTGGCCTTATCGTTGATGGATATATCTAAATGCGTGGTCGACTTGGCAGTTCCAGAGGGTTCCGTACAGCTCTGCGAGCTCCTACGGTACTTTTTCTGGTGCCAGCAGTTCCGCCTAGAGATTCTAAAACGTCCCTCTTCTTGAAAAGGCACATCTTTATTTAATGACGTTCCTGGTGTGTTTTCCTGTGTAATAGTGTCCGGTTTATCTGATGTACTATTCGAGGTGCTGTACGTAGTCTCACGATATAGGCGCCCACATGTCTCGAGCACCGGCTGCATAAGTTAATGTTAATAGCTCGCTCCGTCATGATATTTAAATCCTGATTGTGAGGTCACATCATTCGGCCGCTGTCAGGTCCCGCGGTGGCATTGAATCGTTGGGAAGTATACTTGGAGTCGCAAGTGGCAGTACAGGTACTTCGTCCTAGCACAGCTCATGAGGATCTTTCCAGTCAGCATCAACCGCCCTGTTTTGTTGCACAGGTGCGCATAGGTCGTCGTCAGTATTTCCATACGAGCGACGTGTTGTGATCCCATACTCTCTATCTACTCCAATAGTACTTGCCACTCATGTCGAGTCAAGGTGTTGGCGCCCAATTACTGGCAGAAGGCGACGACACAAATAAGTTCGTCTACAGTCCTACTTGTTGGCTGATGAAATTGCTCAATAACATTCGATTCTTCAGAGCTCTGGATCTTCCTCAGAAACCACTTGAAGAAAATATGCAGTTCCCTTGTCCACCACAGAGTCAAGGGGACGGGAAAGACGTCAAATCCCGCTTCTGGGCAACCTACACACGAGAAGCTACGGACTATGACGAAGAGTTTCTTGAGAAGTACCAATCTGACATGGATATTGTTCTCATATTTGTTAGAACTTTTGCTTTATCCTTGCTTCGTTACCTGAACATGAATCACAGGCTGGTCTGTTTTCGGCCGTCAATACATCGTTTATTGTAAACATGCAGTCAAATCTCGTCCCTGATCCATTCCGCACCACAAATGCATTGCTCGGAATGCTGCTTCAGACTGCCAACGCCTCCTTCGTCCCACAATTTGATCAACCCTACGCCCCGTGGCCGGGGCCTAGTTCCTCAGTAATCTGGATCCAGTCATTGATATATGCCAGTCTTTGCGCAAGCCTACTTGCCGCCCTTGGAGCAGTACTAGGAAAGCAATGGCTGAGCAATTTCAAACGCTTCGGCCGCGGTACCACCGATGCCCGTGGCAGACAACGGCAGATGAAACTCGATGGTCTCCGAACTTGGCATTTCGATTCTGTGTTGGAGTTCTTACCCGTACTGTTACAGATCTCTCTCCTCCTGTTTGGGATCGCATTATCCGCTAACATGTGGATGATGTCACCCACAGTTTCTATCATTATCATCACATCCACGACGCTTGGCTTCACGTTCTATCTAACGATCATCCTGGCATCGCTAATGGCCGCGGATTGCCCTTTCCAGACACCAGGATCAATCACTCTTCGTTCTATGGGTCGGTCTGTCCTTCGCTATTATTCATCGTTACAGAAAGGTCGCCGGGATTTCAGCAATGCTTGTTTAACTCTTATGCTTTATATCCCGTTCAAGATCATTGCCACCCTGAATACTATATCGCAACGACTCATCCCTTCCGTCCGCTCTATTGCACAGCAAACAGATGCACCGTGTATCAAGTGGATCATCGAATCATCCAGCGACCCAGATGTCATTACAACTGCGGCCAGCTTTGTTCCTGAGGTGGAATGGCCACCTGAGCTTGATATATCCACTCTTCTTCTGCAACTTTTCGACACTTTTCTTAGTTGCTTCGAAAACACTCACCACGAGCAGCTGATGCTCATTTCACCTAGACGGGAAAGTGCAATCGCATGCGGAAAGGCGTTCTTGCATTTGTACATCGAGAGGAAGTCTTTCCTAAATTCTACAGACTCTCCATTCCCGGTCGCTGGCCGCGAACGGGACATCCGTAAACTCATATGGGTGCATCACGGCGATCATGAGATATCATTCATTTGCTACCTCGTGGTCGAGGTGGTCTTGGATGGGGATTCTGGTGCTCCAACACGTCTTCATCAACCCGACGTACCAGAAACTTTTCTTTGCTGGATGTCGCATCCGCTCCTTCATCGCCTCAACGATTCACGCCACTCCTCCTTTTGGCGTGACCGAACCCTGGATGCCATCGCAAGAATTCTCGTGCATCCACTTCCTCCCAACAATGTACTCGCCAATTGCTTTATGGCTAGCAGTATGCTCCTTGGTCAATTCGCTGAGCGGGATGCGCTTTTGAAGGTCACCAAGAGGTTGGTTCAGTTCCCGCCAAGCATATACACTTGCTGACAATCGACGATACAAAGCTCCACCAACTCACTTGGTATCTTGCTAGAGCATATGAAACAAGTTGATCGAGAGTCTCGCGAACAGTCCGGAGTCGTGCTAAAACTGCTCGGACCATTAGGAGTGGTCCTTGAATTGGAAGAGTACCGTCAAATTGCAAAATATCGCTGTCTTGCGGAGTGGGGACTCGAATGGTGTAATGTCTTGGTCAAGATTGCGGGACAGAGCCAAGATGCTCAAGACGCGATCTGGGACGACGCTCGTACCATTCTACACTTCAGCGTTATCGTGGCCGGTGATGGCTTTGTTAACCAGGGTGAGAGAGCCCCTGCCGCCACGCTGGTCCTACATCGGTTATCGATTCAAGAAACCACTGATTGTAGTTGGATCATCGACTACATCATACATTACCACAATACTGATGACGCAGCTGTGACTGACGCTATGTTGGCACTGAGCCAGTTGCCTCACGTCGTCAAGTTCAACCAAGTCAGGATCCCTGCAATGGTTGATGTCATAGTGTCCTCTTTGGCTTTAAAAAGGCCGACAACTCTTCAGGATGCCGCTCTTCGTGCTGCTCATTCCTGTAGAAAAGTCATCGCTCTATCTGGTGACAGTTATATGCCACCCCATTTGTTGTCAGGATTTTCTGCCGCTCTTCACTCCACTCTCACCACGAGCGAATCACCGCGGCAACACCTGCTTTATCTGCAAATATTATATTCTTGGGCCAAAAGCCAAGCATGGAGCACTCACATCCTCGATCATGGACACCATAGCGCTCATCTTACTATCGCCAACACGTTCCCATATCCTGACGATCCCCTGCTGTCCGAACACCTCGCACTCTACATTATTGCAAACTTGCAAGTCATGCAAGGATTATCGGACCATCCACTCGACCTCCCGAATGCTACTTCTTGCCGAATACTTGTCCAAAAAGCCTGGCATTCTTTGATAGTTCGACAAACCGCAAGCAATGAGACGGTCGAGCACCTTAGTGCTTTTACTATGGACCGCTTACACGAGGGCATAGTCGTTCGCACAGATGATTTAGTTTCTTCCATCAGGCAGACTTTCAGTCAGCTAAGACAGGGTGGTGACCATCGGTTGACAAGTGTGGTGACTGAATTGTTGCTGAACATTACGACGCTATAGGACTATGCCGCGAAATTAGAATACATTTGACACATGTTAGTGTCCTGATCCGATGTATCTAACTACACAATACGTAGACCGCAGGCAGAAGGCTGTTTGCTATTGGGAGGCGATCGAGGTGACGTTGATGTACTACCATCCGTTATACATGTTGTTTTGTAAGGCAGCTGGGTGCTTGACTCTTGGAGACAAAAGAGCAAGCTCTCTACCCAATATCTCAGTGCATTGTAGTCGTTTTGGTTGTGAGGATCATCAAGCACCAAGCACCAGTGCACCACCGACGGAAGACGTAATACAACCCATCACTACAAGTACCGCACACCGGGTCGAGTGTTTGAAGTTCATGAAAATCTCCTTATGGTGACGCCGAAAAGGATACCTCGTCAGCTGGAACTCAACGTCACACAGCAGCCAGAGTCTGGCAGCGCGTAGTAATAAAAGTTAACACGTGTTCGTCCACGTGAGCATCCGACAATCAAGAAATTACAGAGGACACACTCGTCTTGATCAATGTCTCGATGACGGGTAAGTACTTCCCTTTGCAACTTGCATTATCTCAACCTACTACCGCAATATTTAGACTACTCCCTATTCACCATTTCCGACTTTGATGCTAATGACTACGCCAACGCGATTCTTGCTGGCGAGCCGTATCCGCAAGTTCACCAAACGCAGTATGCAAAGCCTCGAACGGGTGCAGCATTAGAATCAGCAAAAGAGGACATATCAGTCGCGATATCTAAGTTGGACTTGAGCATCGAGGATGTGAGCAAGCAAATCAAGAACTTGGTATGAAGTTATACCATCGTATGGAGCTGCGTGATCATACATTGACTGCAGGTTACTACCCACCACGAAGAGCTACTTCAGCGAGCAGCAGGCGTTAATAACCTCTCTGGATCACTGACTTCAGTTCGACGTGGCTTGGACGACGTTGATGCCTCTTTGGAGAAGTACGTAGCTAGGTCCTATCGTTACGTCGTAACTTGACGTGACCTAATCAGACTTCGCCAGAAAATTCGTGTTCCGTACCAAAATTTGGAAACCAATGCAACAAGGCTTCAGCGTATTCGTCAAGCCTCTGATGCGCTGCGACGTATCTCACGTTTTGTTGTCCTCTCGCGACGTCTGGAGACTCAGATGTCCGAGCTTGCTGCGTTTGACAAGCAGAGTGCTACTGAGAAGAAGCAAAAGCGTAATGATTCAGAAGGCCTGTCCGCAGATCAGCAGGATGACAAGGAACGCACCATTGCTAAGGCGGCATTGACAATTGCAGAGCTAGGTTCGCTTGGGCATTAGCTTACAAACAGCTCTTGATTGTTTACTCGTATCAAGGTGCCTTGCTGGATGGACCTGAAGACACTGGAGATACCCCAGGGAAAGACTCATCAGAAGCTGACGATAGGATTTCCCCAGCAATGGATTCTTTGGTCTCCCTCCGATCTGTGAAAGCAGCGGCGGTACATATACCATTCATCGAAGAAGCGCAATATAAGGTCACACATGAGATGCAATCAATGATCAGAACTGGTCTTTCCACTTTGGTGTGTCATGCTGCATTCCAACGTAAATCCTCGATTTAACTTTAGTGATGTTGAGGATCAATCACTGTTGGCATCCTCGCTACAAACAGCGTACAACTTAGGTGCACTCCCGATGCTCGTACAGGGCCTATCAAGAGACCTTTGTGACGCCGTAGAGGAACGGATACGAACAGCATTCGATCTCTCACGCATTTCGAAGGAAGTTGTTTCGAGAGGTATGTCGTACCACGGTTGTTCTTCGTTTACTAATGTCGTTATCATTCAGAAAGTGCGCCATCCTCTCAAGGTCTCTTATATAAGTCGCGTGTACGAACAGAACCAACGAACATCACCGCACCACAATGGACAGCTGCGCTTTGGGCCCGCCTCGAGTCTCTTATTGAGGAGATGGCATCATGCTGTATTAAGGTGGCAACTTTGAGCGTCTGTTCGATGTTATCTCGGCTTACTGTCAATCGTCTTAGGTATACACTCTCGAGAAGGTCCTGAAATTGAAGAAGGACCCGGTCACTCAACGATCATTCCTTGACGATGTGATGAAGGTAACTTACATGAACATCAATCCATCGAACCCGTATCCAATACTTCCTTGAAGGTTCTAGAGAACAAACCTAGCTCAATATTCTGGACATCACTAGGACGCTCCCTTGAGAAGTATGCTCGTGATGCTGCCAAAGGTTTGTCTGAGTCGTTAATGCCATGCACATCACTGAACTATTATGGCTAGGATCAACCTTTCTTCAACAAACTCTTAGCTCTGGTTACCCCAAATTCTTGCGCCTTTTCCACGAATTCTTTGCCAAAATCGCAGTGCATACCGACACAGTCTACACACAATCACAGCAGTCGTAGGTCTCCACCTTATCCTAATTGTATATGGTATACATCATTTTTTTCAGACCAGAAACTGTCCTCGTCCTCCACGCACTCTCCACTTTTGAGGCTCTCTACCTCTCTCGTTCGACAACCCGCTTGAATGAAGCCATTTCCCAGGCTTTCGCTGGTGGCTCACGCTCACCTCCAGGCGCCAACGAAGGAGTCACAATCGCGCGAGCGGTGATGAATGAGCTCGATTCTGCTAGGTTTGATCCTTTGTTGATTCTTGCGGTGGCGAGAAACATTGCCACGGCTCTCGATGGTGCGACAATGAGGGCCGAGAGTCTAGTGAGTTCTTTGGCTCCAAATAGTTGCTCCTTGACTCATGCATTATGTCTAGATTTCCTCAGATCGCTCAGCGGTTGCGCTTCTTGGGCCGATAGCTACCCCACAACAGATTTTAAACGGTCAGGTCGCAACGTGCCTGTATCATTGCTGGACGAAGCTGGAGAAGGTAGCAGAAGAATACTCAGAGAGCGCAGCTGCACTTGTAAGACCCAGTGTAAAGGTATTTATTTTCCGAAATATGCAGAACATCGAATCTTGAAGTCACTCTGTTGCACAGAAACTGCACACCACTTACGATGGCATCGTCGACCCGCTTCTGATGGCGATACGAAGGGAGCTCGCTTCCATCGTCTCAAGACTTCATAGGGTTGACCTGCAGAAGACCATGGACCCGATGGCGGGCATGGCAGGGCCAAGCTTGTACATGAAAGACCTCGCTGATAAACTCAACTTCGTCAAGACGCAGGTCTTCATTAATTTTACGAGCGAAGTAACGCAATCCTGGTATGCCCTTCAGACATTCGCTGTCGACCTGTCGTGCTAAATAGAAAACATAGGGTGCTCTCGATCGTGAAGTACGTCATCCGAATCTTTGTGCTCCATGCCAGTATCGCGAAGCCGTTGGGGGAGAGTGGGAAGCTGCAACTCACGACAGACATGACGGAGCTCGAATTTGCGCTGGGTGCGTTCCTCGGGCCTTCAAGCAAGCGTGGCCTCGAGGTAGCGGGGGAGGAGTACAAAATGCTCAGAGCAATGCGGTTGGTTCTATTCCTCATACCAACTGATACACGCTCACACACACTCATAACAGACCCCTCCTCTTCCTTGACACACCTTCGCTTGCAGTTCCTACGCACGCCTCTAACCTGCCTCCGCTCGTAGTGCTGCACCATATTCTCGTACGGTCTCCGCTGCCGCTGCCGCACATAATGCATGGATGGCAGGAAGCGGAGTATGTGCGGTGGGTGGAAGAACATAGAGAAGAGGAGGCGTGGGGATTAGTTGAGGCTGCGCTGGTTGGGAAGGAGGGAGAGGAATATGTGGAGCTTGCGAGGAGGGTACTGAGGCAGGCGAGAGGCGAGTGAGGCAAGTGTATAGTATAATGCTTTGTTTGTAACTTGGCTGGGACGAGGGACGCCTTCTCCTAGATATTTGCATGTGAACTTTGATGGTATCCCTGTCTCGCGGAAGTTGGTGGTGATGTATGTAGGATAAGTTGTTGGTCCTTGTTTGCACACGTTAGGATCACAAGGTGTTGCCAAACAACACGCCCAATTTGGTTTTCACCCTGTTCCCATAGAGTCGTCATTGAACATTCTAACTCACTGACTTAGCGGCAACTGATCGACATACCGATAAGTGGTAACGAAGCCATGCCAAACCAACTAGAACCCGCAACAGTGATGATGCTGGACTGCATCACTGATGACGATGTGGGGCGGAAGCTTCGTGTTGCAGGGCGGTAGGTCCATTTTGTCATCTTCCTCGTTCTCTATTAATCACGTGTACAAAAACGCTCTACTCACACTTACTGCAGGATGCTCACGTATGACCATTCTACCGCGCTCGTGCTCCTCTCATGTTCCTCCCATGGACTTCTGGTAGACGTGTCCCTCGTAATCGATCCCGATGCGGTACTTTCTACTGAGAAATGGGGCGGAACGCTTGATCCAAGTGTTGACTATAACTGGATGCGCGAACGTAAAGCATGGGTGTGGGTCATCGGGTGGTTGGCGAAGTCTGAGGTGGGTCGTGTCCAGTGCACGTTGTGCATCTGCTTTAGCTGAATCGTGAGGTGCTGCATCGATACGTTGACGGAAAATTCTCTTGTTATACGTGCTAATATGTCATAGCCGAGCCTCCCAATCCCCGAGCCCCCACCCTACACATCGCCACTAGATGTAGACGCGTCGATCGTGCTTAAGGCACTGAATGTCACTCCTGCACGAGATCTGGATGTCGTCGGGCTGCAGGCGGCGCTTGGGGCGATGGGAGAGATACCACCCACGACATATCCAGTGTGAAGTATGCGTAGGCGCCAAGTTATGTATCCCGATGTCATGATGTGAGTAGTCGATGGCACATTGCTCTACTGCATGCTCATGTTGTCATTCGGTGGGGTTCGGCGGTCATGTGCACATTGCGCGCTGTTTTTATGTTCATGGACATATACTTGAATGTATCTTGCGCCTGTTGCAGCAATGGACGACATGATAGAGATATTGATTGTCTCTGAGAGTATCACGATGCCATCGCACACTTGATGAATGCGACTAGTATATTAAATTTAATTATTGTATGAAGAACGGCCAAGGAGAGCGGGATGGCAGAAGCAATATAGAACGATAGCATAGCACTTCACATAGAGAGAAAGCAAACATCACTTGTTGCACGCGGCATTGATCATGCTGTTCCAATGCAACGAGCGGTGGCAGCGATGCGAAAATTCATGGGTATGACAGTATGCCTGGACACTTTCAGCCACGATCGCTCCCGTGTGACTTGATAACTTACTCGTAATACTTTTGAATACCATCGCCTTCCATGATCAGCACGTCTCCCTGAAAATTTAAAATTTCAGGTCTAGGATAACCGCACTTCTAGCGACATGACTTACGTGCCGGAGGATCAGTGTCAGCGCGTTTGACGATAGGTGCTTTGCCTCCTTTGCTGTAGCACGGGGACGAAAATGCATGAATGCCGCGGAACCTAGAGAAAGGGAAGCTACGACAGGACCTAATCCCCCGCTCACTGTCGCTGTGGAACTGATGTACCGTCAATGCACGACCACGCGACAGCTATATCCGACAACTTACAGACATCTTCTGCCGTTCCATGTAGGCAGCACTAAGGATCTCATTAAATGGTATATCTTTTTGAAGAGCCAGGCGAGATCTTTCTTTGATCAAAGCGAGGGCACCACGCACGGATGATGGCGCCTTGTCGAAAGGCACGGTATTTCCTGTTCCACCAACATACTATTTCATTCCTGAGCATTTTACTATTATAGCAGATGCAGAATATAATGACCTGATACGGTTCACCCGCTGCATGCCAAAATGCTCAGCGCAGGAATATACAATAAAAATATGTGCTCTCACAATTTTGGGAAAAATAGTTAGTAAGGAAAGCTCCGCGAACTGCAATAAAGCGTGAGTGATCACTAGCATCATTCTAGAATCTTTAGTCCGTACGCTTATGCTGGATGGATTTTAGAAAGAGTTTGTACGTCAAGGGAAGTTGCTCACAGTCCTGAGTGGGTATCTTCTAAGAAGTAATTCTCCCTTGTCAGCTTGATCTTGATACTGTCGAAATATCTCATCCGCCTGTTTGTTTGCCAATGGAGTGCCCAATATGAGATGAATCATTCCTCTGCATGACTTCGACATCAATATAAGGGCATAGCGGACTAGGACGGCCCTTACCTCTCATCAGGGAGAATGAAGGTGAGGTAATTTGTGAATCCTCCTCCATCGCCCAATTCGAATGGCTGTGGCCGACGAGCGATGATCCCTGCAGTTTTTACATGAAGGTGAGGGAAAAGTGTATGACAATGGCACCGCAGACCTGATTGTTTTCTAACGTGCGAGTGTAGAAAATCTGATGATGGTCGCTGGTGCCAAAACTCTTTTGCCACCCGCAGTCTTCCAGGCACTTTGTAAATCGACTGTGGGAAATGCTTCAAGGGAAGCCATATAATGAGGGGATGGCACGTACATGACAATTAGAGCACTCCCAATGTTCCCATTTGAACCTTGAAACTTGTGTGAGAGTGGCACAATATATCTACAAGGCCAGGCTTACCGAGTCGAAAGGCGTCCGCACTTATCGCAGTGCCAGCCCTTGCTAAATGCATACGAAGTGGTGATGGAATCCATGGTATCAGCCAGCTTCGCAGGGCGAAGCTCTGGAAGATTGGTAAATACCGTTGCGATGGGACGGAGAAATGTGGTGTCATAATCAAGCTGCTCGGGCTCCCGTCCTCCTAGACTCCAAAAGGAGGGGCAGGAAGGGTTTAGACACATCCATCCCTGTGAATAAACAACAGGACTCTTCTGAGAACATTTGTCGCATGCCACCTCTGAGGCTGAATTTGGCGGGGACAGCTCTTGTCTGAAAGGTGATCAGATATGGTGGAAGACATGGAAAATGTTGGCCCACTCGTCGTTCGAAGACTGACAGTCTACTCGAAGTTGAGAAGTGTCGAATGAAAGAATCTTAGTGACCCACCTCTCATTGCATCGGGAAGCATGTCCATATCACCATTCTTGGATGTCGTCCACCATGGATTGCCTTGTCCTTCGCACCACTGGAAGGCAAACTTCCAGCGGACGACCCTCCTGCAACCACTGGATGTGGGTTGATACTCAGCTGCAGCGCGAGCTCAGCGACTCAGAAAGGTAAACTGGGTGTGTCATACCCCATGCGTGAGATATCCAATATGACCCAAGGACGACATACGTGCAGCCTGAGGCGCTGAGGTCAAAAGGGAACAGAGCGTACTTATCATCGGCTAGAAGAACCAAAGGTCGTTTGTCTGTGTAGCTCCTGAGTAGAGCACGAACAGACTTGTCCGTAACTTCTTGATCCTGCGCCTGTTGAAAACGAGCAGGACCAACCCGGTAGTCCAGGATGCTCTCAGATTTACCTCCGCTGCATGTCCACGGATCAGACACCAGGTGGGAGCGACGTGTCATGGACTAACCCATGGGAAATAATCAATCTTCCTTCACAATGAAAGATATCACGGCTGACCTCATTTCGTTAGCGTTATCTTGTATAATAGTGATGGAAGTGAGCAAACCTTGCAGGTGATCCACCCAAAAGATAGCCTTTGACGATATCCTTCGAAGAATAAACACCGCCCTGGTAGCTTCGGAAGTGTTCGAATGATTCGCAAACTTCTTGGCGAGACTACATGCCGGGTAAGGATGCTGTATGCTCACATAGTGTAGCACATACCTCAGCCCAAATTAGAGGTCTTGCCGGCAGAGGAGGTTTCCGTGGTTGTATCCCCGGCGCACTAACGTCGGCCACCTCCTTACAGCTCGACAGCAGGGGCAAAGCATCGTTAATCGAGGGTGCATCATGGACGTCTGCAATCTCATCGTCGTCCGCGACATCATTTTGATCGTTGTCCTGAGCCCAGTCCTCCATAGCCACCGAAGATATCTGGGAGTGCATTAACGAGGCGTTCCTACCAATATCCGTCAGTAGGCGATCGACGCCTTCCTGGTTGAGCGCTTGTTCCGGTGGTCTAGCATAGGTAATTTTTTGTTCATGTCTTGGTAAAATATGTTTTGTCGCCACCTTGCGTGGCAATGGGCGAAGAGACCGCGTGGATGGTGGAAGTGCAATTGCAAGCATTGGTTCGGAAGGTGAGGCCACACAGCGATATGAATCGTGAAAGTGTAGGTCACTATCCTCCTGACCGTGGTTTTGGGACAGGTCACCGTTAGCAAGGACTGGTATACTTTGCTCTGCATGGGCAGCATTTTCAACATCACTCGGCAAGCTACTGACCAATCCTGGGTGGATCGCTTCTGGTATTTGGCAGACGCGCAATGAAGGCACATCATCTAAACGATCGTCCCGCCTGGGCAATTGCGGGAAATTCGGTAGATCAATCGCAATTTGTGAAGAAATGTCACCCGTACTTTCGCGCATGCGTTTAGCATCTGGAGCCTCATTCGCGTGAGGCACTTCAGATGTGCAGGAATGTCCTGGTGATGCCTCGGTAACGCTTGAACGTGTCGGATTTGGACGCTCCTGGTCTCTGCTGCGGCTACGACCGCCACCACGACCGCCACCACGACCACGACTACTACCACGACCGCGGCTGTCATTAACTCCCCGTCCACGCGCCAACGCGTTGTGCCCGCCGCGGCCCGATCGCGTGACTTGCGTAGCGCGACTACCCAAGAGTTCGCGTTTCTTCCGTGAAAGGTACTCGGCTGGACGGTTCTTTGCTTGTAAAAGACAACAAAATTCAAAGAAAATGGCCAGCATCTTTGGATCATTGGCGGAAAGACCTAGGGTTTCTGTCCCGTCCAGAAATACCAAGCGGAGCCATGCTTCCACTACGGCAAGGGCTTGTGACTAGTATGGCCAAGTTGTCAGGTTGAGTGTTAGACTGGTGTATGCGACATACGTTGCCTTGTGCCTCCTCCACGAAGCTGTTGATAACGGCTTTGGTGTTTCCACGAGTTGAACACGAGTATAAATAGCAGTAAGATAACAGAAGTTCATGTGTAAGCAAGGAGGGGTCATCCCAGGTAACTGGCAGCTCCATAGCACACGTCTTGCTCTGCCCTCAACAAGTCCGCTGCGCCTGCCAGTGGTTGGTGATATGCCTCGCAAGGAAACCTTGAATGGAAGCAGCGCACATGTTCCCCAAGCGCGCCCACGTATTACGCAACATGACTAGCGCTCTCGCTAGAAGAGTCACGGCAATACCCGGACTTTCAGGCCTGATCAAAGAAGTCGCGACACATGAAGTGAGGCTCACGGAACACCGAAAAGCAATGGAATAAGTAATACTCTAACGGTCGAATGCTCGGTGACTGGAATCACAATCATATTTACTTCGACCCCAAAGCATGTTGTAGAGCCTCATACACATCAGCCTCTATCCGTGCTTCCATTTTGTCCTCCTCGGATCCGTTCCCAGCAGCAACTTTCAGCGCCTCTTGCAAGTTTGCACGAACAGCCTGAGAGGACAAACTTCAGAGCAAAACGACGCGTGCAAGAACAGAACTTACCTCAGAAGAGAATGACTCGAGAGGCGCAGCCTCTATGACGTTTATGGTCAGTTTGTTACCGGGATGTACAGTTGCGAAGCCCCCGGACGCTGGCGGTGTGCATTAATATCATTCGTTGAATACTACCAAATTTCAACACACCAAACCACTTCTTGGAAGCGTTTCCTGACTCAATAACCTCAATCATACCGGGACGCAGGGCCTCGATGGAGGGAACATGGTTTGCGAGGATACCCATGTCACCGGTCGCAGCGGCAACATTCACCTGGACAACATCTTTGGAGGTGAAGATAGCCTGCACAATATCTTTCAATTCGGAATGAATGGGAGGAGTTACAGCGGACGCACCTGGTGAGGAAGGACCAGGGAAAGGCTGATTTTATCAGCTACTTCAGCATATCCTCGTCGTTGCTGGGCAAACGTTGATGGAGCACGTCGAGCTGCAGACGAGAGCAGACGCAAGACAGACATGGTCAAAGTATTTTGTGGACGTGACCGAAAGATGAAGTGAGGAACGAAATGTCTTTGCTCGGACAAAGCCGGTTCATGATCACGTGACTGCGATAAATGTGACGTGACATTCCAACTCATACACAAGTTACAGCTTCTAATATCTAAGACTTTGACGACAAATCAAGAGGAACAATGTAGATGTCACAGACACCACATATCAACGACTGCTAGGCTTGGAATGGTACCCGTTGCTCGGCATGTAATCTTCTGGTAACAACTCAGGGACACGTCGCACTCCACGCTCACTGTTACAACAAATTAGAATCCTACCAAACGTATCATGTAAATCACTTACATCTCGTCCACAGCAACCAGGAGATCGTAGTTGATTTCCTGGCTCACGACAGAGTCGTATTTATAACTTGGGTGAGAGCGCACGAAATTACGAATCCAAGTTGCTGGCGTCTGTAAGGAGCCTAAAACTGATGTAAGCACATATTTGGAAAGAAATGATAAGCATGCCTGTTGCACGTCTACGGATAAGGTCGAGGTATTTGTTTATTTGTAGTTTGTCGCCCTCGTCGATATCTAAGGTGTCGGTATAAGCCTCCACGAGGCCAAGCAGACCAGGGAACTTTGATCCCTGAGAAAGAGTCAACTTTGGAAGCTGCAGGCAAAGGATGCATAACTACCTTTCCGGCAAAAATTTCTTCTACAGTCATCTCCTCATATTCATCGTCGATTGGTCCATCTTCCACACACGATGGTCGAGGAACAGGGGGGAAGCAATTGCGAAGCTTTGTCTCCTTCGCGGAAGTTATAGGCGAAGATGATCCAGAGGACGAGGGGGTACTAATGGTAGGCGAGATATGCCCTGGAGGGAGAACACTCTTCCGGAAATAAAACTTGCCAAAACGAGCCGCGTCTCTCCTCTGTGCACGCTCCATATTCTGGTCAACCTACCACAGTATCAGTCAAATGACATTAACGATAAATACCAGTACGAACCTTGGAAATAGGTATATAGAAATTTAGGTTGAATGCTAGGATGGCGCGGGAAAGAAGGACAATGAAGACGGCAAATGCAGCATTCTCAAAGTCTGTCATTTGCACTTCCATGCTACGAAACTCTACACGCCAGCCGATCTGAGAGTCTGGTGGGGGTGGTTTGAATCTAAGAGTCTGCCAGTTGGTGGATTGAATATTCTACCAACAAGTTCAGAACAGCAGAAAAAAGGAAGATAAGAGTGATGTCACCTCGAAGTGGTCATTGCTAGCACTGTCATCCTGATGAATGGTTTCCGAGAAAATAACGAGAGGATCTCGAATAAATAAATGTGATATATGCTTCGCAAGCAGCTCGTCTATGCCTGAGTCCAGAAAGTCAGTTGTGACAAAGCCACGAAGGCATCATACTCGCCGTCACTACGAAGACGTTTGAAGATACCCTCATTATAAGGTACAGGTGCGTCGTTATATTCGGGCTTGTTGATCCAATTGTTCGAGATATAGAGGTCAACACTGTCATAACGGGATTTAGGAATTACGTGGTTGTCTGTCGAGGGCTAGGATACTCGTTTAGAAACCATGATACAGGAACCAGAAGTATACTAACTTTCAAACCGCGTTCTTCTGGTGTGCGATCATCGACGCTGCCAGCGATGACGTTCCAACGGCAATCGACATCAGCAAGGTAACCTCTCCATGCGGGACTAGCTGCTGTCAAAGCAAGCTCCAGAACATCTTAGTACACCTAAAGTTGCCTCGCTAAAGCACCTACGCACCATTATTGGTCCAACAGGGATAAGAGCGTCATACATGCGCCTTGCTTCATCTACATTGCAGCTCTGGAAAGTGAGCTGCAAACAGCAACATCCCATTCCGAAGCCCATTGCGTCCATATAAATATGATCGATCAATGCCGCACCGTTCTTCGCCTCTTTTCACCAACAAATTAAACATATTCCAGTACATGGGGAGGGAATTGCACTCACCTGGGTCCTCTGGGTATATCGAACGTTGCCATGGTATAGTGGGGTCGACAAATGGCCGAGGTGTTTTTTCGTCAATGAATAAGGGAAGGTTGATTGCTACCTTGGAGTTCCGTCTACTGCGGATATTTGCAGTAAGGGTACTAGATAAATTTGGATAAGTTCTATACCTGTATAACAAATAAATCCATGGACTGACGGGAAACGTGCGTGAGGGTTCGTGATCTCCTCCGGCAAAAATAGGCTGTGACTAGACTTGGCATCGTCCGGCGAAAAATGAGGTTCTGTGAAGACGCCGTGCGTTCCCAGGCGAGGGAAAGACGTGAAGGTGAATGGGATTTCATTAGCTTTCAGGTGCTTTCTCGCGAGTGTACGTCTGGTTTAAGGCAAGGTTCAATACCGGGCCGTATACCCGAAGACATTGAAGCGCGACATTACCTGTAGCGCATGTTTGTCTCGACAGATAGCAAGTCTGGGATGGAGCCCGTGTATGGAGAGCCGGGGGTCGATTCGAGCATGTATCTTCCATACTCTGGGTGAAAAGTCGGAACAGTCATGCTGCGGGATAACTTCATTACGGCGTCATCCCCTGAGGATCTAGTTACTCACAGGGCAGGCGTATCGTCGTCAGTGAGGTCGCCTACAACCTTACTAAGCTTTGTGAGGATCTCCGTTTGGCGGAGGGAGAGCTTTGCGTTCTTCTCCTCATCGTCAAAGGTAACGACCATGTATTCCACCTTTCATTCTACATGTCAAGCGGGCAAAACTGCCAGGACTGGTTACTTACCTCGTCCCCCCATAGCAACTCATCGCCGCATCTGTCCTTAACCCGATTCCAGGTATGGAGAAACTGGGTGATGCCATGTTCCCGAACATGGTCTGCGTACTGCTTCGTTTCATCCCAAGTTAGAGGTGTTCCGAGATACAGGAGGCCCATGGCGTAAGGTGGCGGATTGTTCGCACAAGCTTGCTTGTGGTAAGTATATGAGAACGGGGCAAAAGACGCCTTTACCAGGACATACAAATAACTCACAAGCTGAAATTCAAAGAGCTAACATGACACCCTTACCAATCAGCCCGTGATAACGATTTGTAAGGTTACATAGGAATGCAGTCCCCCGTTATCATCGGTTATCATTATGGCATATCAAGTATTGTAAAGCAAATTTCAAAGCTTCAGGTACCACCCTGACTCACCCTGAGCACTAAGTTGGGATGACGCAGGACGACAACGCGCGTCGCAGCAATCCGCTAGAAATTCATTGAAAGGGAGTTCATCCGAACTTTTCATCGAGTCGCCCGCGTTTTTATTTTTAGGAAGGCAATAAGAGCGTGCCAACAGACGCCCATATCTCACGCGCACCTACCTTGTTGTGGGTCAGGGGTCAGGTGATGTATGATATTCAAAATCACCTTGTCCCTCCTTATCCACAATGTTCCAAAAGGAGGATATTCACAGGAGATATTCACACTATCGGTCATCCCTGCGTGGCTAATCTATGTATGCAGTCACAGGAAAACGATGCAGTTGACTCTCTTTAGCCGTTGCCGCCATTGGTTGTCCACTTCAAGACAATCTTCAGCGCAAGCAGAACATGTCTTAGCGCACGAGTCCACGCCTCTTCTTGACTGAACTGAAGTTTAACGGACGCTTCTCCTATCTTATCTTTAATAATTCTGTCCCCGAACGGTCAGGGTAACGTAGTACGAATTTAGAAGATGCTCACGCACTGGTGGGGAAATTCAACCGTAGGATCTTGAGACTTGACGGAATCGATGAGTTGCTTCAAGCACTCTAGGAATGCTACCATAGCAAAGTCAAACCGACGGTTATGTAGCAGGCGGCCGAGGTGGAGATCTCCTGACCCGTATAGTTCGTATGTCGCTTTGTCACCTACAGTTCTTTCAATGCGGGAGAATGAGCCCATCGGTATCAGGCGGTAGCTGTAAAAGATCATCAGTACGTATATATACATATACAGTGAGATCAAAATCTGGCTTACTTCTCAAATGTGTAGTCAAGCTTACGCGCAATTGTGTATAGCAACAGAAGGGTTTGACCCCATGCCGCATTAATTTCGGGCCATTCCACCTGCACATTGTTAGGAATCAGAGGTCATCATGAGAAAGGCTAACCTACCGGAACTCCGGGAACCCGCCCAAGCCGGAGGCCATTGATCGTTCCAAAGACACCATCATGACCAATGCAAAACGCGTCGTTGTAAACGTTTGTGCGTTCGAGCTTCTCGAGAGTGGCATAATCTGCAGCATATGCAGCCCGCAGTGACGCTAAACGTGAGGCTTGTTCAGCCGAGACTAGGAGGTGCTCATTGTGCGATCGCCAAAATCTACAACGGAAATTAATATGCAATCAGAGGAGCCCAAGAACCAACTTACTCGGCCTCTTCTTCTTCCAGAGCTCTCTCCTCCGCCCCCAACAACTTGAGCTCCTCATCAAGTTGCTCCCTCTCCCTGTCGGCAAGGCGCAGTTGTTCAATAGCGGCCCGTTCGTCGGCTTTGAGTCTTTCGATCTTTTTCTCTGCATCTTGTCTACTGAGATCCAAGCTCTCTCGTTCTCTTTCCTTCCGAACCTCCTTCTCGAATGCGATATAACCATCACGCTCTTTCTTTGTCTCATCAAGCTGCCTTTGAAGTGATGTAAGAACAATTTGTGTGCATTCCGCGCACAAAGGGTGATCAATGTCAGACCGGGTAGAAAGTACATTAAAAAGCCTCATAGTGGAGCGTAGGTGGTGTGAGATAGGTGTTGGATTCGGATGGTCTGGCTCAGGTTGCTGGTGTGCAGGTGGTTGATGAGTGTTTTTGGCTGGGAAGCTCTTTTGGTTTGCGGAAGAAGACTTCTTAGGCATTGCAGGCCCAGGGATCGGGGAAGGGATGCTGCGTATCATGCTCTCCTGCAGGAGCACAAAGGACTCATTCGGTGCTGGGAAGTTTCGCTGTGGCTGCTTCCCCTGAGCTCGAGCAGAAAGGGGAGGTGATGCCCTCGATTTTTCTGACGGTGTGGCCTGCTGCCATGCTGCTTTGCTAGCAGATGGGGATGGAAGTTGTGTTATTTTTTCGGCTTCCGTCATATAGCGCGCACGCGGGGGCGGCACAGAAGGCAAAGAGGCAACGATCATGTCATACGCAGAGGGTGCAAGATCTACCAGCGATGCGTCGAGCTGTTACCTATCGGTTAGCCTGAGGTCCTTGCGTTGCAAGAATGATTGTCACCTGCAGTGGCTCTTTGCATTGTTGGCATACGTAGCTCATCGTGATATGATGGATCAAGTGAATGATCCTATTGTTCCACGGCAGTCCAGATGTCAATACGTTGAAAGTTATGAAAACTTGTATAAAGTTCACAAGAGAAGACTACGCAAAGGGTATGTTCCACGGACTCATAGACTGATGTATTACATAATTTTTGTGGACCAGTCCAAGGCCTCGGTCCACATGAGTTTCACCACCCACGACCGCTCCTGGAATATGCACGCCGCAAACGATCGTGCTAAGAATCATGTACTCTCCCAAATTTCCCAACATGAGTTAAAACTACGGAATATACCCTCGAACCAGCTGCGGTAGTCAGTTCAATGAAAAAACGCGTTGTAAATGACGAAGAGTTACGGCAAACACGCGTCTTTCCACCTCATCTTCACGAAATAGAAGTTCCTGATTCCTGACGCGGCGTAGTCATATTATTATCTTGCATTCTCAGGAGCCGATTCGATGGTCCGGTGACACTTCTCCTTCTACTCAGATTGCTCCAGCACAAGGAGAAGAATAAATGTTTGGTTTGGCCAGGTAAGACTCAGGTATGTTCCATTTCACATTGATCATGTCCGAAGGTGATGCGACTCCGCATGCCACTGTGTTTGATGCCCGTTCCTTGGTTTAGCGGTAACTCTTCCGCGTCAATGAGCGCGTGTTTTACGCGCTGCACACATATTTCAAAGACACGCTAGCCTGATGTACTATGTATAAATGGTACTTAAGCTATCGCTTGCTGCTATCGTTTATAATTCAGTTCCCCCGCATCGTCAATTCGTCGAGAGGTGAGTGATGCCCCCATTTCGAGGGTACTCATCTCCTAACCGTTCCTAGATGACTTCTCGTGTATTTGCTCTGTTAATTGGTATCGACGATTACAAATCCGGAAGAATCTGGAACCTTGAAGCGTGCGCCCACGATGCGCAACGCATGAAACAATGGCTCATGCAAGATCTCCAAGTACCCAAAGAAAACATCGCGCTTCTCCTCAACCAAGAAGCCACGAAACATCGTATTGAAGATACATTCATGAGTCACCTTGTTAACAATCCTGCTATATCACAAGGCGACGCGTTGATTGTATATTTTGCTGGTCATGGAAGCACCCTGCGCGCACCACCAGACTGGTGTGAGGGTAAGCTTCTCAGCGTGCAGGTCTTGTGTCCGTACGACCACGACACAAAAGGACCAGAAGGACGTGTAGCAGGCATATCTGACCGCTCCCTTTTCGCGATGCTGGCAGAGCTCAGCCTCATCAAAGGTGACAACATCACCCTCATTCTCGACTGCTGTTTTCCAAATGCACAACTTGGCTCAAGCACTAGAGACCGCCGTTTCGTCCGCTACACGCCCACCTCTAAAGCCACGCCCGAAGATCTATTTTTGGGCTTGTGGCAAGGCGCTGTTGGGCAGAAGTTTAGAGGAGAATTCGGATTCTTCCAGGACGACTGTCAGAGTCACGTCCTCCTTGCCGCCTGCCGGCCGGGTGAGAAGGCATTGGAGTGGAAGGAAGGAGGAAAGTTCACCTCGGAACTTCTGGCTGTCAAGGACGCACTCCCTCTTCATCAGATGAAATCTTCCGATTTATCAGAGCATCTTACGAAGGGCTTGGCCCACATTCATCAACACCCAGTCTGCGTTGGCCAACGCAAGGACCGAGTTATCTTCAATGGTGTCCCCTTTGTTGCCGACGCCTCCCTTGTTCCCGTTAACGGCGAAAAAGACCGCCTTCGTCTGGAAATGGGGGCCATGCATGGCGTTGTTGAGGGCACCGAATTCAGCCTTCACGAGCACAATCGCTCTGGCTCCACCAATCCGTTACTCGATAACTTCCGCGTGTATGAAGTTTACCCTACGTGGTCACTTGCTAGGCGCAAGAGCATGAACAAACCTGGCGGTCGGGGTTCATGGGCACGCATTACTCGATGGAACAGCCGCACCCCTTTCCGAGTTTACGTCAAGAGAACATGCTCTTCTCTTTTCAGGCGCCTCTTTGGGCGCAGCAAGAATTCAGAAGAAGAACTGGACGGAATCCCTGTAAAGGAAGGCTTGAATATCGTGCAAGTCGAGACTTCTGCTGAGGCGGACATGTCGGTTGGTGTTCACACTCGAGACGTACGGGTCCAAAATCTTGATCACCTCGTTCCTGCCACTGCCCACCCACTTATACGCATCGAGAAAGATAGGTCCAGATCTGGCGTCATCCTCAGCGAAGCCGCACGCTTCCACATGCACCTCCACCGAACCAATCCGGCTAAACCGTTTCACGAATCACTGGGGATGGAAATTTTCCGGGTTGACCCCCACACCCAGCGACGTGTTGGCCCAAACCTGTTCGTCGATGGAACGGCAGCAATATCGCACAGTGAGGGAGCACGCTACGCCGTAGTCCTCCACAATCACTCAGATACGGATCTCTGGCCGTATCTGGCTTATATGGACTCCAATGGAGTTGACATCCAGTTGCTATACCACCCTCAGCCATCGTACCCTATGCCCCCACTGCGGAAGCGCAGCTATCTTGAAATAGGCTGCATGGGCAGTGGTATTCCGCCTCTGAATTTCCCATTTCCTCATAACCAGCAGCAAGAGTCTGCTTTCTTAAAGTTGTTCGTCTCTACTTCGTACACCTCGATGGGGTTATTGGAGCAAAGCTCTTTGGCGCATACCTGTCCGCCCACACCCGTCCCGCCTCCTACACCCACAGTAGAATCGAAAGATCAACCGCAAAACTGGGACACCGCACTCGCATGTGTCATCATGAGAAGGGTGAAAAGGAAAGATCGAATATGAACCATATGTAATTTCGCTTGTTCTGGATGAGTGGAAAGTTATCGGAGCGGGCTTGGCATGCAGTATTTAGGTCGTTTATTGATTTTTATAGTGCTACAAATGGGCTACTCTGAGCTACTGTGTTCGATATTGTATGGTCTCGTGTCATAATAAGCAGTGGTAGACAAGGAACAATCCTGAGTGCTGAGTGCTGAGCAGAAGATCAATCGATAACATGTGGTAACAGTTACGTTTTGTTGAACGGCTCTCAGGAGCTACACAGCCACTGCAACGAAGACACGAACGGTCAGTGGTAGCATTCTTACTGGAACTTCTACTAGTAGAACCACAAGGTGAACGCGAGGTTGTCTGTTCCCCCGACTCAATTATCTATGGAACCAGAAAGACCACCAGAACCCTCTCAAGACTCTGCCAGTTTACTCAAACGATTGGCTGGTCCATCCTCTACCAAAGCCGGGTTTGTCACCTCCTAATAATACTTGCACCTCGACACGTTTGACAGCTTGTAGCCTCGCTCATGACCAGACCGCAATCAATCGCATTATTGCTGAGGCGTCCAAGGGTTCCAAGTTCTATGAGGCAAGCCCACGCTGCTCAAGCCACCCACTATATCACTCAGAAAGATCCATAGAATGAGAAGCGCAAAGACAAGGAACTATCAGAACGTATTAACAAGATCCTGAAGCAACGTGACGAAGCCCTGCAGGGCGTCAACTTACGTGCGTGAATCAGTCGGCCTCAAGCTAAAGTTGGATTCAACGCTTTTCCAGGTCCAATTGAGAGAAACATTGATCACCTCGTGAGCAGCAATTACAACTCAGGGAGCGCATTGAGGCAAGCCTCATTATAGCTCGAAGAACTCGAATCACAACGCGATTTGAGCCAAATTGTGGTGCATGTTGACATGGATGCTTTCTACTGCAGCGTCGAACTCCTTGATGACCCATCGCTGCAAGGGAAGCCATTTGCCGTGAGCTTGCAAAGTCATATCGATGCTTTATCGTGAATCGCATTTCCTTAGGTTGGAGGTGGGGTAATTTCTACTGCTTCCTACGATGCGCGCAAATACGGCGTGCGCTCCGGGATGGCAAGTCCGTCTACGTTTCCTGTGTCCCGTTACACCATTCTCATCATGTCCTTTTAGCATTTGTTGCCAAGAAGCTCTACCCCGAGCTTATTCTCCTGAGATCTAATTTTGAACGTTATTCAGAAATGTCTGATAAAGTCATGGACATCTTCGAGAGATACGACCCTACTATGCTTGCAGCCGGATGTGATGAAGGATACTTGAAGTGTGTCGTGGCAACCGTTTTTGAGCGTGTCGGTATTCATTGTCTATCTACTCAGCATCACGGAATATTGCGAGGGACACATGATGGATGCAGATACCTGTGTGCAAGAAATTCGTGACACCGTCTTCAGGGAGACATCCTTGACAGTGAGCGCTGGGATTGCTCCGAACAAGGTGCGTGTTTGTCTTTCCCCAACGAAGCCGTAGCTTACGGTCCTCAGATGCTAGCAAAGGTCACTTGGATAAATGTGTTTTGGTTGTCTTCCTGATTGAACCTTTATGCCGCTTAGATATGCTCAGACAAGGTTCTATGAATGTCGCGAAATTAGGTGATTCGACGCTGACGTCCGCTACAGAACAAGCCGAATGGTCAATACCATCTGCCGTTCGACCGCACTTCTATCAAAGCTTTCATGCACGATCTTTCAATCCGCAAGGTGCCCGGGGTAGGACGTGTCAACGAGCGCCTTCTTGAGGCCATAGGCATCAAGGTCAGTGCTCACGATGCCGTATCAAATTTCACTGATTCCGCATAGAATTGTGGTGATATCTTCAAGCATAGAGCGACGCTGCAGTTAATGGACAAGCAGTTTGGCCTGGTATTTCTATTGAGAACATATCTCGGCGTCGCATCTAATGTTGTACAACCCATCCAACGAGAGGAACGGAAAAGCATCGGTGCAGAAAGGCATGTGTCATGTTGCTCTCGTCAGCGTCGTGTTTCAATAACTATTCAGGACCTTTCACGCTTTGAGTAATAAGATACAGATCCTGAGGAAACTGGAAGAGGTGGCGGAAGAACTTGAACACGATATGGTCAGAAGAGGCTGGACTGGGAAAACGGTGACACTCAAGTATAAGTTGGACACGTTCCAAGGTAGGCCACTATCTGCACAACATTCAGACATATCACCTCATGTCCCGCAGTCTTTACGCGAGCAAAGTCATTTGACCGTTGGGTGAGTTCGAAGAAGGAAGACCTTTTTGCAGTGAGTGAAGGACGTCTCGGAACTCCCGTCCACCAGACTCACATCGAGGTACATCAGATCGGCAAAGAATTATTACTGCCTGAACTGCCCCTCACCCTCCGACTAATTGGCTTGCGAGTCACCAAGCTGAAAGACCTGAATGCCCCAGAACCGGCAGGAGGTATCAAGAGGGTATGCTTTATTATGTTCCACCGTCAACAATGTCAATAACAAGTTGTTACAGTTTTTTGAATCTACAAATTCATCGCCAAGAAAGAGACCGAGACTTGCAAGCGACACGGAGGATTGTAACGATGATCAAGACGAGGCTGGAGAAGACTATGAATCGATGCCAGGGTTCTATGAAGAAGAAGAAAACGTAGAAGGACGGGATCTCGATGCTCCCGACGATGAGGAGCAGAATCATATCTCTCATGATGTAAACCCTACAAACCATGAACGACGACTACGACCACCAGTGTCAGCTCCAGGGCCTTCTCGGACAATACCAAGTAATTCACCGTTCCCGGCAACCACGTCGAAGCCAATGAGCGCCAGACAAGGGGATCATGCCCGGCATCAAGAGTGCCCTATTTGCGGGAAGTTGCTGGACACGGACAACAAAGGGCTAAACGCACATATTGACTTCTGTCTGAGCAGAGATGTCATTATGGAAGCCCAGACTGAGGCACAGAGCGCTGTGAAGGAACCGAAGGATCTCGTACTTTCTTGGCCGAAGGGGAAACGGTAGCGGAAGCTCGAAAGTAGGAACTAAGACATCTCGCCAATTTCGCCAGAGTTGTCAATGCGCCATGTGGCTCAAAACGGGCTGGCAAGGATGTCAGTGGAGTGTCACATATAATACATAATATGATGGAACTTGAACACTCACTTATCTCGACAATTCCACCAGTGTTGTCCATGAGCCATGTGGCTCAAATCCAGTTCTGGACCTCCTCTGGGTATCACTAACATAGTCCAAGGACTATAAGAAAATGTCTCTCGTGAAGCGGGTGGTACCCAGAATAGGAGCCGATGACTGGGTCCCAACATCCATCCATCATCTCCCAGCGAAAAGGATATCAATCTGCAGTCATCATGGGAGGTGCCCTCAGCGTTGTACAGCACGTGTGACGAATTTGATGAGATGGAAATGAAGTCACACGCGGTGTTGGGTATCTTGGTAGGGGTGGCATCTGTCGGATGTGTGGTGCGACTGTCACAGGAGGAGGGTGCTGAACAATCTTTATCGGCACAATCCTGGAATGCCTTCCCAATTGCTGCATACCAGACCCGGACGGTCCTATCCCGCGAACCAGACACAATACAAGTACCATCTGGCGAAAACGAGACTGATTCAACAGAATCAGTGTGCCCACGCAAGGGCTCACCGACTGGCTGCCCTGTCACCGCACTCCACACTTGGACAGTGTGATCATCTGAACCAGTCACGATGCGAGTTCCGTCGGGTGAGAATGAGACTGATGTAACCGTACCAGTGTGCCCCTGCAAGGGCTCACCGAGTGGTTGTCCCGTGGCTGCATCCCACAGCCAGACAGTCTTATCCCAAGAACCAGATGCGATGCGAGTTCCATCCGGCGAAAACAAGACTGAGTTGACCCAATGAGTGTGCCCTTGCAAGGGCTCACCGACTGGCTGGCCCGTCACTGTATCCCACAGCCGGACAGTCTTATCCCACGAACCAGACACGATGCGAGTACCATCTGGTGAGAACGAGGCTGAGTAAACCCAACGAGTGTGCCCCCGCAAGGGTTCACCGACTGGCTGGCCTGTCGCTGCATCCCACAGCCGGACAGTCATATCCCTTGAACCAGACACGATGCGAGTCCCATCCGGCGAGAACGAGACTGAGTAGACTGGACCAGCATGCCCCCGCAAGGGTTCACTAACTGGCTGCCCCGTGGATGCATCCCATAGCCGGATAGTCATTACACTCGAACCAGACACAATGCGAGTACCATCCGGCGAGAACATGACCGACATAACTTGACGAGTGTGCCCCCGCAATGGCTCACCAATTGGCTGACCAGTGGATAGATCCCACAGCCGGATAGTGTTATCATCCGAACTGGTCACGATGCAAGTTCCATCCGGCGAGAACGAGACTGATGTCACTGTACCAGTGTGCCCTTCCAAAGGCTCACTGACCGGCTGTTCCGTCGCTGCATCCCACAGCACAACAGTCTTATCTGAAGAACCGGTCACGATGCGAGTCCCATCCGGCGAGAACGAGACTGAGTTAACCCAATGAGTGTGCCTTTGCAAGGGCTCACCAACTGGCTGCCCCGTTGCTGCATCCCACAGTCGGACACTGTTATCCGAAGAACCAGACGCAATACGGGTCCCGTCCGGCGAGAATGAGACTGACATAACCCGACCAGTGTGGCCCCACCAGGGCTCACCAACTGGCTGCCCCGTTGCTGCATCCCAGAGTCGGACGGTATTATCATATGAACCAGTCACAATGCGAGTTCCATCGGGTGAGAATGAGACTGATGTAACTGTGCCAGTATGCCCCTGCAAGGGCTCACTGAGTGGCTGCCCCGTTACTGCATCCCACAGCCGGACGGTCATATCCCCGGAACCAGACATGATGCGAGTACCATCTGGTGAAAACAAGACTGAGTTGACCCAATGAGTGTGCCCTTCTAATGGCTCGCCGACTGGCTGGCCCGTCGCTGTATCCCACAGCCGGACAGTCATATCCCTTGAACCAGACACGATGCGAGTCCCATTCGGCGAGAACGAGACCGAGTAAACCGAACCTGCGTGCCCCCGAAAGGGCTCACCAACTGGCTGCCCCGTGGATGCATCCCACAGTCTGACAGTGTGATCCCAAGAGCCAGTGACAATGCGAGTCCCATCCGGCGAGAACGAGACAGAATTAACCGAATCAGTGTGTCCCCGCAAGGGCTCACCAACTGGTTGCCCCGTCGTTGCATCCCACAGCCGGATAGTGTTATCATCCGAACCAGTCACAATGCGAGTCCCATCCTGCGAGAGTGAGACTGAATTAACCGTATCAGTGTGCCCCCTGAGCACAGCCTGAACAGTCGGCCAGTTCATGTCACGTCCACATGCCAAACGAAGAGAATTTGGAAACCGCGCAGAATTTTTTGTAGATAGCGCAGAATTGACAGGCGAGAACGGCAGTGCTGATACATACAGATGTGGTGTGCTGTGTAAAATGATGCCACCAAAGATTTGAATAAATTTCCGCACGTCCATTGCAGTCGACGAGATATCTTGGAATCCTGAGTGACCCTGTGGTTGCGCGTGAGCACTTTTTCTGGCGCTCAGTAACCATGTGCTCACCTTCATCCACTTGTCAATGAGCAGAAGTGCGGCAACTGCACCACTGAGCGCGTCGATAAGGCCGAGTAACTCGAGCCAGAAGAGCAGACGCTCGTGGTGGAGGAATAATTTTATTTCTTTTGCAAGTTCCGTATCGAAGCCCGTTGTCCGTACATGTGCAGCCCAAGATCGACAGGAATAGGATAGATGTGGGGGGATGCATCTTTGTACCCGTTCTGGCAGCTCGGGGTCTTCGCAATTAGGCAGATACGAAGACTGTAAATTACAGATATTGAAGGAAAGTTCATGTTCCATCACACCAAGTGACGCAAAAGCAAGGTCCCGTTGCACGTTCGACAGGTCCACAAAAAATTCCCCACTGTATGAGTGGTTCGTCAGAAAATCACGAAAGGATGCGTGAAGAGGTCGGATGGGAGTAGATGAGTTGGTGGTGCCACTGAGGAGAGATCCCATGTATTCAACAACAACATCCACTTTGTAATGCTCGTTTTGGTCTGGGAAATGGCTCCGCATGGCATTTAGGGACTCTAAAGAGAGGGGCTCAGCTGCGCCAAGGATTTGTGCCATCACGGAACGAAACCTCGCTAGCTGCGTTTGCTGAAGCGTGGCATTTGAACATTTATCCTTCCGCAAGGTCTCTGCCAAAATGAAGTGATACATATCATACAACAAGTTCTCCCGCTTGGCAGGATCGCGGGACACTACGGCATTGAAGGAATCCATTCGAGAGAAACCAGCAGGGGGGACTTTGATGAACTCGCAAGCAATACGTGCCCACTCGAAAAGTCCGTCGGCTTTCTCAGCGAGGGCTGCAAACTCTCGGATCCCAAAATCCGAGAGCCCTTCCAGCTTCTTCGATACGTAAGCATAGATGTCGCGCTCCGCAATTTCTGGCGGAATTTCATCCATGGACATTCGTTGAATATGCGGAGCACCGCCGAACTCGTCATCAATGTCGCGTAGCGGGCGCGAAGTAACGATAAACCGGAAGTTGGTGGGGAGTTCAGTGATTTGGGGAGCATTCAGGTTCTGAAGTTTACCGGCAAGAATACGGAGAAGGTCACTCCGTGTCTCGACTCTGCCGCTCTCGTCCAGTGCGTCGATCACAATCACGACAGGTCCTACAGTCGACCCTGAGAGCTTCCCTAGTGGTTCCACAATAAGCTTCTGCCACTGCTGGACGACATCCACCGTGTTCTTGAGCGCACTTTCAATCTGGACCGCATCTGCCAATGCTCGTCTAATCCCCGGATCACGGTCAGCCAGGTCGCGCGCGATGGTGGGAAAGACCTTTTCATGACGGCGGTCGGCATCTCGGTGGCGGTCGAAACAGAAACATGAACCAAGCCCTCCCATATCGTGGAACCAGTTAGCAATTGTGTGAGCGATAGCTGATTTTCCCGTGCCTGCAGGACCAGATAGCCACAGCACACGTGAACCAGCATCTCCACTGCTGTAGATCCATTCAGCGATCTGGGAGAGAATTTCCGTGCGCGTCCCCGGTAGGCATTGTTTCCTGGTATCTCGTCCAGCGCCGCCTGCATTAGCAATACCACTGAGGTTCAGAGTATCGCCTGAAGAGCATGAGTGACTGTTAAAGTCGAAGCATGACCAAATCTTTACCTGTACGATGTACATAGATAGCTATGTTTCGAGCAACTTGGTCGCGAAATTGTTGCATAAGCCCATCCAACGCGTCACTATACCGTTGAATCGTGACATTTGTTTCTGAAAGAACATTTTTCTTGAGTCTCTTCCCTGTGATAATGATACAGGAATCAGAATGTGCAATACGGAATAGCTTATGGGTGACTCACAGAAGTTCTTGGTTTCAGCGTAATCTCTTATGAACCGGGAACATTCGAGAGTCTGTTGAACTATCCGTCCAACAATACTCTGCATCGATGAAATTTGGCGAAGTGTCCCATCTTGTGTCATGAACTCATAAACTTGACCCAACTTTTTCAGAAGCAGAATTACCGCTTCGTCGTGATCCGCTTGAGTGAGAACCATCTATACGGATAACTGCTGAACAAGTATAGAAATGAAAGCGAAATCAAACATACATTCGATGCGCGAGAAAGCAGGCCCAGCGCCATCTTTGCATATGGATGAACCTGTGGAACAGTATGAGCTCGGTTCTGATCAAGAGGAAAGGCTCATACATCTGCAATCGTCGCAATCACAGAGTCGAATATCCTGAGAGATTGGAGATACGTGGCCTCGAAATTGTCTGCGGTGTCGAGATCCGCTGGTGCACTTCGGGCTGCGGGCGCCACAGTTCTCGCAGGTCCCCAAGGTATATTCCTGTGATCTGCAGTATCATGGACATCCCGAAGTGCCGCGTCCACAGATTGCGGATCAACATCTTGCTCCGCACCAGAAGGGGTATCCTGAACCTGTGCGACCGCCAGAAGTTGAAGAGAGAGAGCAGAAAACAGTTGGAGCACCTACTTCAATATTCGGTGTCGATGAAGCAACTTCATGACCGGCACTTGGGCCCTGGACTCGAAGAACAGGATCGTGCCTGCGGGAAACCTTCGAGCGCTTTTGGACGATTCTTAGCCTTATTCCAGGAAATTATGGATTCTGGTCGACTCACAGACATCTCCTCAGTCACATCCTCAACCTTCCCCGGCAACTGGCGTATTTTACCACTGGGACGGCTCTGAATGATCGAGGATGCAGCATCAGAGTCAGCATTTCAAGTGGTGAACGAGTCATGATTCTCATACTAAGCTTTGACCAGGCATTCCTTCGCCAGATCTGAGGGCATCTTGAGAGATTGGCATGTCGGATACATCTTCGTCCATCGCAAACAGTTGAAGGTGTATGTATATCAGTGATTCAATCTGAGCAAAGTTGGGTGAGAAGTTAATAACTGGAGAACGTTGTTGGCAAAGCGACCACAACCAGTGCAAAGGCAATTGATATTCTCGAGCGCTAAACGTTTGATATTCGCTTGCCACGTACGTTTCTGAACTCTTGACAATGTCAGACAACGGCGGCCACACGTCGTCCTCAAAGTCTTCAACAACCACTACTTACCTCTCTCAATAGACATCCTCGACGAAATGCGCCAGTGCGTTGTACTAAGTCGCATTTCATATAGTACCGCATCCCTAGCCGGGCCTGCACAGACCAATAATGCAACACACATTGTCACGTTTGCAGGAGAAGAAGCAAAGTTTGGGGCCGTTACTGCGCTTGGAGTCAGTGCTAATCATGTACATCAATGAATCGTGAACAGTGCTTGGCAGACTCTAGCGACGTTCTCACCGGAGACCAGTGACTTGTCCGTGTTCCACTAGGTTCCACTCCCGTCTATTAGAAGGAACGACCAACTTCCTTCGTCTATATAGGGCTGGCTAGGGGAGACTAACTCCTGTCTGATGTGTTAATTTTTTTATTACAAACTGCTGATCGCCTCATCACCTTCTGTCACTCTCGGCTGCCGAAACTGTCTTTTTTTAGCACGAGAAATACGACACTTTAAACTTGCCTGTCGCATTTCTGTCCCACCCTGCGCTACCGTCTACCATTGCTGCTCTGTTCCAAAAAGCATTCCCGTCGGCACATGCAACAACCTCGATAGGGACTCTACAGAAACTGAACCTCGTGCTTCAGCTACAGGACACGAGATGTGTGCATGCGTTCCAGTGCGGAGTGGTCACACCGGAGTCTATGCTGGTGAGGCCCACCCTCGTTTGAAAGACTAAGTACCGTTAGTGACTCAAAGCGCATCAAACATAGGGAATTCCCCTGTCTTCTCGAGCATATAGCTTGTTCCTCGCAGACGGACGTCTTGTAGCCTGCCCGGCCCTACGACACGAATCGAAGGGGACGTTCGACAAATGGCGCGAATTGCGACGGAGTTGTGATAGACCGTGCGGGATGCTCTTGTGATCCGTCCAACATGGTACTTGTCGAAGAAGCTGAAAGGCCTTTCGAATGTTGGGAGCAGATTACAGCCCTTGCTGGGTACATCTTGCGTGCGAATCCATCAAAGCACCCTCTAGCTTGTCGCCAAATGAGTCCTTCCATACTATGCTGGGGTGTCCCGCGATCCTGCCAAGCAGGGAAACTTATTGTTCAACTTGTATGATGGTATGTATCACTTCGTTTTTGCAGAGATCGTACGACAGGATCTATGTGCAAATGCTTTCAGCATACCCTGGCTGCTGGGCCCTGGCAGCTAGCGAAGTTTCGTTCCGAGATCCTCAAGAGTCTTGTTGATGCACGTGACTAAAAACGTGACTTACAATTGGGCGTGGGCATGTGTTAGTAATAGGAGGTATTAAAACTACCACTTCCATTACACACAACTCTCGCACAACTATGCTCACACTTCTGGACAATCAGACGTTCAGAGCGAATGTTCTCCAAATGATCAATGGTCTTCAGACTACTGAGCAGTTGATCCATCACGTGATGCCGGCACTCCTGGGGATCGAATCATCGATTGTTCAATGGATAGATTCTTTATTCACTCTCCCATTATGTTGTTTATGGTTGAGGGTATAAACGTATCTGTTGCACGAGACGACTCTTCTGAAATTTCTCTACTCTCTGTGTCTTTCTTGAATTCTCATGCACTCACTCGTTCTCGAGAGGGTGTGTTTCGGGCTCTTGTGACTCTGCTCGAAGGAGATGTTCGGTTCTCTACTGATTTTCCGTTCGCACTTCGCGATACCTTGCCGGTCACGGTCGTCCTAGGTCGTGATTGGTACACTTTCGACCACTGAAAAACGCGGAGCAGGATCATCAACAGCACTGACCGACTTTAAGATTGAGAAAAAGTCCCGTACCAAATGACTGACAACTTTAAAATGACAGCCGCTTGCAATCTTTGTACTATCAGCTCTTTCTCGCTCCTGTGTCTGTAATCACTGTTATCAACGTTTCTTGAAATAGCGCATTCAACTGTATCTCTAATATTCTTGTAACACCACTAATGGGTCTCGCAGGATTTAGGGAGGCGTACGAACACCGGTGTAGCCAAAAAACAGCTCCTCAACACGCTGAGGAGCCGGCTGTTATTGACGACTAACAGTTAGAACGACAGACTCAATTGGAAACAACAACCCAGGGTCGGAAATCGCCCTCACGTGCGCGCATCGAAATCTCGATTCTCTACCTGTACAGTGTACATACAGGGCCGCACTCAATGCCATCATGTCTAGTCGCTCGCCATCACATCCTCCGCACAATCCTTTCCCCAAAGGATCTCACCTCAACCTCTGAGTTCTCTATTGCGCATGACGCATGGCGTACCAAAAAGTCATCCAGGTCATTTCGGCGGCGTAACGCTAGCAGCTACACTCGAGCGTACAGCAGCAGCACTACTAGTACAGAAGCCTCCAATGGTTCTCCCAAGAAGGAGGCGTCTTCAAGTAATCACAAATCCGAGGTTTCAGCTCTGTTACACAGAATATCAGCCTTTTTACCTCGTGCACTCTCGGGAACTACGAATGATGGCGGAATACAGTCGGCTCAACTCTGGAGCGAACTTTTGAGCGAGATTGATGAGGATTTGTCAATATCGCGGTCTTCCACTGTCAGAAGCGCGCGTCGTCGGTAAGTCCTTCCTCCAACTTTCTTTGCTTTGCATCCGACGAAGTTACTTTCTTCTAGTATGCGGAGCTGACCAGTGGGACCGGCTCCCATGAGCTTATCACAGCTCTCCTCGAAAACCCGTTTACGACTGACGAGGCTTATAGCGATATCCTTCGCAACCGGTGGAAAAACCAGTCTGCATTCCTCACAATCGAGTGCGTCCATCTTCAATTCTATACGTTTCCATGCTGCAGATACTCAAAAAGCATTCAGTCACTGGCCCCTCAACCTCCCTCGTCAATGACGCCCTCACAATTCCCTCATCCTGGCTCCAACAATACCCCTTCCCTATCCAACTCACCGAAATCCCCTCACTCGCTTCCCACCCCTCCCTCCCAAAAACGCTCCTCAAAGCAGACGTTCTGATCCTCCTCTGCAATCCACTAACAACACCCCTACCCACGCTCATCTCCAAAGCCCATTTCGTCCTTCAAAGACCGAGAACGATACTTTTGCTCACTGGTTCTGGTTCTGGCTCAGAACATGTACTGGAACACGTCACCAAGGAACTCGGGGCTGCAGGCTGCGCCCCTGGAAAGGTGATTGCAGTGGATCCTATTCGTGCGTTGGAAGCTGTTTCGGCTTTTAAGAAGGACCCTTCGTGTCCTGCTGCGATTCAGAAGTATCAGGATGATTTTACGGGGTCGAGGGTGTCGCTTCTTGGTGAGGTGTTGGCGGGGATGCTTGGGTTCAAGGAGTCGGGACGCGCATCAACAACATCAACATCGCCATCATCGTTGTTGTCGGATATCTGCACGCGTAGCGCCTTGATGCAAATGCACGGCGCTCTTCACGCCAGCGCCCAATCAGTATCCCAAGCACGCATAGCCATAGACCGGGTATTCACAAGCGCTAGCGAGCTACAATCGCAAGTCGAACAAGTCCGTGCGAGGGCAGACAAGGAGGTGCTTTTGGAGTCTGGTATAGACGAAGCTTTACTCCGCGGTTCGAAAGAGATGAAAGCTTTGCTAGAGTCGTTGACTTGGCTGAAGATGATGTGGCGTGTGGATGAGATAGATGTTTTGGTGGGGTCTGCGTTGGAGAGATATTGGTGTCGGGAACTTGAAAACCAGGTATGCGCACCGCACACAACTTTTTTTGCCATATTGTGACGCTGATACCTCGTAGCTGATCCTTCAAACGGGTCATCTAGCATCTACCCAAGCATCCCTAACATCATCCACATTCTCCCAACTCACCAAACTCGCCTCTCCCTCCCAATCCCCACACTGCATCCCCACATTCAACTCCCCAATTCTCTCCAACAACCTCCACCAACTCACCCACTCCCCAACATACACACTCACCCCATCCACCCTCACCTACCCCATCCAAGCACGCCGTTCCCAACTAACAAAACACACCACCACGCGTCTCCACCGTGAGGCCCAAAATGCCGTCCTAGGTGCCTTTGGTGGTTTTTTCGGGGGTGCTGGATTAGGGTGGTGGCTTGCCTTTGGGGAAAGCGTTTTGAGCGTTGGCGTTGGAGCGGGGTCGGAAGCTGGGACTGCGGTGGGTGCTGGTGCGTTTGTTGCTGTTGCTGGTGTTAGGTGGGCGGTGGGGAAGTGGGAGAAGGCGAAGAGGAGGTGGCTGGAGGATGTTGAGAGGGTCGGGGAGGGGTTGAAGAGGGATTTGAAGGTGAGTTTTGAGTGTTTTTTGTGTGGATTGGACTGAACTGATGGGTTTGATAGGTGACGCTGCAACAGGGCATCGAGAAGAATGTCGCGGTTGTTCCTATAGCTGCGTATCAGGGGCTCCGGAAGCTTGCTGGGAAACAGCAAGAAGAGATGGAAGTCGTTAGGAGCGATCTTATGTCGATGCAAGCGGATGTTGAAGCGCTTGAAACTGGTCGAGCTTCATAGTGCATCACATCTGTCCTGGATGATTTAGATGCAAATAGATGCAAGACATGCTACGCTAAATGATGGTGTACATGTACCATAAAAATTCCGTTGCGTTCATGGGCTCGTGATGATTATCTTTGGAGAGAGGGGGGATGTCTTGAGAACTCTTGTGCTGTTGACGTGGTGTGTGTACCATCCTTTTCATTGCTATCATCACCAATATCAAACAGCTGTTCTCTTTTGTCTTTGCTTTGACTTGGGCGAATTGAGTATGCAAACTAATTAGGTCAGGTTTATGTGGGGTCGAGGTGATGCGATCACTGGCACAGGTGAGTTTGGGACAAGTGATATATCTGTCTAAAGGTTACAGGCCTAAATATATCACCTGCCTTCTACAATTGGAGAAATCAATGTGTCATAATGATATAATGATCTGAGCGAACGGCGGAGGTAGAACTAGTGACACTGAATGGGCCTCTCGAAGTGCTGTTTGCTGACGCACTGCCTCAGTGAGTTGGCGTTGAACTGCGCGCCTATTACTCGACGACCGAGAGGTCTGCCGAAGCAATTCTCGGAGATGGGCAACGAGCTGTGTCCACCAGCGTATCAGTGCAGCATATGCTGACGTTTCGGAGAGCCCCCTCCCTTCTTCTACCATTTCTTTTTGCAATTGGACGGGCTGAGGAGTTGCGGCGTCAAAATGCTTGACGATCTCCCATGCCGAATCAAAGGAAGAGGTGAATCTGGCTGTTCGGGCTCCATGCAACATCATTTCCTGCCAAAATTGCGTCTTCAGCTGTTGTTCCCGCTGCGATCCAATATGTTCGGAAACTTCGTCCCACATAGTGGTGGTGAAAATGACGTTTTTGAGGGCGTTCGTGCCGCACAACTCCTTGAACACCGCTAAGGTCCTCAAGGGTGTCCCACGCATTCGACTCTCCGTAATGCGCTGGAAGAATAGGATGCCGCTCAAGATGATGTGTTCCTTGTAGCTAGAGATGGTGGAAGAGTATTAGTTCAGATTTTGATTCTTGTTGCGGGTTGTACTTGCGTTTTCACCAACCACTCAGCAATGATGTTTAAAATTTCATGATCTGCTCTCATACTATCTTCAAAAGAAGGGGTATCCACAAATACCACATCGCGCCCACTCCCATCGGGATGAGGATAAGTGAAAGCAGTAATGTCTTGAGTGCATGACTCCATATCGTGGCCGACCCTGGCACGTTCGCTTCGTGTTGCGACATTGATAAACTAGATAATGATTCGGAATCTATCATAGGTGAAGGCAATCAAGATGAGTGCTCACCGAACTCTTCCCTGTCCCGGTCGAACCAATGATTCTGTGCACCTCGAAAATTATGCATCGCATCAGAACATGCTGCGAGGAACTCACGCAATGATGATGTCCTGGGGAGATTGCAAACGTTGGACAATGTCTATTGCTCGGGGGCGAGATGCAGGATTTTTTCCCCAGCATTTGTTCATGAGGTACCACATGTCGTCATCCAACTGGGGTGCGGCAGGACGAAGAGGTCGCTCGTCATCGATAACAGCCTTCATGACCGCCATACCCATTCCAGAGAACCGTGGATGCCCAACAAAAATCTGTAGTGGCATGAGAAGACTTAACAATGACACAGATTAACAATACCTCGTAGCACACACAAGCGAATGCGTAAACATCGCTTTCCAACGTATTTGGCTCGCTTTTTACAGGATTGAACAATTCAGGAGCCATGTAATGTAGGGTTCCACATCCGGTTGAACTAGCGGATTGCGATACAGATTCTGATGCAAGCCTGCAGAGGCCGAAGTCTGCCACACAGGCCCGACGAGATGGAGAGATTAGGATATTTCTCTGCAAAGACTGCCATGTGAACATTTGAGTTGAAAGTCGACTTGGGAGATAACGAACGCCTTTCAAGTCGCCATGAACCACAGGGGGGTTGAAGGAGTGCAGATATCGAAGACCACGAGCTACATCCATCACCTAACATATTGTTCCCTGAAGAGCTTGAAATATCTAAACACCACGCACCAGAGAACGTCGATTTGCGTCTGGATATTCTTCAAGGAAGTCGACGATAGTTCCATTTTCCATCCATGTCGATACGAGGCACAGGTGGGACGGTCTTTCGGGCCAGTGATACACGCCGTGGAATGGTAAGACGTGCTCACTGGAAAGTTGCCTCCATAACACGGCTTCCTTGCAGAATGCCTGTTGATTTAAAAGTCAACCAGTGGGCTAGATATACAAGTAGGTAGGAGACCTTGATCACTCTCTCAAGGGTATGTTTTCCAATGGGACGCATGACCTTAATCGCAACAGCATGTTCCCCCATGTCGCCTTTCCATATATCTCCAAAACCCCCACCAAAAACTGGACCCCCTGCTTGAATACGGACATCCTCCAGAATCAGGCATCGAGGGAAAAGACTTGAGTTCTTAGACAGAGCAACAATTTCACGTATGATTGGCGATCGAATTTCAACGTCGTCAGTGTGATCAATCAGCTAATGAAAGGCGCCACGGTGAGTGAATGGTGAGAACGAGTTCAAATATTCGCGACGCCACGGACCATACCTCCTGCAAAAGATCGAGCAAAGACTGGGCTTGCGGTCCTTTTTGACGCTGAAGCAGTTCCCGCAGTTCCCTGTTTTTCAGGATGACAAAAATGCGAGCTGTGATGCATAGCATATCGAGTCTCAATATCCCATCGATGCAAGCTGCGGCATTGGAGTCGTTTTGCTGTCCATAATTCAACACAAAATTTTGATTTTTACTTTTGAACCCACCTCCTCGCACCTTTCGAGGAAATTACACAGGGTGGTTTGGATGTCACGATAGCAAATGAGAGGAGAGATCTCGTTAATTTCAGTGGTCCACTCGGAATGCTTTGATAGGAGATCATCCAACAAGCTAGAAACAACTTTCGTGATGACAAACATGAACATGGAAGACCCATGACATACCTAGGTTTGCAGGCGCTCACATATGCTACGGCACATTGAAAGAGCCGCTGCAAGGTGATATGTTGACTAGATCACTCAGTAGACGAATATCTGACTGACTGGGAATGCACATGAGCCCGAAAGTTCATGATTACTGATCCGCGTGCGCGCAATCGATGCTCGTATGTCCTCGGTGTTCGCATCCAGCCAATTGCTCGGAGCTTTGACCAGAGAAATTGATGAATTGAAGACCCCAAGGGCATCTGCTAATCGTCTTGGTACGTCACCGGAGTCCATATTGACAGCGCAGAGAAGACAACGTTGGATACTATTACTACTTATTTTAACTTTATTAGTACCAAATATTATTAGTAATAATTCGAGTCGCGTACATGGTGTTAGGCCGCATGCTTGGCAGCCCGCTACCTTGCTGACTCGGCGTTTTTGGATCAGACATCGGTGCTCCGATGATCTACCACGGACGGAGCACGACTGCCAATACGAGATAATACTGTAGAAGCTGTCCATGTAGTCCATGTAACAACGGCAGATCTTGCACAAGTCCCATACAGTTCATCGTTCGGAGTTACCAAGCCTGACGATGGCCTTTCAAGATCACGTTAAGCATATACTATAACATAGTATGTGAAGGACACAAGTTCTTGAGAGATAATGAGATTTAAGGAAGCTTTTCAGAAGAATAGTCTTTCCAGGGCTACAACCTGCAGCCCTAAGTTCTTTGGCGACGTGTTCCAGCACATGTTCCGCGCCAGAACCAGAACCAGAACCAGTGAGAAAAAGCATTGTTCTCGGTTTTTGGAGCTTCGGAGATGAGCGTGCCAGGTAGGGATGTTGTTAAAGGATTGCAGAGGAGGATGAGGACGTCCACTTTGAGGAGCGTTTTTGGGAGGGAGGGCTGGGAGGAGAGTAAGGGGATTTCGGTGAGTTGAATGGGGAAGGGGTATTGTTGGAGCCAGAATGAGGGGATTGTGAGGGTGTTGTTCACAAGGGAGGTCGATGGGCCGTGACTACCAGAACACCTGTTGAGTATCACCGGGGTACATGCAATATGGAACATTGATTATAGACGCACTCGATTGTGAGGTATGCAGACTGGTTTTTCCACTGGTTACGAAGGATATCGCTATAAGCTTCGTTAGTCGTAAACGGGTTTTCGAGGAGAGCATGTCGAAAGGGTCGGGGAGGGGTTTAAAAGGGATTTGAATGCGAGTTTTAAGTGTTTTTTGTGTGGATTGGACTGAACTGATGGGTTTGATAGGTGACGCTGCAACAGGGCATTGAGAAGAATGTCGCGGTTGTTCCTAGTGTTGCGTATCAGGGGCTCCGGAAGCTTGCTGGGAAACAGCAAGAAGAGATGGAAGTCGCTAGGAGCGATCTTATGTTGATGCAAGCGGACGTTGAAGCGCTTGAAACTAGTCGAGCTTCATAGTGCATCACATTTGTCCTGTGTGATTTAGATGCAAATAGACGCAAGACATGCTACGCTAAATGATGGTGTACATGTACCATAAAAATCCCGTTGTGTTCATGGACTCGTGATGATTATCTTTGGCGGAGGAGGGGGAATGTCTTGAGAAGTCTCGTGCTGCGAACGTGGTGTGTGTATACCATCCTCTTCGTCGCTATCATCGCCAACTCCAAACAGCTCTTCTCTTTCGTCCCATACGTCGTTTAAGCGGGCGGCTTTGGTAGGTTTTGACTTGAAAGCCGCGGAGGGTTGGGAGTAAAGAGGTAGGAGCTGCGTTCCAGACGTTCCTTCGTCGTCTGACGCGTCTTCTGCATCTGAAGTTTCGTCCGTTTCTAAAGGGCGGTATAGGCGTGCGATCTGGGATATTGGGGTTCGCGTGAGATGGCTGGATGATGTTGGGAGTGCATACCTCTCGCCGCGAACGGTAATATTTCTCGATGTAATATGCGAGATAGAGTCCGAGGGTTGAGCCCAGCCAATTTGCCTGTGAGGTATGTATGAGTAATGGATGAAAACTTTCATTTCACAACGCATACCACTACGTCACCGGATTGAAATTCCTTGGACTGGTTCCCAATGAGCTTGTACGTGTGCAGAAGAGGAAAGGGGACGTACTGGAAGCATGGACTGTACAATCTCGCTTACGAAACCTCCAAAGAAGAAACATATGACAGCGGTGAATATCAACCCTGAATGACGCCAGAACCATATCCTACGAGCCTCCCTATATCCAAATGAATTTAGCAAAACGCCAGCAAGTCAACAAGCGGAAAACTCACTCCTCTACGTCGAATATAAAGTAAAACACGCCTGTGGCGACGCACAAGCAGGTGAAATGGAGGAACTTGTCGTTGAGGGGGAGAGAATGGGAGAAGTTTGTAAAACCTAGGAAAGCGAGTATTACCATGATGGCGCACGTGAATACGAGGAACCACTGTGATGTGCATGATAAGTTACTAGTGGTAGGTGTGATGAAGGGTGGTTTACCGGTCGTAATCGAATGGGTAAGTCGGATTTTGGGAGTTGGATTCTGTGTGATTTCATTATTGATTTTGATAGCTTCTTGAGTTGCTTGCGCATTGTTTTTGACGGCGAGCTCGATGCCATCGGCGACGACGGTAGTTGCACTTGCCCTGCCATGAGAGTCAATGACCGCAGCGGCGGGAAATGAATCCCTTATATAACCGGGTCTATAAATTATCAATATTCAATAACCGGTTATGCACTGCTTGTTTCATGATTGCTAGAACTCATCTCCTAGCCATCACCCGCGCCATGTCTACCGCATCAACGGTACCGCTATCAGCGTTTTCTGCTTGTGAAGTATCAGACGCTCTCATCAAACTAGGATCTCCAAACGGAGGACACATCCCAGACGTCCATATACACTCCCCGTCTTCCCAAGTCAAGATCTGCGCACCCGCATACACAGTTCAAATGGTCCTAGCATCAGACAAATCAGCCCCAAAACTATCCTCCCATTTCGTAGACACCGCAACCCCAGGTTCTGTCATCGTCATCGACGCCCCGCCTCGTTCAGTTTGTTCTCCTACCCGATTTATCTCCGATCCCCCGCTCATACCCTTTGCGCAGAAGCAAAGAATGCTGTTTGGGGTGGTCTGATGACTGCTGGCGCACAAGCTAGGGGAGCTGTTGGCGTTGTCATCTCTGGACGATGCAGAGACCTCGCTGAGCATCGCGCAGCGGATTTCCCGGTGTTTGCTCGTGGACATTCGACGGTTGGGCAGTCCCCTTTCGTACGCCCATCTGCTGTCAATGTTACTCTCAATATTCGTCCCAAAGACGTGGGTGAAGGTCCAGACGCGTTTGCATCTGTTGCTGTGATACCGGGGGATTGGATTGTTGCAGACGAAGATGGTGTTGTGTGCGTGCCAGTGGGTATGGTAGACAAGGTCGTGGAGCTTGCTAAGAAGGGGCAGGAGGTTGATGCTAGGTGTATGGCTGATATCAAAGCTGGCAAGGGTGTCCAGGCGTCTTTCAAGGAGCACAGGGGCAAGTAGAAACACGCCGCTGTCCCCAATACCCATCAATATATTCGAAGACTTGTTCATACTACAGGCCTCACAAGACGGGGCTACGAGCATTGCACAGCTAGTAGTATGACAGGCCTCATGAGATGCCGCGGTTTGCTGATACGGTAATGCGCCGAAAAGAAGTCCGGCACATGAGGACAACATGGGGATATAAAGTATAAAAAGTAACAATACCCTAATCATCATAACAGCCACCAAGAACACACCAGCCCACCGATGCGCTTCCTGAAGCTTACCTCCCGCAAAGTATCCATGCCCATGACAGGGCCTGCCTCTCGCAAAGTATCCCTGCCCGTGACGGGACTTGCACCTGAAGAGTGCCGCAATGTGTCCCTGCCCATGACGGAACCCGCGCCTGAAGAGTGCCACAATGTATCCCTGCCCCATGACGGGACCCGCGCCTGAAGAGTGCCACAATGTATCCCCGCTCATGACGAGATCCGCGCCTGAAGAGTGAGTCTTCGACTCTTCTCCCATGATGTACATTGACCCTTCATCATATTTTGCAGCAATGGTCCTATCAACTTCACGCCTCAGATTGCACAGATGTTGAACGGATCTCCATATGAATATGGTACCTTTGCCGTGGTCTATAGGCATACTATCAAATCCAGCAATGGCGAAATGGAGGTCTGTAGATCAGACTAACCCAAGCTCATGAATCATCTATTTAATATCCCTCGGGCCATCAGGTCGCAGTGAAGGTGTTCCAGATTGATTTTACGAGAGATGTGGAGAAATATACAAAAGTCAGTCTTGTAACTAGAGTGTGCCACCGACTCAATTTGCAATGGTCTATGTAGATGTTTCGTCGGGAACTCGAACTGTGGCTTAGACTGAAACACGCGGCTATCGTGCCGCTACTTGGCATCGCAAACGTCGACTCTCCATTTCCAGCTCTCGTTTCCCAATGGATGGCGTCTGGGACGTTATATATGTATTTCGAGCAAGGTACGATTGCCCTTTCCTCTAAAGTCAAATTGGCGAGTCCCTCGTTTACAACAGCAGACTGACCAGCCGCTCATCGATTCTATGCCACCAGGCCATGGGCGTTGCTAATGGCCTCAAGTATCGTTCGTAAATCTCTATTACGTCACCATTTTCGCCCTTGATTCTTGTCCAGTTCACTCGAAGAATGTCGTTCACGGAGACCTTCATCCGGTATGTACGGTCGTCTCTCTGTATAATGTTGCACTCATTTGTAAGCCTCAGGCGAATGTGCTCATAGATGATTCTGGAAATGCACGTCTCACGGATTTCGGTCTCGCAACAGTCGCAGGGGGCATGGAGTTGCAGTTGTCCGCATCGACCGTGAGCCGCGAGTTGGATTCTCGATGGGGTGCGCCTGAAGTCATTCGAATCGAGGATGATCGTTGTCCTGAAAGGCCTAATTTCAAGAGTGATATCTATTCATTTGGTAGTATCATGTTCTTTGTGCGATCTCTGTATCTTCTGCAGCTCTATCCTAAGTGTTTCTCTCTCAGATCGTCTCAGGGAATGTACCATGGAAAGAGAAGAAATCCTCTCAAATCTGTATCGCATTGTCAAAGAGAACCATACATGCGCGTCCCGACAACATCCTTGACGATCATTGGGACTTGATTCAAAGCTTGCTGGTCTTGGGACGCATGGGATCGCCCTGGAGCAGCAGAAGTCGTTGAAAAGTTGCAGTCAATGTACTACTATATTCTGGTCTAAGGTTCCGACTACTGGTAATAGGGAAGGTCTGTCTGACCATTGTCTTCAATCATACATGACTCGCGCACCCACTTCGTAGGCCCTCATTCAGTTTTTTCTCCTTCCGTTCTATCTCCTGACCCCACGTCCTTCGCGTAAAAGCAAAGAATGCAGTTTGGGGTGGTCTGATGACTGCAGGTGCATAAGTTAGGGCAGCAGTCGGCGTTGTTATCTCGGGACGAGGTAGAGACCTACCTCGCTGAACATCGCGCAGCGGATTTTCCGGTGTTTGTCAATAAGTTAAATTGCACGTGCCAGACATTCGACGGCTGGGCAGTCCCCTTTCGTATGCCCGTCTGCTGTCAACGTTACCCTCAATATTCGTCCCAAAGATGCCGGCGAAGGTCCAGACGCGTTTGCGTGCCGGTGGATATGGTAGACAAGGTCGTGGAGCTTGCTAAGAAGGGACAGGATGTTGATGCTAGGATGGCTGATATCAAAACTGGATTTTAAGGGCGTTCAGGCATCTCTCAAGAGGGGCAAGTAGAAACACGCTACTGTATTCAACGCGCACACATACATTATTTATTTACACAGAAGGTTTCGTTCGTGGAGTCGGATTGCTGCCATTGGCACGATACGACGACCTTAAATGAATCCAGCGTTGGATCAGGCGGCGGGCGAGAGGCTTGATGTTTACAAGGGGGGCAGTTGTACGATTCGCCACCTTCTTCCAACTTGCTTCTGATAGAATTACATCCTCTCACAAACTAGCAACTGGGAGCAGCTGCAGCATGATCAGTGTCACACATCCAGCTTTCCAGGATGTCGTCGAGTCGGACGAACCTGAACTCAGATGTCCTCTGTACTGGGGATAAAATCATAGACAATGAATTATTGTATACTCGATATCACACCCTCAATTGTTAGAAAAAGTTCGTTGTTATCAAGGGCTAGAAGTATTGATGAATCGTGAGCTACAAGGATGGAAAAGGCTAGAGGCTCAGGCACGTAGGCAATGTTGCCAGCACGTCCCATGCGCCATGCGGCTTAAATCAAGCTCGACATGTCTTCTGGGAATGACTAATGTAGTCCAAGGATTATAAGAAAATGCCTTCCGTGAAGCAGGTGGTACCCAGAATAGGAGTCGACGATTGGGTCCTAACATCCACCCGTCATCTCCTAGCACAAAGGAGGTCGACCTGCGGTCATAATGTGAAGTGCCTCGGAGTAGCTGGGCAGCGTTGAATAGTACATGGGTTGACCTGGACTGAGAAGCGAATGAAGTCGTTCGAACGTGGGATGCATGACGTAACCATCATGTGAAGATACCTGGACAATCTTTCTCGGCCCACTCCTGCAATGGCTGCCCAACCACTGCATACCAGACCCGGATAGTGTGATCCCACGAACTAGACACAATGCGAGTGCCATCCGGAGAGAATGAGACCGAGCAAATCGAACGAGTGTGCCCCCGCAATGGCTCTCCAACTTGTTTCCCTGTCGCTGTGTCCCACAGCCGGACAGTTCCATCGTCCGAACCGGTTACGATGCGAGTCCCATCAGGTGAAAATGAGACTGAGTTGACCCATTGAGTGTGCCCCCGCAAGGGCTCACCCACTGGCTGCGCCGTCGCTGCATCCCACAGCCGGACAGTATGATCCTTCGAACCTAGTCACGATGCGAGTCCCAGTCCGGCGAGAACGAGGACTGAGCTAACCAAACCAGTGTGCCCCCGCAAAGGCTCACAGACTGACTGTCCCCGTCGCTGCATCCCACAGCCGTACAGTGTCATCATCTGCACCAGTTACAATGCGAGTGCCATCCGGCGAGAATGAGACTGAGTTAACGGAATCAGTGTGCCCCTCCAAGGGCTCACCCACTGGCTGCCCCGTCGCTGCATCCCACAGCCGGACAGTCTGATCCCACGATGCAGTCGCGATACGAGTCCCATCAGGCGAGAATGAGACTGAGTTGACCCGACCAGTGTGTCCCCGCAAGGGCTCACCCACTGGCTGCAAAGTTGCTGAATCCCACAGGCGGACAGTCTTATCCAAAGAACCAGACACGATGCGAGTGCCGTCCGGCGAAAACAAGACCGAGTAAACCCAACCAGTGTGCCCCCGCAAGGGCTCACCAACTGGCTGCCCTGTGACTGCATCACACAGCCGGATAGTTGTATCTCCCGAGCCAGAGACAATGCGAGTCCCATCTGGCGAGAACGAACAGGCTGAGCTAACCCCAATAGTGTGCCCCCGCTCAGGCTCACTGAATGGATGTCCTGTTACTGAATTCCACAGTCGGACAGTTTTATCGTCCGAACCAGTGACGATGCGAGTACCATCCGGCGAGAACGCGACTGAGTTAACCGAATCAGTGTGCCCCAACAAGGCTCACCAATTGGCTGCCCCGTTGCTGCATCCCACAGCCCCACGACCTTATCCGAAGAACCAGTCACGATGCGAGTCCCATCCGGCGAGAACGAGACTGACTTGATCCACAGATTGTCGATCTGCAAGGGATTACCGACTGGTTGCCCTGTTTCTGCATCCCACAGCCGCACGGCATCACGCCATGAGCTAGTCGCAATACGAGTCCCATCTGGCGAGAACGAGACAGAGGTAACCGATAATGTGTGCCCCCGCATGGGTTTAGTGACTGGCTGCCTCGTCGCTACATCCCACAGCCGGACAGTTTTATCATCCGAACCAGTAACGATGCGTGCTCCATCTGGTGAGAATGAGACTGAGTTAACCGAATCAGTGTGCCCCCGGAAGGGCTCACCAACTGGTTGCCCTGTTGCTGTATCCCACAGTCGGACAGTTTTATCCTTCGAACCAGTCACGATGCGAGTTCCATCCGGCGAGAACGAGACTGAGGAAACTGAATGAATGTGCCCCCGCAAGGGGTCACCAACCGGCTGCCCTGTCGCTGCATCCCACAGCCGAACAGTCTGGTCCCAGGAACCAGACACAATGCGAGTGCCATCCGGCGAAAACGAGACTGAGCTAACTCCATCAGTGTGGCCCCGCAAAGGATCACCGACTGATTGTCCCGTTGCTGCATCCCACAGCCGGACAGTCTTATCCTTCGAACCAGTCACGATGCGAGTCCCGTCCGGCGAGAACGAGACTGATAGCACGCAATCCGTATGCCCTCTGAGCACGCTCTGAGCAGCCGGCCAATGCAAATCATGACCAGATACTAGACGAAGGGTATTCGGAAAACTTGCAACGAATTTTGTAGATATCGTCGAGTTGACGGGCGAGAACGGCAGCGCTGATACGTATAGATGTGGTGTGCTGTGTGAAATGATGCCGCCGAAGATTTGAATGAATCTCTGCACGTCCATTGCAGTCGTTGAGACATCTTTGTATACGGAATGCCTCTGGCGTTACACGTCAGCGTGTCTCCGGGAGCGCTCGGTAACCGTGTGCTTACCTTCAGCCACTGAGCAATGAGCGGAAGCGCAGCAACTGCGCCGCCGAGTGCGTTGGTAAGGCCGAGTACTTCGAGCCAGAAGAGTAGTCGCTCGTGCTCGAAGAGTGATTTTACTTCCTTTGCGAGCTCCATGTCCAAGTCCTTTGTTTGTACGTGCGCAGCCCAGAATCTACAGGCATAGGATAGGTGTGGGGGAATGCATTTTTCAACTCGTTCTCGCAGCCCAGGATCTTCGCAATTAGGGAGATATGAAGACTTCAAATCACAGATATTGAAGGAAAGTCCATGTTCCATCACTCGCAGTGACGCAAAAGCAAGGTCACGTTGCACCTTGGAAACATCGACGAAGAACTCTCCACTGCATTCGGGGTCTGTCAGGAACTCGCGAAATGATGTATGAAGGGGGCGTATAGGGGTATAGGTTAGTGGTGCCGCTGAGGAGGGAACCCATGCATTTGACCATAAGCTCCACCTCGTGACGGTTGCTTTCATCGGTGAAATGGGACCTCATAGCAATCAGGGAATCTGACGAGAGTGGTTCGGCTGTAGCAAGTATTTGTCCTATCACGGAACGAAATGTCGCGAGCGCTTTCGTGCGCAGGACCTGCTGGTGCTTGACATTTGTGGATTTATCCCTGTGCATAATCTCTGTCAAAATGAAGCGGTATATGTCATACAACAACATGCTGCGCTCGACAGGATCGCGGGACACCACAACATTGAAGCAATCAAGTGAAGATGAGCCGGGAAGGGGATCTTTGATGTATTCGCAAGCAAGACGTGCCCATTCGAAAAGTCCGTCGGCTTTCTCAGCGAGGGCTGCAAACTCTCGGATCCCAAAATCCGAGAGCCCTTCCAGCTTCTTCGACACGTAAGCGTAGATGTCGCGCTCCGTAATTTCTGGCGGAATTTCGTCCATGGACATCCGCTGAATATGCTGAGCACCGGCAAACTCATCATCAATGTCACGTAGCGGGCGTGAAGTAACGATAAACCGGAAGTTGGGAGGGAGTTCAGTGATTTGGGGAACATTCGGGTTCTGAAGTTTACCGGCAAGAATACGGAGAAGGTCCCTTCGCGTCTCAACTCTGCCACTCTCGTCCAGTCCGTCAATCGCAATCACGACAGGTCCTACGGTTGAACCTGAGAGCTTTCCTAGTGGTTCCATAATAAGCTTCTGCCACTGCTGGACAACTATCCACTGTATTCTTGAGCGCACTGTCATTCTGAACTGCATCTGCCAATGCTCGTCTCATCTCCGGATCGCGGTCAGCCAGGTCGAGGCCAATGGTAGAAAAAACCTTTTCGTGGCGACGGTCGGCTTCTCGGTGGCGGTCGAAACAGTAACATGAACCAAGCCCTCCTACGTCGTTGAACCAGGTAGCAATTGTATGAGCAATAGCTGATTTACCCTTGCCTGCAGGACCAGATAGCCACAGCACGCGCGGAACAGCATCTCCACTACTGTAGATCCATTCCGTGATCTGGGAGAGAATCTCCTTGCGCGTCCCTGGTAGGCATTGCTTCCTGGTATCTCGTCCGGCACCCACTGCGTAAGTCATACCACTGAGGTCGAGTATTTCGCCTAAAAAGGTATGAGTAAATGTCGGGTCAGGAGCACTGCGGAATCCTTACCCGCACGATGGACGAAGATAGCTACGTCCCGAGTAACCTGGTCCCGGAAATTTTGCATGAGCCCATCTAACACATCATTGTACCGTTGAATCGTATTATCTGTTTCTGAAAAAAAGTCCTTTCCAAGCCTCTTCCCTATTATCATGGTAGATGATTGAGCATGTGCAAAATGCGATAGCTTTTTGGAGACTCACAAAAGTTCTTGGTGTTTGAATAATCTCTGATAAAATGGGCACATTTAAGAGTCTGGTGAGATATCTGTGCAAGGACACTGTGCATGGACGCAATTTGGCCAAGTGTCTCGTCTCGTATTATGAAACTGTAAACTTGACCTAACTTGAGGATAAGACGATGGACTGCTTGGTCGCGATCCGATTGAGCGAGAACAATCTGCGCGGATAACCGTTGAGTAGGAGATAGAACTCAGGGCAAAACTAAACGTACTTTTGATGCATAAGACAGCACGCCCAGAGCCATCTTTACATATGGATGTATCTATGGAATGAGATTAGTTCGGTTTCATCGAGAAGGAAGGGGCCGTACATCCGTGATCTTCCGATAACAGTGTCGAAGATCCTGAGGGGTTGGAGATATGTGTCCTGGATTTCGTCTGCAGTGGCTAGATCCGCTGGTGCATTTTGGGTAGTAGACGTTGCAGTTCTCGCAAGTCCCCAAAGTGGATGCATGCGATCTACGGCCTCGCGGGCATCCCGAAGTGACTTGTCGACCGATTTAGAATCGGTACCTTCCTGCACACCAGCAGGGGCGTCTTGAACCTGATGTGGTGGATCCTGTCCGTCTCTAAGATAAGTGAAGGACTGTGATAACGAGTTGGCGCACGTACATTTATATTCTGAGTCGACGAATCACCTTCACGATAGACGTTCCTGAGAGGGATGCGGCTGCGGGAGCGCTCGAAGCTCTTCTGTTTAATGTCAGCCTTAATCCAGGGCGCTCAGCATCCACGTCGAGTCTCAACGTACAAAAAAACTGTTTGGTCAAATTCAAACCACTCTGAGCCTTCTGCACGATTCTGCGCTGGGGTCGGTTCTGGACGAAGGATGTCCAAATCGGTGTTTCACGAATTTCATGAGTCCTGATCGAAAGTGATCCTTATGATCCACGTACCGAATTTTCACCAGCGATTGCTTCGCTGGATCTATAGGCTTCTGGAGGAGCATCCCGCCCCGATTGTCTCGTACGGGACTGGTATGGGTTATTGTCATCGCTCATTATAGTTGACGTTGTGGAACAGTCCGAACGATAGTTGGGTGCAAGAAGTAGCTGGAGAAAGAGTGAGTCCCACGTTGTTTAGATAACAGCGTCCACACGCCCGACCGCAGGCCTCGAGGCAATATTTGGTGCAGTGTTGGCTTGCAGCGCATGTTTGGTGGGCGCTTAGGTACGGAATTCCGGGAAATGATCGCGGACATGAGTGGCCCGGATCCTCAGGACGCCGCAGTGTATTGAATTTGTAGGTGTTTCGTACAGTCCGCTGTCCCAGCGCTATGGGATCATTGTGCGCATGATACTGAAGTAGATATGTGAAAAGGGCGTTGCGGAGGCGGCTGGGTGCGGGGTAGCAAGGTGAAAGGTTGAGGTTGACACTTCCGTGTGTGCCACTTGCGCTTCTTTGTAAATTTTGAGTTCTCATCACCTTGGTCACTCCTGGAGCAGATATGCGAGTCTCAGAGCGCCGCCTGACTCAGCCTTGCGACTCTTGTATCACCCATACCCGTCATTTAGCACACTGCGAGGGAATAAATAGAAACCAGTGTATTTCGTAGTGCGAACAATATTAGCAAAGTGGTGAAAACGATAGAAGTACACAGCCACGAAAAAGTCGATCGAAGTCGTTTGTCCCAGGCCCGAGGTACAAGAGCTTGTACCTCCATGCTGTTACTTGGTGTATTCCTCGACGAGTCGACTTGAGCGCGGCTGACAGCGAGACGCAGAGTACAAGTGGGAATTGGCGGAACAGGGTAACCGCCGGGAGCTTCGGATCCTAACAAGGTCACACAAACATCTACCTTCAACCTCCTTCAACCTTCACCCAGGCCACACGTGACAAGAAGAACTCTGTGTAATTTGTACTGCTTACTCGGCGTTTCAAAGTCCGGACTTGAGCTCCGTATTTAAAAGAAGTGAGTTGATGCTGAGATCTGAGATCTGAGACATCACCGTTATCATCCTCGAAGGTGACCCACGTCACCGATACCTTTATACTGTCCTTCTCGATGCCTTGTCCATATGCAAAAAACTTTATGTCTTCTACTCGGTGCATCGACAAAACAACTGGTTCACCACATTTCCTTAAGGCCTTCCATTCAGCTCATCGTCGATCCACGTCGCTTGTCATTGTTTAGAAAGTGGGCTACTCTACATGCGATCTTGCTACATGTTCGTTTTATGATATCCATGCTCTATCCACAAGTCGTCAATATAAAGGTCCTCCTGTCCTTCCGCACCCCGCGTGAAATACGTGTCCGTCAAACTTCACTCGAAAAGAACTGGCACTGTCGGCCGTCCGAGCTGTCATCCAATAGATCTATGTATAGCGTTAGGGCGATACCACGAACCCTCTATATGTATCCACTTCAATCTACCGTGTTCCCTGCTCATGTTGTACTCCATCGCCTCGAGGTCGGCGATTAGAGTCAGAGAACCAGGTCTATCTCAATTCGGAAGATAGGATATCGGGGCGCACTCAATGAATTTCGTCTCCATGGACTCACTCTTTATTCCAATAGCTCGGGCAATGCAACCCATCATGGACTGGATTGCATGCCTCCAACGTTACTCCATGACTCGCGATTCGCTTTTCGCCTGGTACCGAATATCGAGAAAGTCGGAACTGTGGCGAAAGTCCATTAAGCGGATGAGTGAGACGTATATATTGAAGGAGGTCGAGAAAGAGTACCCGAACGCTGAGGGAGAACTGCCTCCGCACAACAGCTTTGTGAATTTCACATCTAAAAGTGCTAAACACCGCCTAGTCCATCAAATACACCCGTTTACCCGATACAATTTTATATTTCGCGAACCGCAGACGACTTTTTGACACTGGTGATAATTCATCCAATATCACTGCGACCTTTGGAAGGTCATCTGTCGTTGTGATACAGCTGCAGCAACATGAATAACATTTCCTGTGCATGAGCAAGTCGCGCTTTGACCGTTTTCTGCCGCCCAACAACTTCAACGGACGGGGGTGACTTGCTTGTGCCCTAGGATGAACTCGTGCACCCAGAACGTTCTAAACGAAGAAAAGTGCGTGAAGTTCAGTAGTTATTGAAGATCAATAGCAGAGCTACAATGTGTCCACATCGCAGAGTGCCGATCAAGATGGTTCACTTACGCGCGCACTAGCATTCATATGTTGTGTTCCCTCAGTCTTCTACTTATCTGAGATCGAGGGATTACTTTACTTCAATCGGCAACACCGACCCCTTGTGATAAAGGCACGAGTAGATGTGTTCTATGGTACGTCTACAAGAAACTATAAAGTACGAACTTAGAGATATGATACAGGGCACAGGTGCCTCTAGACTACAGAATTGTCCGACATAGAATACCTCAATGGACATGAATTGGATGGGAAAAAAACTACGATGTATAGGATTCGATAAGGCTGCGGATGGTCTCCCGAGATCGCGACGCACTTGGATCATCGGGGAGTGAAGTAATACATGCGTGATTGGAGAACTGCATCCCAAGGCGTTCAAGTTCTCCCTTGTTGTTCGTCCACCAGTCATCCATGTCTGTCGGATAGCCCTCCAGACCGTTGACCACCGCAGCAATTGGTACGCCGCTAGTGGAACTGACAATGTCGGTGAAATATTTATAATCCCTAGATGCTCGCTGAACACTTGGTCCCCCCATGCAATACAGCAGAAGATGCACCCCACCGTCCCTGTGCAGCTTCCTATACGATGATTTTAGTTGCCATTTTGCAACAAGTCTCCGGAAGAAACCCATCGGCGCAATGGAGGAAACTTCCCAAAGTCTGAAGCGGCGTCCTCTAAGGTTAACTTCGTGGGTGGTATGTTTCAGCATGGAATGAGGTGCATCCGGCGATGTGTCTGCAACGGTTTGCCCGATGATCAATTTAATGATGGACATTTTGTCAACTCCGGTCTCCCCAAACAGCAATACGTTCAAAGGGCCCAAAGGAGGCTTATTGCATGAGTGGATGAGTACGTGTGAAACAATGTAACGATAAGCGCTCACCGACGTCGATACTCCGAAGGAGGGTTGGGGGTTTTCGGTATTGGAACTCAACAAATCCAGTGTCGCAGGACTCGGTATGTCTTCCTCACGCTGGGTTGGATGCGTGACACCATCGGACGCGGTTTTCTCTGCATCAGACATGTCCGAGGATGCCCGTTGATGACTCCCCTCTACTCTGCGAGCGGCCGTGTCCTGTTGGAGTAAGAGTTCGGCCCCGCATGAAGAGACAGTAGACCTACACCGTCTGTCGAAGCCTCTACAAAGTCCGAGACCATTGAGGCAGATGGTCTAGCAGACGCATCGGCTGGCAAACACTGTTGGATCTCATTGGAACTCGACAAATCCGATGTCTCAGGATTCGGTATGTCCTGCTCGCGCTGGGTTGGATGCATGGCCTGAATCAAATATATCAGAATTTGCCACAGATCGAGATACTTGGGCTGTCGAACCTGCAAGTCGTCAATCCCAAACTGATCGATGTATTCAAGGACTTTTTCGGCACTCGGACGATCCTTTGGGTTCCAAGACCAGCATTTTTGGATTAAGCTCCACGGACCATTAGGGATATTTCCGGGACGTGTGGGAGTGGCCTTCTTCCCCAGCTCAATGTAGATGTGACGCAAGTTTTTCTTCTCTTTCCATGGTATATCCCCCGAGATGATCTGGGTGGAAAAGGCTTAGGTGGCGGCGACAGAGCAATGAAAGAGATCGCACAAAGAAAATGACGCTACCAAGGGAATATATATCGCTCATGAAAGTCGGTCGTGCGAGGTCTTGCTCTATTCCAAGGACTTCAGGCGCACGCCATCGAGGATTCAATTCACGTGTCACAGTTGTCGTGCTCAATTGCAACTGAAGGTCCCCTACAACTGTGGCGAGACCGAAATCTGTGAGACGTGGATGCCCTGAGCCATCGATCAGCACATTTCCCTGAGGCGTACAAATGAGTGCGATATCTACAAAGAGATGACCATACATACGGGGTGAAGGTTTCCGTGAACGACATTCTCCGAGAAAACTGGGTAAGCATCAATAACAAGAATAACGCCTAGATCAAAATTGACGAACGATAGTTGATGCCATCAGCGACGCCCTTGGCCTAGTAGCATGTGAATCGATGAACGCTTGTTAAAATGAATGAGGGACCCACCAATTCAACTCTAGCGGAAACAGCAAGGGTTGTGGCTCGTTTCTCGATGTATTCATTCAATGCCCCGGAAGACATCCATTCAGAAACGAGAGCCGACAACGGAGAATCGACTTTTGCGATGCCAAGTAGCGGCACGATATAAGTCGACCTACTGAGCTTAAGCCACACGGCGAGTTCCCGACGCATGGCCTACGATGCATTACATAGACCATTGAAGGTGTGGAGTGACGTGTCATTCGAGTCTGCACACCACAATTAAGTAGAAGACTTACGCTATCGTCTTTCCCCTCAGATCTCTTAGGATCCACCACGAACACCTTCACTGCAACCTTGTAGATATTAGATGCACAATTGACTAGCTCGGGTCACTCAAACAGACGGTCACAAACCTCCACTGTTTTGCCTTTGTCTTCGCTGATGGTATGCCGATAAACTTTGCACAAGGAACTACACGCCACTGGATCGGATTTGAGCTTGATTTGAGACGTGAAGTCGCGAATAGTATGATTACTGCGGAAATTGTCCGTGAGATGATATATGTCAGTTATGGGAGTGGACTCGCTCTTCAAGTATATTTTCCCCCATGACTCGGACGTTGCTGTTGTGACAAGTGGTCGTATGCAACGAGCCCAGTGAGATATCAAGTTATGCACTTGCCAATTCTTGGGTTTACTTATAAGAAGGGCAGCCACGCCACACTATAAGCATCGCGTGCGCGAGGCAACTTGAAGACGTTAATATATGCCTCGCACTGGGGTGCGCGTCACCACATGTTCACTTACTCAGGGTGTACCCATGTGCATATGGCTGTGAAATAGGCCAGTGGCTGACTTTCACGATGTGCCAAGAGCTACTACCAAACCGCTTGAGGCCAGAGCTGCCACACTTGATCGAGGACAACATACCTAGTCGGTCTGCAGAAAACTATTACATTTTCCAAAGCCCTCATTACACGAGTTTCGCCTCCTGTATCAATATGATGGAATAATTCATTCCTCGAGGCGACACAAACAACAGGGTCTGCAGCATGGCTGCCAGGCATTCTTACAAACCCCGGGGCTGAGTGGCTTGCATCAACCTACATTGATTCAGTCTTCCCGAAACCCGCTTCCTGCAAAGTAGTCTTACCCCGGCCATGATGGTACTTGCGCCTGAAGAGTGAGTCCTCTCAAGCTCCCATAATGTGCCTTGACAAATTGACCCTTCATCATCTTTTGCAGCGATACTCCTAGTGACTTCATATCTCAAAATTCCGAGATGTTGAAGCTTGTATATCCATGTGCATCTGGATCCTTTGGCGTGGTTTACAATGGGGGTTTATCTGATTAACCTAAGAATCGTCCATTTAATGTCCATCAGGTCGCAGTGAAGGTATTCAAGACTGATCCTAGGAGAATGACATGGAGGGATGGTGGATGCGGAACCATGCAGAATTAGAGAGATACTGAATTGTCGTGCAGGGGCATGCATGCGTAACGACGCTGACGGAGGCGGATGCAGAGTACGGGGCATCGAGGGAAGCAGTGCGTAACCTGATCCGGGAGAATGCGATTATGCCAGTGTTGGTGGTAGAAACAGAGGGGGCTAGTCAGCGCGGTCATGCAACGGTTCAGGTTACTTACAGATCGGGAGGAGAAGACACTGCAGAAGAAACTCGATATTCTGTGCGGGATGAAGAGAGGGTTGTCTTCGAAGGTCGCAAAGACAATCTTGTACATGTAGCCCCATGGGCTTACTGCTGGGGACTACTCCGATCGCGCAACGCAGGGTCGAGAGCGTTCCCATTGGCATGTCTTATCCGTCGATTAGGATACGGTAAATCGCCTGGTTGGAGGTCGTAGAATCGGTGGAGAAGGTATGGAATCGTGCTTTCGCCTGCACCGGATTCGGGACTCTGAAAGAGATGTTGTGGAGCGCGGGGGTTTGATGGTCATAGGAGGAGTCGTTTTCTGTGGGAGGTTAGGGTGAGTTGTGGAATGAGAAGAGAGAGTTGCGCACCGAATTCGATTTCGCTGTTTTCGACCAGCGGATCGTTTGCGTCCGACGCATCGATTACCTCGGTAGGCTCAGCAGACGAGGCTTTTATTGGTGACGCGGTATACGCCCCCGAGGTTCGAGAAGGAAGTAGAGCTAATGTTGTTAGAGAACATCAGCTTTCTACCACATCAAGGGTACACGAGAGAGGGAGTACGCAGCTGCACATGATAAGTGATGGACAAAGACAAATTCACTGGTATTGCTTTGGCCCCTCGTTATGCACGGCTCGACGATCAAGACACCGACCAGGAGGCCGGAGGTTACTACGGCGAGCGTTTGCAAGATCAGTTGGTTAAGAGAACTGTGGGAGTACGGTCAGTGTTTGTATTTAGAATGTGATCATTACAAGTATCACTCATGGACAACCCTCCTCTCCAATGTCTCCAACCGCCTCATACTATTACTTCTCCCCATCGACATGTTCAACCATCTCGTAATTGAGCAGATAGTCCATAGTGGATCCCGCAGGCTATCTGTGCCCATGCAATCAGGATCAACGAAAATTGACAAGTACAGCGCAGAGGAGGACATAGGATATGAGGTAAGGCTACAGGCTGGAACTGAATGCGGGCCCAAAGGGAACGGCGCCGGGGGTTTGAAGGTGCTGATGAGCACGCCGAGGGTGAGGGGAAGTAAGGCATTGACAATGCGTCGAGAGCGAGGATGAGCAGACGAATCGACTAAGAAGTATCAAGGAAGGTAACGGGTTGCATATGGAATCGGGAACTTGAGGCCCAGAGATGAGTAAGTAACGTAATCAACCAATAAACTTCGTCCAAACGTTCAAACGTTCATCTTCTAGGTCTGACATGTTCGAGACTTGGAGAAACACGCGTGCGCTGCGCAACGCTCAGAGTACTTATGGCCGCGTGGTACGTCGCACACGCCCACCGGGTGATCGCACAAATTCGAACAGATTTATGTTCTAGTCCACTATAGTAGTTCTACGACAGCGGCCTGGATGATGGCCTTGTCCACCTCGTGTCACCTTCGGTGGATGTTCCTGGAGCTCCAAGTAGCCTCGCAAGCCCTTATTGGAAGGAGCGACTATCTTCCTTTTTCTATAGGGCTAGCTATCAGGGCGAACCTCGCACGTCGAGCATGGAAGTCCTCGCATTCCAATCTTGTTCGTGCAAGCCTCGTACCATTCTTCTCAACCAGAGCGTTTCTGCGAGCTTTGCACAGTCTACGAGGTTAGTAGTATGGCCTTGTTAGGTTCAAGGCCTCATAAGACGCCGCGTTTTTTTCTGATACGGTAATCCGCCGAAAAGAAGTCCGGCACATGAGGACAACATGAGGATATAAATCAATGTATATAAAGCAATGAAAAAGCACCGTAATCGAAATAACGGCCCACCAAGAACCCACCAGCCCACTGATGTCCTTCCTGAAACCCGCCTCCCGCAAAGGGTCCCTTCCCATGACAGGGTCCGCGCCCAAAGAGTGAGTCTTCTCCCATAATGTGCATTGACCTTTCATCATATTTTGCAGCGATACTCCTATTGATTTTACGTCTCAAATTTCTAAGATGTTGAAACGCGGATCTCCATGTGCAACTGGTTCCTTTGGCGTGGTTCATCGGTGTGTTATTGGCAAGTCCAATAAAAGCAAAAAGGAGGTCTGTAGATGTGACTAACCTGAGTTCATGAATCATCTATCTAATATCCATCGGACCATCAGGTCGCAGTGAAGGTGTTCAAGATTGATGATCAGAGAACTATAGAGAAAATTGGAAACGTCAGTTTTCTAATTGGACTGGTGCCAACTCAAATCACACCTTGCTCAATGTTCAATGTAGGCAATACATCGAGAACTCGTGGTGTGGTTTAGACTGAAACACGCGACTATCGTGCCGCTACTTGGCATCGCAAACGTCGACTCTCCATTTCCGGCTCTTGTGTCTCAATGGATGTCGTCTGGGACGTTAGATATGTACCTCAAGCAAGGTACAATTGCCCTTTCCGCTAAAGTTGAATTGGTGAGTCCCTCGTTTACAACAGTACACTCACCAGCCGTTCATCGATTGTATGATACCAGGCCATGGGCGTCGCTAAAGGCCTCAAATATCGTTCGTAGATCTCTATCACTTCGCCATTTTTGTTGATTCCTATCCAGTTCACTCGCAGAATGTCATTCACGGAGACCTTCATCCAGTATGCACGGTCGTCTCTCTGGAATGTTACACTCATTTGTAAGTCTTAGGGGAATGTGCTCATAGATGATTCGGGAAATGCACGTCTCATAGATTTCGGTCTCGCAACAGTCGCAGGGGACGTGGAGTTGCAGTTGTCCACATTGAGCGTGAACCGCGACTTGGATTCTCGATGGCGTGCACCTGAGGTCATCGGAATCGAGGACAGTGATCATCGTGGTGGAAGGCCTACTTTTAAGAGTGATGTCTATTCATTTGGTGGTATCATGTTCTTTGTGCGATCTCTGTGTTTTGTACAGCTGTATCCTAAGCTTTTCCCTTTCAGATCATCTCGGGGGATATGCCATGGAAGGAGAAGAAACCGCCCCAAATCTGGATCGCTTTGTCGAAGAGAGCCATACATGCGCGTCCCGATAACATCCTTGATGATGATTGGGACTTGATTCAAAGCTGCTGGTCTTGGGACGCAAAGGATCGCCCAGAGGCAGCGGAAGTCATCGGACAACTGCAGTCGACTCACTGCAATATTCTACAGATTCGCTCAAGGTTCCGAGTACTGGTCATTGGGAAGGTCTGTCTGTCCATTGTATTCAAGCAAATGTCCTTACTATTAGGCACCCGCTTTGTAGACCGGTGTTGGAAAATCGTCACTAGTCCACCAGGCATTCAAAATAGATGAAGTAAATACCAAAAGAGTGTTCTTTGTATCACCAAATGGGCGCGTTGTCATCCACAATAGTGAGGCATTCGAAGCCGGTGACAGCAGCAGTTTTGCTGCTGAAAAAGAGTTCGTTGCCCACAGACCCGAGATGCCCTCACTGAAAGACGAAATACATGCCATCTGGTGTGATGCTCTAGCTGCTGCTGCAACCACTGCCATGCTGACACTGTTTGAAGGCTCTGTCTCTCGATTCCTCATGCCGATGGCCGGTCTCTTGAGAGCGGAGTAGAGGAATATCTAAAATCGAGGAAGGCAATCCTGGACAATAGTACGCATTGTTCATATCTCGCCTCTCGTAACTCATGTTCCAAACTGTAATTCCGGTCATCACTGTCTTCACTAAGTATGACATTCTTGTTGACACACTCGAAGCTGTGGAATCGAAAGAATATAATGAAGCTGCATTCGAGTTGCTTAAACGTGACACTTTGATTAAGCTGTGCATCCAGCCACTTAAGGCTGTAGCTGGAAGCGACTTCCCGCACGCATTTGTTTCCGGTGAGGAGCATTCACTTCTCTAGGTTTCGATGCTGACATACCTTGGTAGTGAAGGATGGGTATGAGAGCACTGTGAGACAACTAATTGATCTTACAATCGCAACCGTCGCTCCAGAAGCTGCATTAGTCGCCCAAAGAGTAGATGCTGGTCTTAAAATTAAGGCATCAATCACGTATGCACGATCACCTTCGTTTATGTAAACTACTCATTTCACGCTTGCTTTTCAGTGTCGGCAAGAAAAGTTAGTCTTGTCACAGTCTTCAACGCCTTTTTGACTTTGAATTTTTAGGATATTTAGGATATTGGAGAATGTCCGCGAACTCCTGGAGGTTCACCAAGTGGCACTGTCTTTCTGTGATCTACAAAGACATCATTAACATTTGGAACTTGAATGACCCTCACGGTGTAAGATACATGCTGGGTAAATATCCCAGGCTGCTGACATGTTTTTGCACAGCACTTGGCCGATGACAGGTGTAAAAATTTGATTCTCACAGATCTGGACATTGTCGAGACGTGAGTGAATGTGTGTTTTCGCCATTTGAAACATGCTCAGAATAGCCTATAAACTGATCTAGAGACATTACCTTGTGGCAGATGATGATAACGCACACTGTGCATTTAACATGTATCATGCACATTGTGTTCCTGCTGGCGTCGACAGGGTTCATCTCTCGTCGTGTCATCAAAATTGCTGTGAAAGCCTACGAAGTGGCTGGAAAAGGCAGGGTTCACTCAGCGTTTCAATCACATGTGCCTCTGATCCATAGTGGAGAAGACGAGGTGCTGGAGGAGATTGTTAGATTGATTGAAAGCCACTCTATCAAGGCTGAAGAAGTTCAGGACATGAGGACGAAGATTGGGTCACACATGATGGGGTTGCAACTAGACGAAGAGTGGTGAATGGTGCCTGGGCCTTCATGGTAGTTCTCAGTGATTGCAGTTTCTGTAGCTTGGTACTATGCACTAACACTTATGCTTCACAATGTATATGCACACGCTTACTATCTCGAGTCAAACATTTACAAGTTTAAATTCTCTGACTTGAGTCCTTAAATACAAATTAATATACTCGACGCACGATGCGCATACATGCGTCTATCGTCATCATTCAGTTTGTTCTCCTTCCCGTCCTATCTCCGGACCCTCTCGCTCACCCATCGCGCAGAAGCAAAGTATGCAGTTGGGGTGGTCTAATGACTGCAGGCGCAGAAGCTAGGGGAGCAGTTGGCATTGTCATTTCTGGACGAGAGACCTCGCTGAACATCGCGCAGCAAATTTTCCGGTGTTTGCTTGTGGACATTTGACGGCTGGGCAGTCCCCTATCGTACCTGTCCGCTGTCGATGTTACCCTCAACATTCGTCCCAAAGATGTGGGTGAAGGTCCAGATGTGTTCGCCTCTGATGTTGTGACACAAGAGGATGAAATCGTTACAGACGAAGAGGTTGTAATTTGCGTGTCGGTGGATAGGGTAGATAAGGTCGTGGAACTTGCTAAGAAGGGGCAGGAGGTTTATGCTAGGTATATGGCTGATATAAAAGCTGGAAAGGGCATCTAAGCATCTTTCAAGGAGCAGGCAAGTAGAAACACACCGCTTCGATAGACGCGTACATGCACCACCTAACAGCAATCCTACATCGAGTAGTCATACCGCGTCGTACTACATAGAAAGTTCTGCAAGTTGGCGCATCGACCTTGGCAGACGCAATTACGCTTATGCAGGTCGAATCAAGTAATGCGAATCGGCGGCTATGGGGAATGAATAAGTGTTGAGTCTGAACTCCCACGCAAAGTACTTCTTTATCTCCCCATTTCCCAACCTCCTCGAGGAGAAGGCATGCTCGGTAACGATCTTACAAACATCGTCAACCAACATAATGATATATACGGGTCTGTACAGTGTCCTTATACAATCAGTCTGCGGGCCCTCGAGAGAGGTCTTGAAATTTAGAGGCGGGATGGGCGTTAATGGTAGTGTCCGTTGAGACACGACATGCGTGGATCCGCTCAACGATCGGTGTGGAGATATGGGATGTTGGGAATATTAATCTGCGCTGGGGGAAGTAGGGTTACGAGCGTGTCGACTGCGGGAAAGATGAGTTTTCTGTGATCTGCGGAGAAAGGTGGTTGGGGTTGATTGAAAGTGGTTTTGAGGAAGGAAGGAAAATGCAGGATTGGGGGGAGCCAAGAAGGAGTCGGGGAACCGAGAAGATCTGATCGAAGGCGTTAATATTAATTGATGGGGCAGCGATTGGTGGAGTTTAGTCTTGGATATCTGATCGGTGCCATGTACGAAGGATGTTTCTAAGTGTTTGAATGTCTCTTTCGTCTGGACGACGGTTTCGAGTGTGGACTTTCTGCCTCAGAGCAGTATTGCCTATGTTCAGCGTTAACGTTCAACGTTGCGTTATTGACGGAGAAAAATCCTTTGATGGCTCCGTGAGTAATTCCCAGTCAAATTGTGACAAGCTTTCACTTCCGCCGGTCCCCTACATGTGGGCCCAGTGAGGTACTACAGATTCGAAAACATTGAATGCTACAGTGGGCGGTTGTAGTTTTCTATTTAGTAATAACTTCCATTCCTAACAAGACCAAACACACTCTCTAATTCCTGGGCAGGTCCGGGTTTACGTGAATTTCTTGGTATCGACCAAGCGTTATAACACGACAAGTACCAGTAATGTCACTCGACATCTTCGTACAGCGCCCTCACACTCTGTCGTATTCACGATCTGAACACCCTATGCACTCCCCCTTCTTACTCCCCTCCCAAAAATCCACGATCTCCTTGCACTGGAATAGCTATCCGCTCTCCCAGCTCATCAACAAAGCACTCCGCCTCCAAAACCTGTTCCATTCGACTTCCTTGTCCATGAGCATTATATGACGGCCACATACGTCCCTTCCATCAATATTATTCCCAAAGTACCGTTCTCAACGTCTCCGCCCACCCAGGACTTCCAGTCTATGTCGTGTCATCCCCGTCATCAGACGCTGAGTCTCGTATTCTAGCAAGTTGGTCAAATGACCTCACTGCGTGTCTTACGCGCATATCTCTCAGTTCAGAATGCTTCAGTGCATTTACTGTTGCTTCCCTGCATCTACACTATCCTCCCTATCTACTGGCTCACCTCCTCACCTTGTCGTGAGACACTTCAGGACCACCAAGCCAATCTAGATCGTGGCAGTGACTGAAAGAGCAGCGTAAGACTTCCCCCGCGAATATGGGGTAGAATGCGCCAATAGCAGTGCTAAAATCGCACACCATACGTGCGTCAACAGCGCTATTTGCTACTGGGGAACCCGCACAAGGTAAGTCATACAGCCACTCGACCGTACGAACCTGGGATGTCTACAGTAGTAGGTGTACAAACACTATTGTGGGTACTGTCTTTGCATTGAGTGACCTAAGCTGGGTACTTCACCCCACCAGAATGTCCACAAGCGCCAGTGCTCGATCTCGCTGAAACCTCTGACGATGACATCATCCTCACTGCATCCACATACCGCACTGTGACCATGTTCGACCATTGTGTTTCTTCCCTCTAATCATCCACAGGTATCATGTATGCACCCCGCAACTCCGAGTTTATCATGCATCGTCACATCTGAAAGTGGGAAGCAGCAGGTGGTAACTGGTAGCTATGATGGCATTGCGCGGTTGTGGGATCTGCGGATCACGAAAGGAACTGTGAAAAGCTTCAAAGTGTGGGATGGGATGAACGTGCTTGCGGTCGATGGCGTGGGGATGTGGCACAGGCGAAATTAGGGTGGATGGAGAACCGCCAGGGGATCTTAGGCTCGTAGAAATCAAACCCCTTCGGCATTGGAAGAAATCACGAGTCGCATATATTCTGTTTGTAAATTAAAGCACGAGCAATGCTTTCGTGATCTTTCTCCTAAGTTATGAGTCAAAACAAGAACTCCTAGACCTAGCATAAAATTCTCAGCGTTTCTCTTCTCATTTTAAGTAGCTGTGAGTGTGTGAGTAGCCACCAAGAGCCGATAAAAAGCAATCGAAAAACTTATTCTTCGTCGCCTTGGCATTGTTCGTCGAGGCGAGGTTTTTCTCCTGGCAGCTTCCGCCAACTGAGGCAAAGCAATTAGTAGGGTGTCGAAGTCCGAGAGGTCTGCAGGTGCAATGTCGAGCCTTGAAGCTCTAGAGAAGGAAGTGGGAGGAAGGAAGAAAATTTGGTTGTGGCGAAACATAGCGGTTGTATCAAGCATGGAATGAAAATGAAATGAAGCTTGTTGGCGGATTCGGACACCAAGGTACGAGATGTACAGCCATAACCTGTCTTGTCGGTAGCAGCATGTCTCAGAATCAGACTCGAAATAGTACTAGTCATACATCTTGCACTAATGTAACTTGTACAGCTAGAGAAATACGGATATCATGTAAAAATGGAGATGCGAGGATGGTATATATGGTATCCATTTTTTTTTTGAAGATCTAGACTATCGACCGAGTAGATCAGTCAAAAGTATAGTCAAGCATAAAAGCTGAAAAGCGTGCTGCGCTCTGCAGCCCACTATGATATGACGACATATTGAGCTACCTGCACGGCAGACAGCACGAAGATATCTCATTCGATGGCGTGGTTGGCCGTGCGCACCGTCACTAAATGTATTGTCAGCCCGACTCGACTCGATGATATAAATCAAGAATCGTTTCAACGGCGGGCACTTCTCCTGGGATGGCTGGATGGGACACGGCATCGGAACCAGCATAAACGCAGTCCATCTTCACACCCGGCAGCGGATGATTGCTCGTCCCTTTTGAGAACGTCAATACAGCATCCTCGTGAATATGAAAATGCCGTACTAGCATGGCAATACGGGGTCCCATCCTCCTTGTGACCCCACCACATCATAGGCAACCACTCGTCCACAAGGTTGGCGAGCGTCCGTATGCGGCCGGCTGAGGGCCGCGGAGTCGGCGCAGTGAGGCGGAAGTGAAGACACATGCAAATATCAACAGTGCTATACATAAGTTGGAGATCTGCACTAGTGTGCGAGGATATTGTAGCGACTGTCAGACAATAAATGAAACCCTGGTTTACATACATGATTGCACGGAGATCCCCAATCGCGATTCGCGACCTTTGAGGAGGAAAACAGGAAGAAGAATGACAGCCCAAACATCCAGTCTGTAACATTAATTGTTCAAGAAAACCAATCAACGATAATCGCGAATGACCCACGTAGCACAGACTTCAGGAGAAAAAAGACAAGACCGAGGCGATTAATGAGAAATGCCTCCAGCGGGTTCATCATGTGAAGCCCATTCCTTGTTGCAGCACATCTCCGCTGCATTTCATTTTGAATGATGTTCGCGATAACGTATACGATCCACCAAAATTTTTGATGAAAAAGTGCCGCAGTGGAGTGTCGTGCGAGACAAACGCAAACGCCGCTATATTACTGTATTGGTTTGGAAGAAGCTGCCATAAGAGAGGTCATGGTGTAGAGGGTCAGCACATTATGGCCATACTGGGGCATCTTAGATACGATTTAACACACCTTTGACATACCTCGTTGTCACATAAACAGTACTTCGAGACTGAATCCCATCTTCATGTTCATTGGAATGAAGGAATTTCGGGTAGTGCCGCTAGTCAACGTTCAACGTTCTAATATCAATGTCTGGTATGTACTAACACGTCGAACCGTCCTGTTCCACCTGATCACTTAATACAAAGTTCGCACTCTTGCTGACTGTATTAGTCTCGATATGGGCTTATTAGGCCTTATGATTTGTGGTAATATATAGAAAAACGATACGCCCTGCACCCTCTTTACGTGTGGTTTGCAGTGCTGGGCTACACTGCCATTAAGCGTCTCAAACTGAGTGATTTAGTGAAGGAATAAAATAAATACTTGAGCGTGACTGTAACAGGTATCGCACTTACTGTAAATTATGGTATCTTCGTCCATGGTGCTATCATACCCTGTCGTTTTCACGACACAGACGCCCGAACGTGAGTCCTGTCCTTGTGTTATGTGAAGCAACCCGAAGACTTCACATAACGTCCCTGATCGTTACACCAAGCAGACCGCACCGTGTCCTGCATGGAGAATGGCTGGGGCATCTTAGGTTTGGCGCCAATCCAATCGTCTGGAGATGAGTCAAGTACCGCCTTGACATCCAGACACAAAGGCGGTGTGCGCCAGATCCGTCAGGCTCGAGGTCGCCAGCACTCTATGAGTTAAACCACGAGCAATAATTTCGTGTCGTTCATCCCAACTTATGAGTCAAAACAGAAACTCTGAGTAGACCAGCAAATATTAAATATGGTCGAGTAATAGTTGCAAGCGTTGTTTGTTCGTATTAAAATTTAAAGCCAATATGTATTACCTAGTACCGTGACATACCTCAGGCTTTACAGCTACACACTCTACTACTCAATTTGTTCAATGTCCGGCACTCTGCTTCTTCCTTGTGTACTTCAAAATCAAAGTTACACCTTCGGCGCTTCCAGCACTTCCTTACACAGAGAGAATTCATGCGTATCACAGGGTCAGCCTGTATGACCGCCCATGTTTTCTGTCGTCGCGCGTGTCAGTAGTGTTCATTGACGTCTACAGTGCGCCATTAACTCCACGAGGCGTGATCGCCGCTATATGAAGCTTCCTGAACCACTCACCCTCAGGGATCCTGTTGGCTGATAGGAAGCTACTCGGAAACTGTGGAAATGAATTCCAACTATGTACTGGTCCTACTGATCTGACGAAAGGTCGAATCGATAAGGGAGGACCGACACAGGCGTACTTCAATTCATTTGCAGACGCGATGGAGGATGGCGTAGATGAAAGGCCTGATGGAAACCTTCGGAAATGGAATTTGCGACCAAACAACCTGATCTGATCTAATCTGTCGGGGGATGTTCGCCTGGGTACTTAAGTAGGTCCATGGTCATCTCGGACCCAGCTACTGATTTCTGCCCCTTTTCCTTCCTGCTCTCTCGCCATGACGTACGTTGCGAACACTGTTCCCGCTGATCACCCGAATTCTATCCACTCCGAACACAAGCAGCATGATGAGGAGCGGCTGGAGGACTTAGATCTGAGTCTCAAAAATGTGCCAACGCTGACGCCAGAACAGGAGAGGAAACTGTGGAGAAAGATTGACTTACGGTTGATACCTATCCTCAGTTTGATGTACCTGCTGTCTTTTCTTGACAGAGGTGCGTGGTTGTCGTAGGTATATATAATGCGTTCCTTACTTTCAAACAGGTAACATCGGTAATGCGAAGTTGGACGGGCTCGTCACTCAGCTTGACCTCACAGGAAACAGATTTAACATAGCACTGGTATGTAATATGTGTGTTGTTCACCGAATTGTCATTTTACGGCTGGACGCAGACGATGTTCTTCATAGTAAGTGTCGTTGTGCTGACGAATTGTCGGTGTATTCTGAAAGACCATGAAGCCATACGGCCTATTTGAATGCCCCGCTAAGTTCGTATGGGGCCCGAGTTGTTGGTTGTCTACGCTCTGATTGTAGTCTTTAGCCTTGTTCTCAAAGTAGTCAGACCATCCAGGCGAGTGGTTATGTCAACCTTTGAATGCTGCGTGAATAATTCATTTTGTAGATGGCTTCCAGCAATCAGTGTAGGTCTTATAGTATCATGTGTGCTGAATTCGTTTGACATACGATAGTTCATTTGGGGGATAGTCATGTGCGTCAATCAGTCATGACATAGTCTGAAAATTCTGAGGAATCTATCGCCAGGACGCTCATGAGTTTAGTGAAGACGTAAGATTACGCAAATTCTCGCCATATTTTTCACTTGATGTTGACCTTGCATGTCAGATACCCTCAACTTGTTGGAGTGCGAGCCTGTCTTGGCTTTGCTGAGGCAGGTTTCTTCCCTGGTGTGGTTTATTAGTGCGTATAATTCAAGAATTACGTGCAAAATTCTGTGATGTATCTGCAGTCTTACTTTGTGGTATCCGAGACACATGCTACAATATCGAAGCAAGTTATCTCACATCTACTTGTCCGTTTTGACATGTTGAAGCGTTCGGACAGTCGGCTTGTTTTTTGGCGCTGCAACAATTGCAGGTGTGTTGTCTCACTATGTCCATGGGATTTTAATAGCGAAAGAAATCTTAGGTGCCTTCTCCGGTTTACTCGCCTTTGCGATTGGCCACATGAATGGTATTTCGGGACTCGAAGGATGGTCTTGGATCTTTGTGAGTTCGTTTATGATCAAGACCGAAGTTATGCTCAAATTTTGCATGCAGTTGCTTGAAGGCCTTGCAACGATAGTCGTAGCCGCCATTGCTCTGTTTGGTGAGTGCACCAGGTATTCAATCACACAGAGGGCTGACGTATATGATCACTCAGTGTTGGTAGACTTTCCGGACACAGCTGAGTTCTTGACCCCGGAAGAACGTGCTTTTGTTGTCTGGAAGAAGAGTAAGTCCAGTGGCAGATCCTGAGCGTGCGGATGTGATTTAGGTTTCTTTTAAGAATACGACAATTCGTCAGTGGGCGAGGAAGAGAGGTTTGCGGTAAGGCACATCTGGGCCGCATTCCGGGACTGGCAGGTAATATACGCATTATTACGAGTGTCATCGTGCAATGCGCCTCAATTAACTGATTAGGTCTGGCTTCATATCCTCATTTCCTTCTCAATCGTTGGACCTCGTAAGTGACACTTTTACAGCTTGGAGATCTCAAACGCTAATTTGACGCACCCTTAGTGTACGGTATAACTCTGTTTCTCCCGTAAGTCAGTTGCTAGATCTTTGAAGATGGTATTGAAGATGTTGGTGCCAGAACTATCATCCAGAGGTCTGTCACCCCAAGCTGATTGTCATACATGTGCTCAATCACATTCAGCTTCGGATACAGCACACCGATCAGCCAGTTGCTCACTGTACCGCCATATGTCGCCGCAAGTCAGTTTTCTTACCTATACACAATCTAACGCGTTAACCCGTTGTATTTAGCTATCACATTGCTCGTTGTCGCATATTACTCGGACAAGTTGAAGATGCGATCCCCCTTCATTCTTGCTGGCCTTGTAATGTGTCTCATCGGCTTTTCAATAAATATTTCCACCGCACCCGATGCTGTCAAGTACTTTGGGACTTTCTTTATTGTGATTGGTAGCTATGCAGCGATTCCAGGTGTAATTTCCTGGTACGACATTGTCAGTCGCGTTATGACCAAGCTAACACATGGTAATGGAGGCTCGGGAACAATCTCTCCGGCCAGTACAAGAGAGGTGTCGGCATGGCCCTCCAAATCGGCATCGAAAACTTCAGTGGTGCGATCGCATCCAACATTTATCGATCGCAAGACTCGCCTCGGTTTATTCTCGGGCGTAAGTCTCACTCCGACTTCGTTGCTACTCGCGCCTGCTGACCTGCTGTGTTTCAGACGCACTGGAACTGATGTTAGTCGGGATTGGACTCGTAGTTTTACCAATTATCGTCTTCCGTTACAAGAGGATCAACGCACAGCGCGATGCTGCAGAGCGCCTAGTGATGGAACGGGGAGAGAAAGTGCAATATTCGGACGAGGAATTACGGGAGTTGGGAGATCGTGCGCCTGATTTCAGATACACGTTGTAAGTAATAACAACAGTATAACCTCGTGACTTGGTATCGAGGATGCGACGTGTTTTACCAATCATATTTATTGTCTTCTTAGAACCAAGCCTACGCCAACTGAACATGAGGTATCCTCGAGGTATCATGTAGTTAGTCCTGCGAATAAAGACCATTGAGAATGGTAGATACTGACAGTAATACCACTACTACCCGACATCAAATGACGGCTGTGGGACTTAAGCAAGGGTGACTTGGCAGTTCCAGACATTGAGAGACTTTATCGGGACGAAGATAGGAAGTGCCATCGGGATCTGCGGGGGCGCCCCAGAGGACGGCTGGCATCTCGAGTAGATGTGGAAGAGGAAGCTGGGGTATGTTGGGCATGTTGGGTATGATGCCTTGAGGCTGGAGCTGCGCAAGCGTTCGCTGGATCATACCGGCGAAAGACAGCGTCTGTTTCTCATCCGTTGCATCACAAGGTATCTTGGTATCTGTATCTTTGCTGGGCAGTTCTGGCGTCGGTTCCATATGATATTCAGCGTGCATTTCTTCTGTGGCATCCTGCGTGCGTCGATGAAAAGTATATGGCTTGGCCGCATGGGGAGAAGATGTTTGGTCTTGTTAGAAATGGAAGCCCACGCTGAAGCGACAGAATAGTTATAGTGAGCTCAAAAATATGGTCCACAGTGCCCACAATATTACATCTCTGTCGATTTATCTTCGTGGCTCGTTTCTCCGTGTATTCTTTCGATGCCCCGGAAGACATCCATTCCGAAACGAGAGCCGATAACGGAGAATCGACTTTTGCGACACCAAGTAGCGGCACGATATAAGTCGACCTACTGAGCTTGAGCCACACGGCGAATTCCCGACGCATAGCCTACGATGCATTATATAGACCATTGAAGGTGTGGAGTGACGTGTCATTTGAGTATGCACATCACAATTAAGTAGAAGACTTACGCTATTGTCTTTCCGCTCAGATTTTTTATGATCAACCACGAATACCTTCACTGCAACTTTGTAGATATTAGATGCACAATCGACTAGCTCGGGTCACTCAGACAGACGGTCACGAACCTCCACTGTTTTGCCTTTGCCTTTGCTGATGGTATAAACTTTGCTAAAGGAACTACACGCCACCTAGGCTGGATCGGATTTGAGCTGAGCTTGATTTGAGACGTGAAGTCGCGAATGGTATGATTACTGCGGACATTATCCATGAGATGACATATATCAGTTATTGGAGTGGGCTCACTCTTCAAGCACATTTTCCCCCATGACTCAGACGTTGCTGTTGTGACAAGTGGCTGTATGCAACGAGCCCAGTGAGATATCAAGTTATGCACAGGTTCATGTCGTTGTAAGGCATTATTTGCTGTAACTGTAGCACACCTGTGATGCATTTTTGCTACAATTGTAGCACTCTCCCCTCCCCTGCAGTACTGCATCCTGATGCATGCATGATGCATCCCCTCCTCTGCAGTACCAGTGTATCCTGTGTGATGTGTCTTTTGTCATACAAAACATTCAAAATGTTGGATGGTACGGTACAGGTCATTGTATGGTCATATGACTGGCCTATATGGTCATATGGGAGATAAAAAAAATGTTGAATTACAGTAGTACTAACCATGTAGTACAACATAATATGATTATGAATTAATCAATTATGGTGATAACATTATGAGCGAGGCAGACACTGCTTAAGCAACATCAATGTCCTGATAGTGTTAGGTTGGAGACTAGCATGCTGAAGAGAGATAGTATCATGGCCACCAGAAAAAATGTGTTCAACAGCAACAGCTGAGCCTGCACAACATGTGGAGGATTAGTGTACCTATAGACAATGATTTTGAGTGGAATGAACTCACCAGGAATAGCAAGAATGTCTCAAGCCAGGCACAAAAGGTTTGGAAATTGTGAGCAGCATCCTGCCCACCATTGGATGGGGTCACAGGTGTTGAAGTCCTCCATGGGCAGCCTATAGTACTCCTCAAGCTTGTCTCTTGAGATTGTTAGGCGCTTCTTGTATTGAGCTGTAAAATTAACTTTCTGTGGTGATCCAGATGAGGTTTCTGCTGCTGCAGGTTGAGGAGTGATGGCAGGGGAACTTGAACCTTGCAATGAAAGGTAGTTGTCTTGATAATACCAGTGCAATTGGACCTTTGCATTGTCCAAGTGGCCACATAGTGTTTGGTCATCACCGCAGTCAGTCAAAAGACCTTCATATGAAATTTGGGGGTCAAGGACTGTCAATGAATTAGTAGACTGCAGTTACCAGTAGATACAAAAAGAATTCTTATGAGAGGACCATATGTAAAATGGTGATTCATCAAACTTGGTATAATAATCACTCAGTTTCTGATGTGCTTTGATGAGTGAGTCTTTGAGATGAGGCAGTGTATTGTTGGGCAACTTGTGCAGAGACTTTTGCAGAGACTCTTGCAATCCACAGAAAATGGCCTGAGTGGACGATAGCATTGAACACTTTGTTGTTGACATTTGTGTTGTTGCTGAACAGAAAGCCTTCAGCCAATCAGAGACTAGCTGGATTGCACTCCAGTCCTTTGGGGTCAACTTGTACTGGCAAAGGTCCCATGTCTTTGCAACAAACTCATCAATGACTTTGCAGTAATCAAGTGTGCAACCTTTTTGAAGAGGGATATAAGTTAAGAAAGTTAAATATGAAACTAAACCTACATATGAAGTATTTGATGAGTTGAAGACCACCTTGTCTTGACATTGAGGATCAGCATTAAAGCTGTCTGTGGTAGTGTGTAATCCTGTGACTGCATTGATATTTTGACCTCTTGGAGCCATGCCCGGCGACATTGAGGACTGGAATGAACTGCATGGACTATCTTCTGCAACTGGAAAGGAAGTAATTGTGAGTTTAATTGATGATCTGGTGATTAACTCAAACTCACCTTTGAAACTGTGGAGAGGACTTCATTAAGAGTGTTGCCTGGTACTTCTTCTGGTTGATCTTCCTATCCAGCAACATCATTGTCATACTCTCGACTAAGTGGAGCAGTCACACAGTCCTGGTATGCATCATGATTCTTCGTTGAACTGTTAGCCTTGATGGTGCCAATGCCTTCCAATAACTTGACCAAAACATGTCAGATGTATGAACACAAATATGAATATGAAAATTGTACCGCTAAAGCTGAAAGATGGGTTGTATGAGGCATGCACTGCAGTCGAGCCCAGCATGCATTAAATGTGACACCTTCCTTCTGACACAATTCTTGTAGTGCCTTACACATGGTGTCATTGTTTGAAGCATTGTCGGCCATTATTGCAAGCACCCAACCCTTAAGCCCAAAGAGCTCCAGAGTTTCAAATACTGCCTAGGCCATGTTGTCACCTGAATGCTCACCAATGAGCTCATGAAAGTTGATTAGAAGTTCTTCTGTGTGATGATCAGTTATACCCTAAAATGACAGTGCAGATGAGGGACTCACTGAGTTGCCACCCATTTGTGATGTAGTGCATCACTATGGCCAAGAATCCATACATATTGCTGAATGTCCACCCATCCAGTGAAATGCTGACCTTACAATCCAATTCAACAATCATCTTTTTCACATCCTCGACAGTGTCTTCCCCCATCTTCATCACATTCCGCTTCATAGATTGATGGTGAGGGATGTGGAGTGATGGTTGCAAGTGAGTGTACTTGAGGAGGTGGTGGAACTCAAGCCTGTCGACTTCTTCAAATGGCTGATTGCATGTGACCATCCACTCAGCCAGAAGCCGCTCAAATGTGTCCTGATCCCATTCAGCTTCCTGAGTCTAACATATCAGATTGAGTAGATAAATAATGAAGGAATAGACTTACCAAAGCTCTTTGATTGTGGTGGCTGAAAGCATCCACAATACTGCTCAAAGCTTTTCGAAGCTTAAGTAGATACTCAACTGCCAGAGTTGAGTCAAGAATCTTTTGACCAGATGCAATTGCTACCTCATCCTCTGTGGGTGGCTCATCATGATTTTTGAGATATAGATATAGTTGATACATGGCTAGGAAGTGCATTTTGATGTGACCAATAAGACCTGCTGTTCATGAGAAGCTGCCAGAAAGCTAAAATAAAATAAACTAACCATTGAGGCTACTTCGCATTGCCTTTGTAATGGTCAGAATTTTGCACTGACCATGGTAACACTTGTAATGTTTGTCACCTATGTTGCCCTTGACACCATGGGCATTCTTCAATGCCTCTTCATAAAAGAGGTAGATGGGATTTGTTGGTCCACATGGCTGAAAATTACAGTTAGAATCGACATGAATAGTTTGGATTCTGAAACTGATACCTTTGAATGTTTTGTAACAACAGGTATTTGACTTGATGATGGCTGCAAATGCATGGTGTCATCATCTTTGACTTCCTCAACATGAGCTCGCTTTGATAGTTGAGGTGTGTCAGCAGGCCAAAGGATGTCCAGCAGTAGGCTTCCAGCTTAGATTTCATGCTATGTTTCTTGTGAAGATGGTGTGCATTAGGATTAGTGTTATCACCATGAGGTGCAACAGTCTTCATAGGTAGTACTTCTGTAAGCTGCAGAATACTAGTCAGTAATAGCAGTGGGCAATAAGAAATAACTCACCTCTGTATTGGAGATCTTGCAGATGTCACTGTCTGAGCCTGACGAAGAAGACTGAGAGCTGGACTCCAAGCCAATGAAATCATCATCATCAGCATCCAAAGCCTCTTCGACAGTACTCCAGGTATCTGATTATTAAATGTCGATGTTTTAAAGGTATGGGCCCCTTATCAGTAGAAATAGCAAGTATACACACTAGCTCAAAATTCCGGCCCATTTTAAACTGATATTTAGTATACAAAGCATATATATATGTATAACTGATGATATATGAGCAGGTTAGACCATTTGTGCAAGAGTGATATATTGCAAAACATCAAAATTGTGATTTTACATATTTTTGTTCCTGTTGAAGGACCCTATAGGTTTCCTATTGTAGCTAGGTGATAGATATACTATAAATATGCATAAGAATAGACTACCTACCATCCTGAAGGTCCGATCCTACAGGAAAAACTTTCACAGGGGGTGAACCACCAGCAGAGGGTAGGTATACTGCATCACAGGATCTTGTCCTATGGTCCTGGACTCTTGATACATTGTTCATATTGGTTAATAGATGCTGGGGATGAATTTTGCAAGTACATCTACTTAGAAATAAATATATGGGAACATATTTTGTGTTTTCCTATATATATGCTATATCTATTGATGTAGGACACTTCAGGGGGTCAAATAAGGATGGGAATCTCTTCACATATACTTCTAAACATGATCTGAATGCCCTGGGACAATTCCCTATCAAAGGGGAAAAATGCGAAAGTGTTCTGTACCTAGGCAATTTTGAAAGGGCCCTGGAGGAGGAGTAGGCACACAAATAAATAAAAAAGTGGTCTATTATATTATATTATACACATATATACCAAACTACTACTTAGATATGAAGGGGGACCTATTGTAGTGTGGTGGTGAAGCTGCAATGAGGTGGGGAGGGTGTGGAAATAATTATAATTGTGGGGTATACTATATTGGGCGATGTTTTTGGTGTTGTGGGGTAATCCCCACACTGTGTGGCTGAAAAATGCGAAGATGTGATGTGATGTGTGGGGTTACAGCTGATTGCAAAATTATGCAGAAGTGCAAAAGTTGAATTTGCATCTCAGAAACGCCTGAGGTAGGACCCCATAAGTGTTTGGCTTACAATTGCATGCTCATTCAAAACACTCCAGCATGCCACCACACACAGTCTCACTAGATCTAAAAGCTCGCATACCTGTTTTGCACCAATGTGGGCATTCTGTCACAAGCATTTGCCATTTACTCAGTATCAAGAAGACACTTGTATACAAAACTATCTAGGGAACTGCATGGGTATGGGTAATCTGTGCGGGTCACAGGTATGGGTATCATTGGGGTATGGGTTGGGTGACCATTACCACATTTGGTAATAGCTGTTATCCCAGGAAGCTGGAAGTTGTTACTCACTCATTCAAATCTATCTCAAGTTCAAGGTTTGTATGTACTGGCATGGGGTCTGGGCAAGTTGATGGAGAAGCAGGCTCAGTGCTAGTGACACTATACTAATACAGGTATGTTTTGATCTATATCTTTGTGCTACTTGTTTTTAATTTCTCGCACTTGTCTGCATTGTCTGCATTTGTCTGGGCTTACCTGCACTCATTTGGACTCGCCTGCACTTGTCTTAACTCATATTGGCTTGCCTTCATTTGTCTGGACTTGCCTACACTCATTTTCACTCTCCTTGACTCATCTGCATTCACCTGGGCTTGCCTGCACTCATTTGGACTCATCTGCATTTGTCTGGGCTTGCCTACACTTCCGCTTGTTTGTACTTGCTGCCACTAGCTTTTGCTTGCATGTCCCTGCTTGTTTGTGCCCACTGCCACTCATCTTTGGTTGTCCCTGCTTGTTTGCACATACCACTGCTCATTTTTGCCTGTATGCACTTGGCGCCACTTGTTTCTGCATTTCTGCACTTGTCTGTACCTGCCCCTGTGCATTTTCGCTTGGTGCTGCATTTGTTGCCTGCCCTTGTCTGCACCTTCCACTACTCATTTTTTTCTGCTTGCCTGCCCTTACCTGCAACTGCCACCACTTGTTTTCACTTGTATGCACTTGGTGCCACTCATTTATGTTTGCATGCACTGGTTTGCACCTGCCAGATGTTATGTTCACATATGTTGATGTTTGCTGTGCGCATTTGTGCAACTTAAAGGTATGTATTTCATTTGTTCACATATATTTTACATTCTTGCTGATTCATGTGTGTTCACGTTTGTAACAGTGACTTTCAACATTGACACATGATGTTTGTGCTCGTCCGTGCATGTTCTCGTTTGTAGAGATTTGTAGTATTTTAAAAAAACTATTTGTTTTGTAGCTAATTGAAATGTTATTTATGTGCAGTACCCTGGTACCCATGGGTTTACCTGTGCAGTTCCCTAAAACTATCAAGCTGACTAACACCTCATCTCAAAATGCAAACAATGGGCTTTGCAGCTGACATCACAACCTCAGTATAGATAATATTGCCTTTCTCACTGCTGTCCTTTGTGAAATCCCACTATGTACCTCAATGAGCTACAGCACAAGTTACAGGCATGCTGTGGTGTTTTTGTATCTGTTCATACACTTTTTCACACCCTGCACAAGCTACATTACAGCCACAAGAGTATCTCAGCTCATGCTCTTGAGCAAGATGAGGAACAACATGCAATATTCATGAACCATATTGCAGAGATAGCCCCAGATCCTGAGATGTTGATGTTTGGTGATGAAGCTGTGAAAGATGAAAGGACATTCAGTTGATTCGTAAATTTGGATATTCAAAGATTGGAACAAGGTTTGTTTCATTTACAGATCAGTATTGGTCTTGGCTAATTCATGCCAGGTGTATCTAGAGGAAGTGTTTTGTGCGAGGCAAACAATACTCGATCTTGCCCATCCTCACACTCAATGGCATCATTGCCTATGATATCATCAAAGGGCCCATGACGAGCAAGAGATTTATGCAGTTCTTACAAGAACATGTGGTATGCCTCATAATGATGTTGTGGATCTCACTGATTGGTTTATGAGTAGCTGCCTTTGACCAACCCCTACCCTGGTTCTCATAGTGTCCTTGTGTTGGACAATTGCTGTATCCACCACAGCAAAGAGGTCTGACATGTTGTAGAGGATGAGGCTATGTGTAAACTCGTGTTTCTACCTCCATACTCACCCAACTACAACCCCATCAAGCAGGCATTTTCTTCTATCAAGTCTTACTTACACCGTCATTTTCTCAATAAGTCCTTAACAGCTATTGTACAAGCATACCAAAACATTACACTTGACAAAGCAGAAGGGTATTTCTGTGCTTCTGGTTACATTGCCTAGATAGTTCCAACGTACTTCTACCTAAAAGGGTCTTCATTTTTGTGGCTACCCTCTGCATCAAATGTATACCCTGGCGGGAAAGGAACCCACTCTTGTCTATGGTTGCAAAAGTGATAAAGATCATAATCAAGATCAGGACACTCTCCTGAACCTTGTGAGCAGGGACAACATGATAATGCCATCAAACTTACCAGGTGGCTGCTCTTCAACTCTCATTCTACCCCCATTGTTATGCCAAGTGTAATGCAGGCAAACAATCAACAAATAAGACAGTCGGTCTTATGATACATTCTAGACAGAAGTCTAAAGAACGTCCAAGTCAAGTAAAGACTAAATACTGAAGAGGTAACTTAAAATCAAGTCAGAGTGTTCAGAGGAAAACCAGCATAGGTTAAGCTGAAGAATCAGCGTCACCTAGCTAGGGTTTATATAGTATACAGGGTACAGGGTGTGACTGTAATAATAGGTATGTATCAGTAAGCACATGCGTAAGCAATGAGGCATCTGAGTAATACCGAACTAAATATAGCATGATAAGAGACATGTGTAGTAAGCATGGATCAAGGGAAAAAGAAGCAAGATAAGCACAGCCGTAACATCACCCCCTTCTTACGTGGAAAGTCCCAGACTTTCACTGCAAACCACAGTGTCGATCGTCCTCCGTCCCTCCTAGCCCGTCTAGGGCCTCAAAGAAACCTCTTTCCTCCATGACGATCAACGTCAGTTGTTGGAGTTTCTCCTTGATGTCTCAGATGCTATAGTCGAGGGAGAAGAGTTCGTCTTCTTTGTACTCAGCATTGTGCCTTTCCAGAGTATTCTCGAGGCGATCTCTGAGACGGTAGAGTTCATAAAGGGCATTGAGCGTGGGCTCAGTGTCAATGGCATCTTTTATGGGGTTTTTGAAGAGTTTGGACGACAGCATAATCCTACGACGAAGTCTACGATCTTCAAGATCGGACAAGTAGGGGTCAGTTGCTACTCTCCAAGGAGCTGCAATACGCTCACGATTTCTAATCGTAGTGGGGCTGGCTGGGAGTATCGATGAACGTCTGATCAACATGTTCGTGGAAAGGTAATGGGGGAGATGAAGGTGAATAAGGAAAGGAGGATTCGTGAGGTTGCACCTTGGGTGAGTTTCGTTGACTAATAGTCATATAATGAGGACTGGGGGGAGAAGACGGGAAATCTGAGGTTTGGAATGGGAACGTTTGGAGCACTGTTGTGCGTGATAACGAGGTTTATATCCTTGTCACTGGAGGAGATGTAGTTACGTCCACTGGTAGAGGGCATGGTCTGAATGGTTTAGTGATGATGGTTCGAGTTGAAAGAGGAATGAGTCGATGTGCCTGCTTATATCTGTTCAAGATTTCAGCGGAGTTGGCTAAATCAGACTCCGACAACCATTCATTATTGGCCAATGGGTAACCTTTCCATTTGACAAGGAAGTGTTGTCGTGAGAGAGTTCCTTTATGTCCGAGGATGGCTTCTACCTCATGTTCTTCTTCTCCGTCAATTAGGTCAGGAGGTGGCGATGGGAAATTAGGACCGTGTTCTTCATTTTTGCGATAAGGAGTGAGAAGTGCTGCATGAAATACCAGGTGGACACACCATTGGATCGGGAGTTTTAGGCAGTATGTGACTGGTCCGAGGACTTCCGAGATAGTGAAAGGTCCTTCTCTCTTGGGTGCTAATTTCTTATTGGGGTAATTGAGATGAAGGTTCTTTGCTTCTAGCCAAACCTTGTTGCCTTTCTGGAAGGGTGTGAACAATTGAGTGATTCTTTGCCTCATGGTTTGTCTGGCGAGTTCATGTGACAATAAGGCTTCTTCTCGAGCCTTCTGGAGTTCTGATATTCTTGCTTCGACAGCTGGGAGATCCGATTTCTCGGTAGCCAATGGTAATGCTTGGGGATGGTATCCCATCATGAGATAGAATGGAGAAGTGTTGCATGCAGAATGATGTCGGGAGTTGTGTATGAATTCTGCCATAGGAAGCTTTTCTGACCAAGATGTTTGATCGTTTGCACAGAAGATGCGAAGATACACTTCTAGTTCTTGGTTTACTCATTCTGTTTCTCCATCGGTTTGAGGGTGGAAGGCGGTGGAGAGGGCGATTTTATATCCTAGAAGTCTCCCTAGCTCTTGTGCGAACTTTGCTGCGAACTGGGGTCCTCTATCAGAGATGATTTTGTCATAGAGGCCGAATCGTGTGTAGACATGTTTGAAGAATACGTCGGCGACTCCTTCTGCATCGATCGTCTTGTTGCAAGGTGTGAGCACCACCCCCTTCGTAAGCCCATGGTCTACCATGACCATGATAGAGTCAAAGCCATTGGATGGTGGTAAGTCAACAATGAGATCAACGGAGCATTGAGCAAAAGGGCGGGATGAAGTGGGGGCAGGAATAGGACAAAGTGGCGGTGCCGTCGGGTGAGTGTTGACTTTATTCTGTTGACACACAGCGCAGCCTTCAATGTATTTGCGAATGAAAGTTGGAAGGCCGGGCCACCAATAGTCACGAGAGAGGAGTTCCTGGGTTTTAAAACGACCAGGATGGCCGGCAGTGGGAGAGTCATGATGAAGGGAGATAAGGTCTTTATGCAAAGGACCAGGGGGAACGTAGTTGCGACCTTTGAAGGTGAGAATGGCATCAGAGAAGGTCCAATCAGAGAGTGTGGTTTTCATAGGGAGGGGAAGGGTGGGATTCGAAAGTGCATCAAGGGTCTGCTGAACGACTGGATCAACCGAAGATGAGATGCGGAGTTTGTTCTGCATGGAGCTGTCAATGAGTTGAATGAAGAGTGCATCAGGTAGGACAGTGACATCGGAATTGTCCGTAGCATCAGTTGGAATGTGATCGGGTCTGCAGGGAGAGAGAATCAGGAACAGAAAGATCTTTGCCGGGTACATGCTGAAGTTGTAGGTCGAAGCGGGATAAGAACAAGAGCCAATGAGCTTGGCAACAATTGAGTTGTTGGGCTTGGCGGAAATAGGTCAAATTCTTGTGGTCAGTCATGACAAGAACTGGGAATGGGGAACCTTCAAGGTAATGACGCCAAGCTTCCAAAGCTCGTATGATGGCTAGCAGTTCTCAGTTGAAGATCTGATAGTTTTGTTCTGCAGGAGAGAAAGTTTGGGAGAGATAGGAGCAGGGATGCCAATCACCGTTGGAGTCCTTTTGAAGGAGTACTCCGCCAGTGGCATAGAGGGATGCATCCATGGTGATTGCAAATGGAGTATCTTTATCAGGGATAGAAAGTACAGGGGCGGAGAGGAATCGGCTTTTCAAATCCTTGAACACTGTGTCACAGGCTTCCGACCAATCAAAAATGGAATCCTTTTTTGTGAGATCAATGAGCGGTCATGCGATAGTAGAGTAATCAGCAATAAAATATCTGTAGAAGTTGGTGAATCCAAGGAATGATTGAACATGTTTGACAGTTGTTGGTTGTTCCCATTTGACTACGCCGTCTAGTTTGACCTTGTCCATACAGATTTGTCCAGGTCGAATGAGAAGACCAAGGTATTCGACTTTGGTAGTGTCAAAGACACATTTTTCAGGTTTAAGAGAAAGCTGGTGATCACGAAGTCAGTTGTAATACTCGCATTGTTTGTTGATGATGGGATTTGAGGTCTTTAGAGAAGATCAAGATATCATCCATATAAATGACCATCCAACCTTCGTCAATCATGTCGGAGAAAATGTCGTTCATCATTGCTTGGAATGTTGCAGGGGCATTGCATAGACCGAAAAACATGACTGTGGGTTCGAAGAGTCCACGCGACATTTTGAATGCTGCTTTCCATCTATCTGGACCATGAATTCTGACTGTTATTGTATCCTGTGCGAACATCCATCTTTGTGAAGATTGTTGCACCCTTTAACTTGTCAATGAGGTCAGGAATTCGGGGAAGAGGATATGCATCTTTTACGGTTGCGTTGTTGAGTCTTCTATAGTCTTGGCATGGGTGGAGAGATCCGTCTTTCTTTCCTATGAAGAAGAAAGGAGATGCTTGAGGAGATTGAGACGGTACTATAGTTCCTTTTGCCAGATGTTCATCTACGAATTCGTTCATCGCCTTTTCTTCAGGTGCGGATAATGGGTAGATTTTAGAGATTCTGTTCGTTCGGGATACAAAAGAAAAAGTGGGAGGAATGTGTTCTTGGGTGAGTGGTGAGTCAAAGTTGATTTTCTCGTAAATTCCCACGAATTCTTCTCCTTTGACATAAGCGATAAGAACTTCATCGTCTTGTAGTTCTTCTATTATTTCTTCCGAGTCTTCTTCTTCTTCGGGTAAGAGATCTGGTTGTTCCTCAGGAATTTCTTCCGAGGATATATTCGCTTCTTCATCTAAGACTTCCTCTATTCTGGGTTGCATTGAAGCAGTGTTTGTTTCTGTCAGCGATAAGGGTTTGAATCATGATTGGGTCTTCTTCTAGTGAGATTTCGCTTTTAGTCCAATCTATTGTAGGATTTTCGTTCTTGAGCCAAGGAAGTCCAAGGATGATGTCTTCACCTCCAAGAGAGGTGATAAGGAAGGTAGCGAACATGGTTCGTCCTCCGGCTGAGAAGAATAGATTACAGGCTTTGGTAATAGTTCCTGCCTTATTCTTCGTGCCATCCACATTCTGGACTTCGATTTGTGAAGAGAGATTGTGAGTTGTGAAATTGTTCTTTCATACGTATTTCCAGTCAATGAATGTTCCAGCAGTGCCTGAGTCAATTAGGGCAGCTGCTTCGGCTGGTTTTATCGGTGTGGGTGAGGAAAATAGACTCTGTGTGAATCAGAAGTCTAACAAGGGTGCGAGGCTTATACTCATCCCAAGGGGATTGCTACTGGGTAGCGAGTCCTCAAATAAGTGTGAGGAAACAAAGACTAGACTCTGTCTAGCGACCCAAAGGGTTCCGGTCCTTACTAGGACTGGGAACACAAAGATGCGGAGGGTTCCCGATGAGCGGAACTACAGGGAACTAACGGAACTAACGCGGAGCAAACAGGACAAATGGGGAACAAACAGAACTAATGGGGAACAAATGGAGGGAAAAGAAACTATGAGCCTGCAGGAGGATGATTGGGCAAAGTCGGACCAGGCTTGTGTCTGGTACTTGCTCCAAGTCATTGGATCCGATGTCGGGCGTTTCGAGCGGAACTCACGGGGGCGGGAATGATGCAATGTGATCAGGAATAGATTCAGGAAGATATTTTAAACAGTGAGTGGAGTACTGGGAAGTACTCTGTAAGTGGAAGTGGAGTCGAGTCTATCAGAAGGTAAAAAACTAAGATCCCATCTATTGCTACCTATATAGGAAGGGGTTCCGAAATGCGATATGCTACAACCAGGTGAGGCTGTGAGATAAGGAATTGGTCCCGAGTAGCGGAAGGATCCGTATAAGTACCGTAACACATGGGAAATGAGATAGGAACATGTTAGTGACATGGGGAATGTAGCTAGTACTCACCAGCGAGGATGGAAGGACATGGACAGGACGGAGGAGGATGTTCCGAAGGCTGAAGGAATATAATGCATGTGGTACGCGATTGTTCTGCTGGGTTCCGCTTGGTTCCATGTAGCGGACGGGTCAGGGAAGATGCGGATGGGTAGCGGAACGCATGGGAAAATGGTGGGAAGGCATGGGAAATATGCGGGATACGGGCCTACAGTGGGGACATTCCCCACATCGGACTTGCAGGATTCAATCGAAATAGGAATGCGCATAGAATTTGAATTGCCTACAGAAGATACAATGAGTCCGATAGATGTACTAGGGGTTTCCGACTGCCGGTCCTGGTCTCCCCATCTAGAAATCCTTCTTAGAAGAAGAAGGTGTCTTTGACGCTTTCCAAGCTTTCCAAGCAAGGAATTCCTGATATTCTGCGTCTTGATCGTCTTGTTTGATCTTGGTTTCACGGACCGGTCATCCAGTTGGTTTCTGCCATCCAGGAGCAGAGTCTCTGTGGTTAGGGCAATCTTTCATAAGTCCTTTCTTTCCACACTTGAAACAGAGTCCAAGTTTCCAATGTCTGTCTTGTTCTGATCTAGAAAGTCTGGTAGTTCTGATGGACTGTTCTTGGTCCTCTTCATCATCTACCTTTATGGGATCTACATCCATTGCATAAGGGTCTCATCCTTTTGGGACGGTCTTGTAGTCACTCATAGAGACAAGTTGTCTCCTGGATTCATATTCTCTTGCAGCGTCAATCCATTCTGTTAAGTTTCTGGGAAGCTTTTCCCTGACAAGAATAGCTTCTTGTACTTCTTTCTTTAAGCCTTGTCGGAAGCAGGCTGCTTCGATGTCTCCATCAATGCACGTTGCTTCAGTGGAGATTCATTGGAAGTAAGAAATGTATGCAGAGATTGTGGAGGTTTGTTTTGCTCTCATAAGCATCTGGACTGCATTGAGCATTTCATTCTTAGGGAAGAATGTGGTTTTGAAGAGCGATGTAAAGTCTTCCCACGTTCCTATTTGCTCGTTTGCATGTTCTTTAGTCAGCCACACTGTGGCAAATTGGAGTGCGTGTCCTTTGATCATAAAAGAAGTGCAGAATGCTATCTTCTTTGCTTCCGTATTGTAACTGGTTGCATTAATGGTGAGGTACATTTGTACGGCCATAAAAAATGCTTTGGCCAGTTTCTGGTTTCCATCAAATGGAGTTGGCTTGTTAAGACTTAGTTCAGCCATTGGTTCAGGTTCATCTTCGTCTACTTCGTTAGAAGGTGGTGGTGGGTTTGAGTGTGAAGGCTCTGGTTGGTCTGGTCCGTATCCATCAAAGTATTCGGAGTTATCTTCCTCACCACCTTCTGGGTAGTGTTCTGGTGGGTTTCTATAAGCCACGATGCCAGACGACTACGAGGGTAGCGTCGGTTGTAAGAGAGCTTAACCTTTTGTTACGCCAAGTGTAATGCAGGCAAACAATCAACAAATAAGACAGTCGGTCTTATGATACGTTCTAGACAGAAGTCTAAAGAACGTCCAAGTCAAGTAAAGACTAAGTACTGAAGAGGTAACTTAGAATCAAGTCAGAGTGTTCAGAGGAAAACCAGCGTAGGTTAAGCTGAAGAATCAGCGTCACCTAGCTAGGGTTTATATAGTATACAGGGTACAGGGTGTGACGTAATAATAGGTATGTATCAGTAAGCACATGCGTAAGCAATGAGGCATCTGAGTAATACCGAACTAAATATAGCATGATAAGAGACATGCATAGTAAGCGTGGATCAAGGGAAAAAGAAGCAAGATAAGCACAGCCGTAACACCCATTGATGCGTGCATGTCCTCCATTGTGGTATCTTTTCTCATATTGGTATCTTTTCTCATACTGGTATCTCCTGTCCTCAGGAATCTCAGAATCTGTAGTATCACTACACTTATGCTTCGTACTGTCAATTGGCTCATTCTTCACAAGGGGGCCATTCCACCAAGTGACACTTTCTTTCTTCAAACAAATGATGTCACCTGGGGTCAACCCAATGCAAGCAAATTCTTGGTCAGCAATCTCTGCAAGGATGTCTGGTCCAGCTCCAATGCTACACAATGATGATTTATACACCATTGCATGACTAACACCAAGTTCCTGCTCAGCGTACTTTAAGAAGTGAGTAAGCTTTGATGGTGTCAAGATGATAGGTGAATGGGTAGGCACAGAAGCATTGACTGTAGGCAGAGGTGTTGAAGGAATTGCAGCATGGTCTTGGTTATGGGCAAGATCTCGAACTGTCTGTAACAGAAGCATTGAAGTGAGTGAGGTGATGTCACTGGCACTTATAGTTGGATGTGCAGGAGGGGCCATCAATGTCATTGATGCAGCACGACACATTGGGTGCAATGCAGGCTCACGTTTCACAGGGTTGAATGATGGAATATTTGGTGGCATTGAAGTCATAGCTTCACCATCATACTAAGAAAATGTGAGGTTCAACTAAAGACACATAAAGTTGCTATAACTCAATTACCATTGCACAAGCCCAATCCTTCACCATTGCTGGGGTACAAGGAATCTCCATACCACTTGAGTGGATATACATAATAGAGTTGTTATAGTCATTCCCCTACTTCTTGATGATAAGTCATTGATAGTGAGCAATCTCACACTTGAGCTCTGAAGCACCAGTCTGCAAGAAGCATCATTAAACAGCCGAAATATCAAGATTTCTCTCTGCAGTTGAAATACCTTGGTGACAAGCACAGTTTCCTCATCCTCAGATTCTCCACTTTCATGGCTGGCAGCATTTCCTGAAGAACTCTGTTTCTTTGTTAGCTAAGGTATCACAAAGTCTTGAAGACTTGCTTCATGGGTAGAAACAGGCAGTTTCTTGACATTCTTCATATCAATGAAGATCTTGACCTTTTTGAGTTTCTCTGAAATGATGTTCTTCACCATCTTGGCATAATCATTCTTGTTGTCAACATCCATGGCTTCCATGCAACTATAATTGATCACCTGAGTAAGTGGATCTCATGGTTGCCATGACATCAGATGGTCCATGGACTGACATACCTGCATGAAGCACCAGGAAGGTATTTGAAAGTGTACCTTTTCTTCTCAGTAACCTTATAAAGGGATTTGTTGTGCTTTGCGAGCATAATTGTGAGGAAGTCAAGGTAATTGGGTTCAGAGACATGAAAAATGACTTCTTTCACCTTCATAGACTTCACCTCCTTGACTTTGATTTTGCCATTGTTTTCTGTCGAGTTTTTGTGTATGTATTGAGATTTACAACAAAGACAGTCTCAAATTGAGGTAGTTCTGGCTCAGGGGATGTGGAAGGTGAAGCCATCACGTCTACAGTCTACCTTGAATGGCTTGCACAGCATGCTCAGACGGTGCATACAGGGTCCTACTTCAGATGTTTCCAAGACACAAATTCAACTTTTGTGTTTCCACATAATTTTGCAATCAGCTGTAATGTGGAGAGGTGTCATGAGTTCCCCAAACAAATCATTTTTCCTACCTCAATGTTGTGTCTAAGTCTAAGCACCCAAGTCACATAACCACTTCACCTCTTCACACCTGTCACATTTATCACACTTCACAACATCCTCCTGTCACAAAGTCACATGTACCCTATGCTCGTATCTCTCCCTTCACATCACCGATTCCATCTCCAATCAATGCAACAATCAATCTTCCCCTTCGACCCTTTCTCGATAGTTCTCAGATAGATCTTCTGTTTAATCACCATCTCTTCTCTTCCATTCTCAGATTCAGATCTCTTATCAGAATTCATGATCCAAACCCTCATACCTGAAACTTCTCTTTCTCACTCACCTACCTATTTAATTAGTTACCGTTTCTAGTCTTGGTCTGTGCACAATTCCCATAGTATATAGACCCTAGTAGGTAGTAAGTAGTTCTCCAGTCTAAACCTCTTGTACCTTCCATAGAGAATCTACTTAATGTCCATTGCTCATGTCCCTTCCGTAAGACTCTAAACTGAACCCCTCTAAGACACTTTTCTAGATGGTTACATTGTGACTCTTCTCCCCTACATTTTGTTTGTTGTTTGAGTCCTGGTCTGATTGCTTTGAGACTATTATTGTTGAAGAGTTGTCACAAGAGGCCTGACATGAGGTGGTGACCAAAATAGGTTGTGTGTTGCACAAAGTGGGTACCCAAAGTGGAGCTGATCATTACCAGCAGCATTATGCATGGTGGGAATCCATTATGCATAAGGGCTCAGGTGTTCACCCATCTAGGGATTAGAGACAGCCATGCATAACCATCCATCTCTTACCAGATACAATCATGCATCACCTGGTCAAGTACAGGTGGGTCCTGGATTCCACCATCTTTGGCGAATAATGCCCAAGTGTTGTTCAGGTATTTCCTGCAAAGAAGAAATACAAGCTTTTACTGATAGAAAGGTGGTGCTTCCTGAGTGTAGTGGTAAGATCACCACCCCTTTTCTATGTATCTGAGTGAGTGCAAACCATTTGACATATATGGTATACAAGCCATCGCCATGATCATGACTGTGGTGGCTGCCACTGGCTAGCCACCAGAGATACCTGCCAATATGTATGGTGCACCATTGGCCCTTCAAACACTGTGGCAAGAAGGGTTGAGGAGAGATACTTTCCCCTGCTGGCTGAGTCTTTTACAATGCTAGACATTGCTTTGATATCTCCTTGTGAAATTGCTGTTCTTTTGGTTTTTCAGGTGTTGAGACCACAGGTTGGGGAGGATTCACAAGAGTTGGATGGTCCTGGCCCAGTACTGACACTTCTGCGTCCAAAAGACATAATGTGTTGGAATATTCAAGCAAATGTCCTTGTGTATGACACATGTAGTACACGTGGCAGTGTCACGAATTCCAAACACAAACCATTTTTCATTCCTTGGTTTTCCTCCAGCTACTTCTAGTTACCAAACCAATCATGTGACTTCACTTCCTGTCACATCTTCACCTCTTCACATATCACCCGTTGCTTCTCCGATTGGCTCCCCTACTCCACGGGCTAGAACGATGTCGCTTCCCAAAGAAGAATCAGTCGGATCTTGGGTTTCTATTTAGTAGCTGTCTTACTCATTTGCTTATATATCATGATGTCATGATCAGTCATCTGCAGTATTGTACGACTCTTTTCTCATTGGCTGATTTTCTTTCACACTCAGATATCTTCTATTCAATGTTATGTATATAAGTAGGTCAGTTAGCGTAAGTACTCCTTAGACTTAACCTCTTCGTTCTCTACAGTTGTAGTAGACCTAGACGTTCACGCTCAAATCTATCTTGTTCTCATCATCATCTGTGACCGAGTCCTAGTGGTTGTTGTCTGACTTTACCATTCGGTGAACTCAGGTCATAACATTAGGTTAAGTCTTCTTACCACTCCAACTCGAACTTTGTCTTGGACGTCGCCGTTCTTGACAAACTTCATTGTGCTATTCTGCTGAGATTTATCTTGCGGATTACGTTTAAATTCAATCATCATTCCCCGACGTGTTTTGTTATACCAATCTCTTTACATTACTCTTTAGTAGAAGTGAGCCAGGCCCTCATCTTACTATGGGCTGCCAGTTCATCAGGATCAGAGACACTGAGGTCCTGTTTCTGCACATCTGCAGTTAGGCCCAAAACCCTGCCAACTGTACGCTACATATCTGCTTTCTACGTAACAGAACGGCACTCGCGACTGTCCTCTCACAGTCTAGCTACATTACGATAGGAACCTAGGGTGCTAAAAGTAGACCCAAAGTTCACCGCGTCTTTCGTGAACTCCTCTTGAGTTCTACTTAGGTTGATGAACTGCTACACGCACTGCATTCGCACCTTTATCATCATTGCCCCGCCATACAGATCCCACCTTGTCAAGGCTAGAGCTCTTGCTTTACATGACAATGCTTCCTGTCTAGCCAACAACTGTTTGTTCTTCAATGTCCAAGAATCTAGGAGAAACTGGGATTGCCGCTTCAGAGAATACAGAAGTAACAACAGCTCCGGCAGTGATACCGCCAGTAGCAACTCCATCGAGGAGCGCAATCCATTCTCCAGTGCCACAAGGATGGAACAACCCATTACCATATGTAGAATCATCCATCACCCCAACCGAAGGCCTTTCTGTACCACACACTATATCCGGTCCTGGAGAGAGTACCATCACCCACTGGGACATTTCAGCCGCAATCCAAGCCGTCATAGAAGCAGAAAGGGACTACACCAGATGCTTGATAGACCAAATGCAGAAGGAGATCAATGTTCTCAACAATGACTTAGTGGTAGCCAATGACGAGAACACAGACCTGAGGGTCAGGGTGACAATCGCAGAGAACCTGATCATGGATTTGCAGAACTTGTCTACCATGAAGATCCCAGGCTCTACATCTGGGACTTCAGGCTCTGATCTGAAGATGGCGAAACCTTCAGACTTCATGGGAGAGAAGAACTCCATTGATGTTGACACCTTCCTCACTCAACTCGCAATATACTTCACAGGTTACCCCAGAGCAACAGAACAACAGAGGTGTACCTGCCTCATTTCTTTCTGTCGAGGACCTGCAGCAAAGTGGGCAGAAAGTATTACACCAATGGCCCTCAGCGGAAAGGTCGGGTCCTATGATAGCATCAGAAACGACATGAAGGCCATGTGGAGCGTCGTCAACAAAGAGGAGAAAGCAGCAAGAGAGTTAGAAACTCTCCAACAAGGAAATCACACCATTGGGGAATACATTTCCATCTTCCGTCAGAAGCTTGCCTTCTGTCACTTCTCCGACTATGAGTTAATGCACAAACTTCACTTTGGACTAGACCAACGGGTTAAGAACTCCTTGGCTCACGTCCACCCTAACAGAAAAGACACTCTGGAGGGGTTGATTAGGGAGTTGCTCATAGTTGGGCAGAACCTAGAGGAACTTGATGATGAGAGGAAGATGAACTTTACACCCCGCCGCTGTGGGTACAACAATTCTGCTGGGTGCAGAAAGTGTTGGGTATTGCTGCCTGCTGCTATACCTGCAAGGAGGTGCATTTGACCCTAGAGGGTTTCTGGACTAGAGCTAGGTAGTGCTCAGAGAGAAAAGTGAATCAAAAGAGCACTGCTCATGGTGGTGGCTCAAGAAGATTGATTGTTTACATAAGCAGTAAAAATGCATACATAAACTAAGGAAAGTAATGGCAAGTGAAACTAAGTAAAAACCATCAATACAAGCCCAGAGTAACATAACTCCCTGCACCACCCATGGCAAGGTGCTGCTGCAACATCTGCACCAGTAGCACCCAAGACCACATCGCAGGGTGGAAATGCAATGGACATTGATGCAACCAGGACAGGAGGTAGACCCTGACCTCAAGGACAACCAGGACAAGATTTCAAGTGTTACCATTGGAGCCCCTTCAGTGACAAATCCCGTACTATACGGGTCACCCGACCTACATAATATCCCGTGTAATACGGGCCAGCGGATTATGGGCCGATGTTATGTATATTCCCAATGTTGACGGGTGGGCCCATCTATGCTGATGTTATATATATCATCGACGATGGCGGATGGGCCAGGAGAAATATTATTATGGAGATGGGTGGGCCCATGTGGGTAATATGTAGAGTAGGATTGACAAATATTATAGACCTGAGGAGAGATGTATAGCAAATATTATTATATAGATGGGTGGGCCGACGTATTAGTATTATTTTGTAGACGGATGGGCCGAGGGAGCGGTGGAATATTTATTACATAGACGGGTGGGCTGACATAGGGAAATATTAGATAGACGGGTGGGCCGATGTGGGGTATTTTACTTAGACGGGTGGGCCGATGTGGGGTATTATTAGGTAGACAGGTGGGCCGAGGGTGAGGCGAATTATTTATTACATAGACGGGTGGGCTGAGGGTGAGATGAAATATTTATTATATAGATGGGTGGGCCGATGTGGGTTAATATTAGATAGACGGGTGGGCCAAGGGTGAGGTGAATTATTTATTACATAGACGGGTGGGCCGACATAGGGAAATATTACATAGACGGGTGGGCCGAAGTGGGGAATTTTACCTAGACGGGTGGGCCGATGTTGGGTAATATTAGACAGACGGGTGGGCCCAGATACATATCATATAGACAGATAGGCCTAGGTATTGGTATAAGTACCAAGTACCAAGTTCTGGGTAACATCTATCAAGTTCCAGGTAACGTCTATCGAGTTCTGGGTAACAACTATTGACATCCGGGTAACTAATATTGAGTTCTGGGTATTTCGTAAATTGAACAAATCACCAAGTAGCGAGTACCAAGTTCTGGGCACCGAGTGCCGAGTTCCAAGTTCCGGGCATCGAGTACCAAGTGCCGAAACCCGGCACTCGGCACTCGGTACTTGGTGATTTGTTCAATTTATGAAATGTTTTATTTTAGTTTCGTGTTTCGGTGCTCAATGCTTGGAACTCAATGCCCAGAACTCGGTGTCTGGAACTTGGTACTCGGTACTTGGTGATTTGTTCAATTTATGAAATACCCGGAACTCAATATTAGTTACCCGGATGTCAATAGATGTTACCCAGAACTCAATGATTTCCAAATTATGTAGACATTTCAACCTCACCCAGATGACCCTCATCACCACCTTCAACTTCAACCTTGACCTCAACATCCATGTCATCAGCAGAATTGTATTATGGGAAAAGGTTGCATGGATCATCCGGCACCACAATGTCTCCGGCAGTTGGGGGAGTAGGTGATGGGTCCAGGGCTAGTTGAACTTGGCTCAGCTCAAATATGAGACCCTCGATGTCAGAGGGATCCACAATTTTCGAGGGTGTGGGCTCCATCCCTGCCATCAAAAGCTCCAAGCACTGAATACTTGGTACTCGGTACCTACTTGATACTCAAAACTCAGTACTCGGTACTTGGCACTCAGTCCCTAGTACTTGATACTTGATGATGAATATATTGGTAGATCTTAACCTATTGATGTCATGAGACTATGGATAGACTCCCCTAGACAAGGGCTACAACTGTGGTTTTCATCGAAAAAGTTCCCACGGTCTAGAATATCAAGTACCGAGCTCCGAGCACTGAATACTCAGTACTCAATACTCAAAACTTGGTACTCGGTACTAAGTTCCCAGTACTTGATACTCAATGCTGAATATCTTGGTACTCAACTGAGCACTGAGCACTGAGTACCAACTACCGAGCACCAAGCACCGAGCACTGGGCACTGAGCATCGAGCACCAAGCACCGAGCACTGAATACTCGGTACTCGGTACTTAGTACTCAGTTTCCGGTACTTAATATACTCAGTTCCCGGTACTTAATACTTAATGCTGAATATCTTGGTAGATCTTAACCTATTGATGTCATGAGACTATGGATAGACTCCCCTTGACAAGGGCTACAATTTTGATTTTTATCTACAAAGTTCCCACAGTCAAAGTGCTTTCTTGAACACTCCATTTGCAAGTATTTTGCTTATATCTTACTAGGATCTTAACCTATTGATGTCATGAGACTATGGATAGACTCCCCTAGACAAGGGCTACAACTTTGGTTTTCATCGAAAAAGTTCCCACGGTCTACAATATAGAGTCCCGAGAACCGAGCACCGGGCACCGAGTACCGAGCACCAAGCACCAAGCACCAAGCACCAAGCACTGAATACTTGGTACTCAGTCCTTAGTACTCAGTTCCTGGAACTTGATACTCAATGCTGAATATCTTGGTACTCAACTGAGCACCGAGCATCGAGCACTGAGTACCGAGCACCGAGTACCGAGTACCGAGTACCGAGCACCGAGCACTGACTACCGAGCACCGAGCACCGAGCACCGGGCAGATATTTATCTAAAAAGTTCCCATGGTCAAAGTGCTTTCTTGAACACTCCATTTGCAGGTATTTTGTTTATATCTTACTAGGATCTTAACCTACTGATGTCATGAGACTATGGATAGACTCCCCTAGACAAGGGCTACAACTTTAGTTTTCATCGAAAAAGTTCCCACGGTCTACAATATCGAGTACCGAGCACCGGGCACTGTGCACCAAGCACTGAATACTTGGGACTCGGTACTTGATACTCGATGCTCGGTACCTACTCAATACTCAATACTTGGTACTCAGTACTTGATACTCGATGCTGAATATCTTGGTACCTACTCACTACTCAATATGTACCTTAACACTTTTGAACCCTTCATTTTCGAGTATTTTGCTTATACCTCACTAGGATCTTAACCTATTGATGTCATGAGACTATGGATAGACTCCCCTTGACATGGGCTACAACTTTGATTTTCATCGAAAAAGTTCCCACGGTCTATAAAATTGAATACTGAGCACCAAGCACTGAATACTCGGTACTCAGTACCTACTCGATACTCAAAACTTGGTACTTGGTACTCAGTTCCCAGTACTTGATACTCAATGCTGAATATCTTGGTACTCAACTAAGCACTGAGCACACTGAGTACCCACTACTGAGCACCAAGCACCCAGGTATGGGGTCTATTTCTATGTATATTGGTAGTAGATACATCATATAGATAGACCAGGACACCTACATGATCCTTCCATAGGAACAACACTTGACAAATCACAATTGTGACATTTTGATATGTTTTACCACCCTACCCTTACACAGATTATCCAAGTTACTCATAGACTGTCATTATTACATTTATTATGCTAAGGATCAGTGATATTTAGGCTGGAAATTTGAGATCTGATGTAAAGGGGATATTTCTACTGATCAAAAGCCCACATGGTAAATGATAGCCTTAAAGGCTTAGAAAGATCCATCCAGGATTGAGTGAATGACAAGCAAAACAATATACGTGTGAAAAGTGACAATTGACATCTGTTCACACAAAGTCACATTTATATATGATACAGGTTGAAGATTTCATTAAAAATGTGTAGGATACATGGTGGACTACCTAAGGAACCTATACTGCATACTGCCCTGAGGGTAGAGTGTTGGTGGGAGGGATGTGGCATAGAAGTGTTTGAATTGGTTGCCCATAGCCAAGGATACACCAACTGACCATTTTCGATGTTTGGGGCATTTGAGCTTTGACGTTTCCCACACTCAATTTCTTATCTATTTCACTTCCCCAGCTCTCAATTCCTGGTGGATCTTTCTGTAATTTTAGATCCATCATACTGAATATATGTGAAATATACTCTAGGTGTCTGATCATTAAAGTTCAATAATTCAGAGATATGGGCCTTTTATCAGTAGAAATATCAAGTATATACACCATCTCAAAGCAACAGCATATTTTGAGCTGATCCTGGTCATGAAAAGCAAGTATATATGCTATGCTAATGATATATGAATATATTGGATTATTTATGCAAGGATAGAACAATCAAAAACATGAGAAATGTGAAACACATGATTTATCAATTTTTGTTGCTGTAGAAGGATCGTGTAGGTGTCCTGGTCCAGTGATATGATGTATCTGAGGGAGGGTACACTATACAGGTACTTGAGTATCAAGTAGGTACCAAGTACCAAGTATGCAGTGCTCGGTGCTCAGTACTTGATACTCAGTACTCAATACTTGGTAGTCAGAACTCAGTGCTCAGTGCTCAGTGCTGAGTACAGAGTATTGAGTATTGAGTATTGAGTAGGTACCAATTACTGAGTACTGAGTGTTGAGTATCAGGTAGGTACTGAGTGCCAAGTATTCAGTGCTTGGTGCTTGGTACTCAATACTCGGTACTTGATACTAAATACTAAATACTTGGTAGTCAGTACTCAGTGCTTAGTGCTCAGGTGAGTACCAAGATATTCAGCATTGAGTATCAAGTACCAAGTACCAAGTATTGAGTATTGAGTAGGTACCGAGTACTGAGTATTCAGTGCTCGGTGCTTGGTACTCAATATTCAGTACTTAATGTTCGGTACTCAATACTCAATACTCAATATACTAAATGCTCGGTAGTCAGTACTCAGTGCTCAGTTGAGTACCAAGAGATTCAGCATTGTATACTGAGTACCGAGGTCTGAGTATCAAGTAGGTACCAAGTACCAAGTATTCAGAGCTCGGTGCTCGGTACTCGATATTGTAGACCGTGGGAACTTTTTCGATGAAAACCAAAGTTGTAGCCCTTGTCTAGGGGAGTCTATCCATGGTCTCATGACATCAATAGGTTAAGATCCTGGTAGGATATAAGCAAAATACTTGCAAATGGAGTGTTCAAGAAAGCACTTTGACCATGGGAACTTTTTAGATAAATATCTGCCCGGTGCTCGGTGCTCGGTGCTCGGTACTCGGTACTCGGTACTCGATATTGTAGACCGTGGGAACTTTTTCGATGAAAACCAAAGTTGTAGCCCTTGTCTAGGGGAGTCTATCTATAGTCTCATGACATCAATAGGTTAAGATCCTAGTAAGATATAAGCAAAATACTTGCAAATGGAGTGTTCAAGAAAGCACTTTGACCATGGGAACTTTTTAGATAAATATCTGCCCGGTGCTCAGTGCTCGGTAGTCGGTAGTCGGTGCTCAGTGCTCAGTACTCAGTGCTCGGTGCTCGGTACTCGGTGCTCGGTGCTCGGTACTCAGTGCTCGGTGCTCAGTGCTCAGTGCTCAGTTGAGTACCAAGTACCGAGTACCGAGTATTCAGTGCTTGGTGCTTGGTAGTCAGTGCTTGGTGCCTGGTGCCTGGTGCCCGGTGCTTGGGACTCGATATTGTAGACCGTGGGAACTTTCTCGATGAAAACCAAAGTTGTAGCCCTTGTCTAGGGGAGTCTATCCATGGCCTCATGACATCAATAGGTTAAGATCCTGGTAGGATATAAGCAAAATACTTGCAAATGGAGGGTTCAAGAAAGCACTTTGACTGTGGGAACTATGTAGATAAAAATCAAAATTGTAGCCCTTGTCGAGGGGAGTCTATCCATAGTCTCATGACACCAATAGGTTAAGATCTACCAAGATATTGAGCATTGAGTATCAAGTACCGGGAACTGAGTACTAAGTACCGAGTGCCAAGTACTGAGTATTCAGTGCTCGGTGCTCGGTGCCTGGTGCCCAGTGCCCGGTGCTTGGTGCCTGGTGCTCAGTGCCCGGTGCCCGGTGCCCAGTGCTTGGTGCTTGGTGCGTGGTGCTTGGTGCTTGGTGCTTGGTGCTCAGTTGAGTACCAAGATATTCAGCATTGTGTATCAAGTACCGGGAACTGAGTACTAAGTACTGAGTACCAAGTATTCAGTGCTCGGTGCTTGGTGCTTGGTGCTTGGTACTCGGTGCTCGGTGCTCGGTACTTGATATTGTAGACCGTGGGAACTTTTTCGATGAAAACTAAAGTTGTAGCCCTTGTCTAGGGGAGTCTATCCATAGTCTCATGACATCAATAGGTTAAGATCTACCAATATATTCAGCACGAGTACTGAGTTCCGGGTATCGAGTACCGAGTGCCGAGTGCTGGGTTTCGGCACTCGGTACTTGATGCCCAGAACTCGGTGCCTGGAACTTGGTGCTTGGTACTTGGTGATTTGTTCAATTTATGAAATGTTGTATTTTAGTTTTGTGTTTTGGTGCTCAATGCCCAGAACTCGATGCCCGGAACTCGGTACTCGGTACTTGGTGATTTGTTCAATTTATGAAATACCCGGAAGTCAATATTAGTTACCCGGACATCAATAGATGTTACCCGGAAGTTGATATTAGTTACCTGGAACTCGATAGATGTTACCCGGCCTGTGGATATGATATCAACCATCTCAGCCCACCCGTCTATATAATATACTACTACCTCGGCCCATATGTCTATATAATATACTACCACCTCGGCCCATATGTCTATATGATATGTATCTGGGCCCACCCGTATATGTGATATCCAACT